TCTCTCAACCGACTTTACATCATGTTGTCACATCTTTACCATCTGGCCCTCCCCCTTGTTCCGCACCCTCATTCACCTCTTCGCCGACCTCTACACCCACCTCATCCTTCCCTGCTCCCGACACACCTTATACTTTCACCCCTGCTGGCACTCCCCTGCAATCTGCCAGCGAGGGACTCTACGGCCGAGTAAACGGTCCTTCCCTGCCTATGCCAGGCCCGCTTGAACTCGGCGAGTCCATGATGGCCGTTCCCGGAAACGCAAATCCATCCAGCTTCAATGACCCTGCTGTGTCCACCAAGGCGCCGGGCCTAATGAGACGAATCTCAAGAGGCGCCGCCAACAAACTTACTCGTAGGAGGCAGTCTACGACCCAAAACGAGAAACGAGACCGGAGCACTGGTCCCATCATCATGCGCCGGCGCAGTGATAGCAAGGCTGGCACCCAGCCTGTCCGAGATAGCGCCCTTGATTCCAGCAACGAGGATGAAGCCGGCGAAGCCTTGGACAACCTGGGTGCATGGGCTGGTTCGGAGGCATCCAGTCTTCGCAGCGAGAGTCGTATGAATATGGCTCGCGAAACTGGTCCCGTTCCCGCCGTTGCCGTTGCGCCCAAGATAGACTCTGCTGTTCAGCGAGGCACAGTCCTAACCAAGGTAACCAAGAAACGCAGGAAACAAGTTCGCTTCTTCCTAGACCTAGACGCCGCCAAGGTGTTCTGGGATCTCTCCAACCCGGCCAAACGCTTCTATATCGACGATATCAAAGAAATCCGGGTCGGTGCCGACGCTCGCAACTATCGTGAAGAACATCAGATTCCCGAAGATCTGGAGCGCCGATGGTTCACCATTGTCATTGCGGATTCTGACCGCTCTAAGGGCCGAGCGGTCAAGACATTGCACCTCATCGCTCCTAGCGATCGTATTCTTGACCTGTGGATTACCACCCTGGAGCATATCTCCCGGTACCGAATCGATCTCATGTCTGGTCTGGCAGGTTCGGGCCAAAGCGAAGCGGTTCTAAAGGCACACTGGGAGCGCGAGATGTCGAGACTCTTCCCGCAGCGTCCTCCACTGGAGGAACAAAGCCTCGACCTCGCTGCCGTGGAGAAGGTCTGCCGCAGCTTGCATATCAACTGTTCTAAGAACATGCTCCGGGCACAATTCACTAAAGCTGACGCTGCCTGTAACGGCAAATTGGATTTCTCCGAATTCAAGGATTTCCTTTTGCGTTTGAAGGAACGAAAGGATGTCAAAGATATCTTCAAGCTTCACACCGCACAGCCGAAGGAAGGCATGACTCAAGAGGAGTTTTTGACTTTCCTTGGTGATGTGCAAAATGAAGATATAGAATCCGACCGGGTTTACTGGGCTACACTGTTCGACAAGTACGTTCGACGGGCCTCTAAATCTCGCACTCCTTCTGCAGAAGGATCGGAGCTTCCTCCACCTGTGTCGCGGATGAACCTGGATGCATTTGCCGCGTTCTTGTCTTCGTCCAGCAACGGTGTTTACGCTTCACGTGCTCCTCAGTCAAGATTCGACCGCCCGTTGAATGAATACTTCATCTCGAGCTCTCACAACGCTTATCTCCTTGGCCGCCAAGTGGCTGGTGCATCAAGCACTGAGGCTTACGTTAGCGCGCTTCAGCAGGGATGTCGTTGTGTCGAAATCGACTGCTGGGATGGCGCAGATGGACGCCCCATCGTGTCCCATGGGCGGACTCTTACCACCAGTGTCCTCTTCGCTGATTGCATCACCGTCATCAACCGATATGCTTTTATCACATGCGACTTCCCCCTCATTCTTTCTCTTGAGGTGCACTGCAATCCGGAACAGCAACTGGCGATGGTCAAGATCATGAAGGAGACATTCAAGGAACGACTTGTCCTTGAGCCCTTGATGACCAACTGCCAGATCCTCCCGTCTCCCGAGGAGCTTAAGGGTCGTATTCTGGTGAAAGTGAAAACGTGTGACGAGAACGAATTTGATCCCCGCGCCAATACCGTCGGCTCTGTCGGCACCCACGGCCGCAAACGCAGTTCTAGTACTCCATTTGTGCGACCGACGCTCCATGAGACAAACACCATGCCTCTTCCCACACTCTCAAGTCCCTCTACAATGGGTCCGCTCGACAGTATCGGCCCTTTGATCTCGCACGATAGGCGTTCCCTTACTGCTACAAGCATGAGCAGTGCAACTGACGACAGTGACGGAGCGCTGACGACTGTTCACACTGACAAAAAGAAAAAACGCCGCCAGAAAAGCAAGATCACCAAGCCTCTCTCTGACTTGGGTGTGTACACTCGTGGCTACAAGTGGCACAGCTTCTCGTCTCCAGAGAGCAGACGGTATAACCATATATACTCGTTTGCCGAACGGTCTTTCGAGAGCATCTGTCAGAGTCACGACAACAAGGTTGCACTGGAGTCACACAACCGCAAGTACCTAACGCGGGTGTATCCTTCCGGATTCCGACTCCGTTCATCTAACTTCGATCCGAACAAGTTCTGGCGCCGTGGTGTGCAAATGGTAGCGCTCAATTGGCAAACTTACGACATCGGCATGCAAATGAACCAGGCTATGTTTGCCGCTGGAACTGACCGCACTGGTTACATCCTCAAGCCCGAGAGCCTTCGCTTGCCGGCTGTTGATGGAAATCAGAAGCGCAAGATGGAGCGCAAACTAGTTCGATTCTCGGTTGACGTCGTCTCGGCACAACAGCTCCCCCGTCCGCGCACCATCGGACAGGATGACAGCATCAACCCTTACGTCGAGATCGAGATGTTCAGTGCTGACGATCGCGGTCAGAGCTTCGTCCTCGGCGAAGGTGGCATGAATGCCTCTGCGCGCAATGGTATGTCCGGCATTGGATATCCGCACCGTCGCCGCACAAAGATCGAGCAAAGCAATGGCTACAGCCCTGTTTTCAATGACAAGTTCAAGCTGTCGCTGGAAACTAAATATCCCGATCTTGTATTTGTGCGATGGACGGTCTGGAGCTCAACGGACGGCCGCAGTACAGGGAACAGCGTACAGCTGGCCACTTTCACCGCCAAGCTCACCAGTTTGTCGCAAGGTTACCGCTACTTGCCTCTCTACGATGCCAGCGGCGACCAGTACTTGTTCTCGACGCTTTTCTGCAAGATCTCAAAGCAAGATCCCATCTCCGTTCAGCGTCTGGACCTCGAAGAGCTCCGCGCCGAACGCATGGGTATTCTGCGCCACATCGGCCAGACTGTCTTCAAGCGCTCCTCATCGGCCGAGCGCGAAAGGGATCAATCACAGGATCGCAGTGATTCTCCAAGCCCTGAGGACAAGGAAGGCTGTCCTAACCTGACACCCACTTTGTCAACAACGTCGAACTCATCATTCGTGCAATGATTGGAAGTTACGTCCCATTTTATCCCGCCTACCTCTCTCACCACTACAGCTTTGCGCTGACCTTTCCTCCCATCTATCACTCTCGATCTGGAATCTTGTTCCTATCAATGTCAGCATCAACCAAGGTTCCGGCGTTTGTCTTTCTACTGCATGATATCCTACTGTTTGCTCTCATCTATGCTTGCTAACATTTTCGGACGTTCTGTTTATTCCACCATTACCATCCATACCCGTCACAGCGATACCCCCGAGTTGCTTCAGTTTCATTTTGCCATTTGCCATGAGTATAATCTTGTTCATCATCCTCGTCCTCTCATTTGTCTGTGACAAACCCGGAAACTGACCATCCGGCATGTATTCGACTGGGAGATGTGTTTGCTTGTGTTCTTGTTTTCATCCCATCTTTTCTCTCCTGTCTTTATCTTATCTGTTTGGTCTCATGTATGTCTTTTCTTTTCATCTTATTTCCTTTGTTGTGCTACGTGTCCGCATTAGGATCTAGCAGGAACTCGGTCCTGCCATTCATCATCATCATCATCGCATTTGAGGGAGTCAACCACATTGGAGAATATATATGTGACTGGTTCACTGGAGCTACTCTTCTCACTCATCATATCATTTATTATCATAGCATAGGGACTTGGGATTTTTCATTTTCTGGAGGCTCTCACAGTTGATCTGTCAATCCAATTATGTGCACCTGCACACTAGCATATCAGTTTTTTTATCCTAATCTAGTATTAGCGTGGAATGTACTATTCATTGCTTTCCTGCCATGCCATTTCTTAGCACAGTACTTGTCCTAGAAAATATATCACTCCGACTTTTTTTTTTACCAGTAGATTGTAGAGTCCCACGGCATACACTACTTCAAGTAAACGTATATGTCCACGCGTCATAGATCTATATAGTGTTACAACCAGCATAACGTGGCGTTCAAAATGCCCACATTAGTTGGATGTCAATCTCAAGTCATTGCCATGATCTATAAGAGTCAATAGTCTGTTCACTTGTCTCGTATATAGGGGATATTGCACCTGAGACACTTCTTATAGGCCTGAGGCACGATACACGTGACCTATTTTATTACTCGATCTCATCGAGTCAGCGCCAAGATTAGCCTTTTCTATCTCCAGCTTTTCTCCATATCAAAGCATAGATTACGACCAACCAATCACAGTCCCTGGTAACCTTGATTATGTGGGGTCGGTGGAACCAACGGTTTCAAGGTTTCCAGGTCTCCGGCCAATTCTTGTAGATAACGGGATTTCTTACTTGAACTCATCCGGTCACTCCCCCGCAGGTGCCCATGATAGGTCCGTATCGGTTCAGACCATCATGGATACTTTCAAGATTGGAGGCCCACAGCGGCTTTCTTATCGTCGGGGAAAAGAGGGCTCGGATCCTGGAGGATATGGTTGTCCCGGGGTCATTCCATGTGGGAAAGGTTATAATGATACTGTTATCCCCCGTCTTTGTACTCTCTACTCCAAGATTCTTCTTTTATTCAAATTCCCCGCAATAGCTTTGTTTCAATACTTTCTTTGGGCGTTCGATTACTTTACTGGCAACTATTAGCAACAACAAGTCTACAAGTCTACACGTCCACTCGCCAATATGTCCAAATTCAAATGGATACTCGATAAGGCGGCTGTAGAGAATGAGCCCGGACTCACCAATGCCCAGATGATGTTGACAAACAACGACTTACGGCCAGGTGAGACTATCCAGGCTTATACCACCTCAGATCTACCCCTTATTTATCACTCTCGTGGTTCACGAAGAATCCAGAAGCTGACCAATGGAAACCGTACTACAGTGGACCCGGAACGACGCCAATGGAAATGGATCAACTTTATTGCTTTTTGGATTGCGGACTCATTAAACATCGTCAGTGTCTCTAAATGGTGCCCGGTACAAGCCTAGCGGCATCTAACACAAGATACAGAACACATGGATGATTTCCTCCTCAATGATCGTTGACGGTCTTTCCTGGTGGCAGTCCTGGATCTGTGTTTGGGTTGGGTACTTCGTGGCTGCAGCTTTCGTGTGCCTGATTGGACGAATCGGCGCTATCTACCATATTTCCTTCCCCGTGACAGCTCGAGCTTCATTCGGAATATGGGGTTCTCTATGGCCCGTCCTCAACCGCGTGGTGATGGCTATCATTTGGTATGGAGTACAGGGCTATATCGGAGGTACGTATCTTGTCGATCCGATGAAAACATGCATACTCATACATTACTAGGCCAGTGTGTGACTTTGATGATCGAAGCCATTTGGCCGAGCTACCGAAACCTTCACAATGGTCTCTCTGCCAGTGCTGGCGTCGACACTAAGAACTTTGTCAGCTTCTTCTTATTCTGGCTGCTCTCACTTCCAGCCTTGTGGTTCCCCGTTCACAAGGTCCGTCACTTGTTCACCGCTAAGGCAATTTACTCTCCCATCGCTGCCATCGCTTTCTTTGCCTGGGCCATCTCCCGTGCCCACGGTCTCGGCCCGATTATCCACCAGTCCAACACCGCCCACGGAAGCGATCTTTCCTGGGCCATCGTGAAAGCAATCATGTCGTGTATCGGAAACTTCGCAGCGCTTATCATGAACAACCCCGATTTCTCACGATTTGCCCGAACACCAAAAGATGCATTCTGGGCGCAGCTATTTACCATTCCCGTCGGCTTTGGCGTCACCTCATTCATCGGAATCATCGTGTCTTCCTCCTCGTCAGTGATCTTCAACGACGGCTACACATGGAACCCCCTTGATCTTCTCGGGAAATTCCTCGATGGAGCCAGTTCTGGCCAACGCTTCGGTATCTTCGTCATCGCCACCGGCTTTGCCCTAGCTCAGCTCGGAACAAACATTTCCGCCAACTCCATCTCAGCAGGCACCGACATGACTGCAATGCTCCCCCGATACATGACCATCCGACGCGGTAGTTACATCTGCGCTGCCGTCGGTCTAGCTATGTGTCCAGTACGTCGTCCCATAGTTTATCTCAAGGCATCCATATAACCATGACAAAAACTGACAAAATCTACAGTGGAATCTTCTCTCAACCTCAAACAACTTCACAACCTACCTCTCAGCCTACTCCGTCTTCCTCTCCGCCATCGCCGGCGTCATGATCTGCGACTACTACATCGTCCGCAAGGGCTACCTGAACATCAAATCCCTCTACAGCGCTAGCAAAACCGATTGCTACTACTATACCTGCGGTTTCTCCTGGCGTGCCTATACCGCGTACATCTGCGGGATCATGATCAACATCGTTGGCTTCGCCGGTGCTGTTGGGTGCAAGGTTCCTATCGGCGCACAATACATCTACAACTTCAACTATTTCACCGGCGTCATTGTTTCCGGCGTCGTGTACTTCGCTCTGACGTGGTTTTTCCCCGTTCCTGAGACAAGTGATACCTGGAACGAGGTTGATATCGATGTTGAGGATGCCTTCGTTTCAGTACGGGAAGGACCCTAATGACTTGGAGGCTCATGGGTATGGTCGGAGGTCGTTTGATGATGCGGTTGGGTCCGATGAGCGGAAGGGCCCAAGTACTTCGGACAGGAAGCTTTGAGAGCGGGATTGGGTCTTTATTTATGGGCGGCGTTTTTCATATTGATATTTTCTGACGCTCTTACTATCAAGCGGGCTTGAATGTGTATAATTAATTCCCTCTCTGGGAGATATTCACGATGAGATGACAATTGACTACTTCCTGTGTTCCTAGGCTTCCAAAAATAGGCCTCCCCTAGGCTTGGCTCTTTTATGACCCTGGAATCCTCTTTTAATTCGTACGATTCTACCAATGTGGAAGACAGCGGAGTCTAGGTGTACCCAATCCCTATTTCTCTAATTCGCGTCAGACCATGGGTTATCGCGGCTCAATTTAGAGAATTGCACTGAAAAAGGTCAAAGTAGCGAGCACAACTGCTACCGCTCCAAAGGCATAGCTTCCCGCTGTTAAACCAGTATCGATATCATGTCCAGCCGCAGTTCCGATTGCCGTGACGATGATAGCAATAAATATGGCAAAGCCAATGAGAATTAGCAGGCGGGAGACATCCCATCCATCAATAAGCAAAAGTGCAGGAATGCTTTCGCCAAGGGAAATATCCCCATAACGAATTGCCGCGTCAATATAGTGGCATGATTTTAGATCCCTGCCGTTTCATCTTAGATCCCGATATTCTGTCATTCCGAATCTTCACTTACTTATAGCGAGTGACCAAGTTGGATTTTTCCAGAAAATTTTGACAGTCACTCTTTCCTTTCGAATTCCAATAAAAATCGAGCATTGGCTGTCTGAGCTGGAAATTCTTCAATCGCGCCCTTAGTTGGTGGTGCCGCTCTTGGGAGCAGAAGGAATCGTTCAAGTCATCCATCAAAGTATTAGGACAGGAGTCGCCGAGCGGGCAAGCTCGAAATGTGCCGTCTTCGTTGTACCCAGCGTCGCATTCTTCGCTCTTAGAAGACCAGTCTTCTAGTATTCTCTGCATGTTCTCCATCTCCATGGAATGATCCATTGGAAGTAACATGACTTCGACTTCTTTATTCCTATGTACACTGATAGCGTGCATCTGGAGCTAGCATTAAAGTCCAATATCAAAAAATTGCGAGCAGGTTCTTACAAACCTTGACTTCTTGGATCTTAACAGGAGAGCGCAGAGAGATGCGCTTCCACCATCCACACTGATTTCTCAACGTATGGATCTCGAGACCGCTGCTTTCCTGCACGATGGGTATATCCCTTGCAAAGTAACAAGACCGCCGGGTGAAACATATCCAAATGCATGAATCATAGCCATTCTTTATCGCCTCTATGCATAAAGCTTCAATGTTTGATGAGGCGAAGGACGTTCTTTCCGCAAGGAAAGGATTCATTTCATGTTGTTCAGCGGGTGCTTTTTATCATCGTTGTTAGGTTGGCGGGGCTGATTCTCCGGAGCATAAACTCACATTGAGTTACAGATGCCTTTCTGGTTTCATTCGTTGCCTCAAGTCCCATGATGCCCCTACTCGGTGCCAGTACGGGACACGATTTCTTTCGTGAGAATCAAAGAGATTAATGCATGCTTATATGCAAAAATAACTTGATGCGCTCGTCACATCACATCCATCTGGATCGGGAAGCGTGCGGCATACAAGTTACAGGGACGTAAAGGCATTATCTACATCTGTCCATGGATGCGTTGTCAAGCGTACGTGGACCAATGTTAACTGCAGGGCTCTTCCAAGGCTGTTTATACATGCGCATCGAAGGCTGAGGCTGATAGGCTGTACCCTCCACCTGATTCTGCTGCCTCTTTGAGAGTCCGTGACCTTCGCGAATAGAATGTCCTCGCACTATCGGAGATGACAGGGATATCTCTTCGGAGTTTCTTTTCTCTTCTTTTCTTTTTCTTTTTTGCCCTCTTAGATAATATATATGAGAGCAAGATCCTGGGCAAATACTTCATCTTTTGGACGTTGCCTCGGCATACTTCCTAGAATTGCCCACTCAGCCACGTTCTACAGCACATACGCATATAGCCATCGGTCGTGGCATATGGATCACATTATCCTTTTAGAGGGAAAAAAAAAGTGAAGTCTCCTAAGCCGCGCAAAGAGAAATCAGATGAACCTTTGAGCCAGCGCTCCAAGAAAGGAAGCAGGCATAACTTGTTTTCGCATCGAATACGTATCGTTCTCATATGGAATCAAAATCTGAAATTACTAAAGGCGGGTGTTGGAAGTGCAGCGCCAGGACATGTTTTCTATTCAAATCATGTTTCTTAATTCAAAGACGGGGGAAAAAAGAACTCAAGGAAACATCTCGTTCGGTGTTGATGGATGCTTGGTGAACCGGTATACCAATTTTTCTCTAGGCCGAAGACAACCATTCATTGATGGCCTCTTGCATTCTGTACAATGTATCGTACACACTTGGAAGCCATTCTTTAGCGGCGCAGGGCATCTCTGATAGGGGAATCACCACGGCGGAAGGAGGCTAAATACAAGTTAGCTCAGTCATGGTCGGCTCTTGGAGATAGGCAAGCTCGGGGAAAAGCGGATAGCTGGGTCACTGTTGAGGGGCTTGCGAAGCTCGATGCTGAAAAAATTACACCAAGTAACCTCCGCCCAAGCTCAACGGAGCTTATCTTATAGTGACCCGAAGCTCCAACTTCACCGAACGTCTCCCTAAAAAGCCCGCGAAAAATGAAATATAGATATGAACGTACCATCAGCCTCTTCCCAGGCACGTCCGGCACCGAAGCCGAGACCAACCCACGCGGGCCAAGCTCTCCGCTTGAAGAGGAGCACCGAGAAGACAACACCGAAAGACAGACCGAGGGAGGACTTGATGATCACAGAGGAGATGGCGCGGTCCCACTAATTATATGACGTTGAAGGTTAGCCAACGGGTTCTCCCATGTTTGCTCCTAGACAGAGACAATCGCCATATATATCAATGATATGATTCTATATAGCAACCTCTCCCATTTGAGCATCCCAGCTAGCTCATACCTTCTCGTTAAGCAAAGCCTCGCTGACGGGCTTGGTGGCCCGCGCGATCGGCCCGGATTCACTGGATTCAGCCATTGCGATAAATCTATCCAGAAGTAAGCATCAATTGAGCCGGAGCTATTTCCGAGGGCAAACCACGAACCAGTTGCAATTATGTGGGATTATAGAGGTGAAGGCGTGTGGAGTGCAAGGAGTTTGGAGGTTCAGCGGACCGAGTCGATTCGGCCAAAGGCGGTCGGAGCAATCCGCGGTTTTTCTTCTTGATCTCTTTTTTTCTTCCCCGACAAATAACCAACCACTGTCTCGAGTAATTTGCTTTTTTTTCGAGATGCCGTCGATTGCGGAGGTAAGTGAAATGTTATCTTCGAATACTGCATGTCTTTTTCCCTGGATCTAATGTGTTGCGCTTCCACAGCGTCCGCGCTCATCGCAAGAGGCGCTCCTCCGCCTTGAGAAGGGCACCGCCAGTCCAACAACCCAGATCCACGAAGCGGCACAGATTATCGGCGTGGATTTGACACTATGTGACAGTCACCCGGAAGTTCACCGAGATGTTCGGGTTCAAACAAACGCTACCCCGAAGGAGGAATGGGTTCTGCGATGGCTATTGAAGAGACTGAGAAGTGGGAAGAACTATAGGGTGGACGCGGCTTCGTTCCTCTTATTACGGCAGCTCACCGACCTGATTTCGCCGAAGAATCTCGCAGCTATTCTTAAAGATCAGAAATTCTTATCGATCCTATGTGATACATTTGAAGACTTGGAGGCCGATATCTTTTCCGGTCTGGGGAACGGGCTCGCAAACCTCAGTTCTGACTCCGAGTCCAGTCACACACTGTCCGGATCTCCGACGCATGATGATCGCCGAGGAAACCAAGGGAAAAAACGCAAGAGGATGACAACTGAGAATGATGCAGACGCCATGGACGTGGACGTGGACGAGCAGCGGCAGAACCCCGCAGCATGCTTCCTCGCCTTCATCCGCGCCTTGGATTGTCTACACGGATTTGTGACACTTGCGCACCGCACACTAGGCACTGACGGGGTTGCAAACTCCCATTTGAAGCTTGCACTGAGGGGCGAACCCGAGGCCGTCGCCATGCTGCTGGGTCGAGCATTCCGGGTAGCCGCAGTGGCCGCCAAGCAGTTCTCACAGGAGGGGAAAACAACCGATCTTCAGCACTTGCTGTACGTGTTTCCCTCGGCGGTGGAACTGTGGGAATCGAGGTCTTACCGCGAAGATGATATGGACAACAAGTCGAGCAACGAATTTTTCGCGAGACATTGCTTCGCCCACGCGCTTAGGCTCCAAATTTGCCTGCGGTCTGCCAAACTTGACACCGACGAGCGAGCCAGTCTCCTGCATGCGATTGAACGCATTATTGCTCTTCATGTCTTACTCCCCGCTCGTGCAGCATTCTTTGCGCGTGGAAGCTCCGGCATCGATTATTCTCAGGATGAGCCCGACTGGAGCTCGGTCAAACCAGTGACTGATACTTTCAGGCCGATCATTCGCGAGTTTGCCGTGGCTAAGGAAAACAAAGCAAGCAATGAAGCTTGTATACATCCTTGGCGATCAGTTGAGCTCCTTCCTGAGCTTTTTTGACAACGCCGTGCGTGCTGTCCCTGAGAGATGTGTTCCGGAGGCAGACGCATGAAGCTCCGTGGTTGGAGACTCTGTTCGTCGCTGTTGCGGAGCTAGCTTTCTCCACTGCAAAGGAGGAAGACTTCGCCACATTTTCTTCTAAGTTCATTTCGGTATTGGAGCAGCTCCTCCAGGTCGCTCTTGACCGAAAGGTCGGACTCTCTCTTCACACCATTCTAGCGCATGCCAATTACACTGGTCTTTTCGAACAAGGCCTTGAGAAGGTCCAGTGGAATGTGACGGCTCTGTTTATCAGTCTTGGTGTTGATATTTTCCTGCCAAACTCCGGTTTGCGTGATTCACGTAAGCTTCTTGACGCATTGCTCGACAAGGTTATGTTGCAGTGGCGCGAAGGTGGTTCTCGGAGACGGAGGGACTACGACATAATCAAGAGCAAGGTCGTGCTGCCGTTGTTGCGAGGTTTCGCTGCCGCACGAGACCTGCCCAGCTTCATGGAATTGTGGCACAACCAACTCGTTATTGTGGAGGAGGCTCGCCAAGATAACAGCAATTTGAGTATGTTCTCGGTGTGGGAAGATGATGAGTTGGCGGACGCTTACTCGGAGCTTATGCGAACTTCCCTCACTGAGACGCATATTGCTGCCCAGATGCGTACCGCTGCGAGCGAGACGCGAGCTGAAAATGGCAAGGTCGCTGAAACCCCCGAGTCCTATGCCAAATTTGTTATTGTCGAGGCAAGTTTCCGTGGCCGAGTTTCGACATTCTCAGAATCGGAAAAGATCTTGACATCTCTCCTGGAAACTATCACCTCTACTCTGTCGTCGAAGCAGGCTCTGCACTGGCGATGGCGTCTGTGGCGGTTGGTTCGGAATTTCCTAGAGAACACCCTGCAGTCAGCCGATAATACCATGGCAAGTGCAATCATGTCATTGGTAGAAGTCGCCGCCAAGACTATTCACCGTAACCACAAGGACCTAACCAAAGCTCAACTTGCTCCTCTGGAATCGTGGGAGGCTTACCGGTTTTTGATTGCTGCAACGAAGGCACACGCCAGTGATGAGCAGCTAGGCTCGTTTGTTAAAGCCACCAAGGATGTCACAGACCTCATCACCTCCATCTCAACCAAGGATGCCAAAAAGTCGATGAAAGCACCCTGGAATGGCCGCACAGATACTGTGGATTCCAAAACAACCCTTGGCTTAGCTTACTTCCTGGCCATTGTCAGAGTTCCGGAAGTATGGGCTCTTATCTCTTCTGACGATCGATCCCGTCTGTTCCGTCATATCCTGTCCCTGGCAGCTGCTCAATACCATTCGTCGTCGTTGCCCTTGGAGGCTGTTGCAGAAGAAGCGAAGTTCCTCCAGGCATGGGCGACCGTGGTCTGCCACGAATATATGCTCAACTCTCCCTTCATTGTCTCTGATCTTTCCCTTCTCCTCAACGAGAGCATCGAGCAAGACTCGTCCAATCGGAAATTGCTTGTCGAGAGCTTGCAGAGGGTTCCGGCGCCGTTGATCACCCGTGGCCTGAGAACTACCATTTTGAACAAGTTGCAAAATGTTCTACTTGAACAGGACAGTTCTCCCGATGTCATGATCGGAATTATTACGATGATGGCGAAACTGGCTGCCATGCCTAAATGTGATGCCACAATGACCAGTGACTGGGAGCCCATCTGGACTGCCGCTCGAGCCGTACCATTGGAGGGTACCGACCTCGACCTCAAGATTATGAAAGCATTCCGAAGCCTGCACCGCGCGATATCGGCCAAGCTCCTTGTTTCGTCTGAAGCTGATCGGAACAAGATCTTTAAGAAACTCTTTGCCAGGGCATCGAAGCAGACCGCTAAAATGAAGCAGGTGGATCGCGATTCCATGGCCTGTTACCTTCTGAGGTTGACCTTGTCAGAGTTATGGGTTAACCGCAAGCAGCTGCAGACAGCCTTCTCAGAGGAGGAACTTGCTGCTTGTCGCCAGAAAGTGTTCGACTTCGTTTTGGCTGACATGAAACATGTCAAAGACCAGTGCCGGAAGCAGAAGATGGAGGAGACAATTACTCTTATCAAGACCATCGATGCTCTGGAGGATTTCGAAGATCTAGCCACCAACAACGCCGAAGTGGAGAAGTTCCTGTCCAAGATTGACAATTACATGGAAATGTCCGTCGATTCGGAACCGTCTCGGTTAATCCGGCGACGCCTTCTTGCCACCAAGGGACCCGAGGAGAACATCGCTCATCCAGTCCTGCAATGCGCCGAGACTCTTGCTCTTGAGTCTCTCTATGCCGAGGACCAGCAGCTCTTCATCCGGACCACCACCGAACGTTTCCGCTCAATGACCGTGGAAAAGATCACCCAAACGATCTGCGAAGTCCGCGGACTTGGCTTAGTTGGCGAAAACGCCGCCTACAGACTTCTCGTGCTCTACCTTGCCGTTTCCTCGCTCCCTCCTGTTGAAGACAAAGAGAGCGCCACAGCACGCGAGATCTCCCTCCTCTGCACGTCCCTCGCCGAAGCCATCACCCAAAGCACAAGCATCGACCAATTCTGCTTCGCGTCCGAATGCCTGGACCTCCTCCTCCGTAGCCACACCCGAAGCCTGACACAATGCAACATCGACAGCATCCTCAGCGCAATCGCGAGCGCCTCCTCCAAAATCGGCCCCCAGATCTCCCCAGCCTACGCACCAACCATCTACACCCGCCTGTGTCGACTAATGGGCGTCGTCCTCAGCCTGCAACGCCTCAAGATCGGCGGCCGCTTCCACCTAGTGGTAAACGCTATGCAGCGCTTACTGGGCTGTCTCTTCGCGCGGTCCCGCAAACGCGGTCGCTCCCGCTTCCAGCCCACCTTGTCGCAACCCTTCTGGCTCGCCCCGCTCGACGCCTCGCACGCTACGTACTACACCCGTCTGCTCACCTCGCTGTGCGACCCTACCGTCTCGGCGGTCCTCCGTCCTCAGCCTGGTTCATCCCGCGAGGCCCTGACTGACCAGACGAAGAAGGCGAAGCGCATTGCCGGTCAGTACTTGCAGTATGTTGTTATGGAGTATGCGCAGTGCTCGCTGCGTGGGTCCCTGTCTCCGGAGGTCAAGGCTGCTATCTTGCCTGGTCTGTATGCTGCTCTGGATGTCATGTCGCGTGAGTCTATGCGTGCTCTTAATGCTGCGTTGGATGTCTCTGGTCGTGCAGTGTTCAAGTCGCTTTATGATGACTATGTGAAGTTCGGAAAGTGGAATAAGGGTTGATTGGGGTTTTGTGGAAACTGTCCTTTCTCTGTACACTATCTTTTGCTTAAGAATTATGATATCCCCCAATGCATTGATGATCATCATATAAATTTCAAACCGGATTGTAATACTCCACCTACACTCCTATTCTTGGCAAAGACCTGGAGTATCAATAATCCTGTTATATTCCAAGGTTTACGCCAAGTGACAGAGCCTCACATAAGAACCTTGGAATGGGGCATAGCCTTCCCCGCACTGGAACAGAGCTAACCTCAATTCTCAGATTGCCTTGATAATTCTCTCCTATTTGACACCATTCGATAAAAACACAATATGGACATCGTAGCTTCTGCCCAAGCAGCCGCTACGCTAGCTGGCATGTTTCTCGAAATTGTACAGGTCACAAAACATGTTATTGAGTCCTTGAAAGGAGCACGAACCGCCTTGGTGGAAATGTTCACTCGCGCAGAACGCATCCGTCTAAACCTCGAGCTCTTCCGCTCGCTCACCAACAAACTTTCTGACCCGATGGAGAAAATCACCGCCCTTTCATTCAATGAGAGTGCATATAGGCAGACTGCAAATGAGGTGCTCGAGCTGGTGCGCAAAGTTGCTGATTCGGGCAGACGCCACGACCTCATGATGAAGGTCAACTGGTTGTTCTATAGGTCAAACGTTGTCGCAATTGTCAAGAAATTGGAGGAAAGAGAGAGGGATCTGGGACTTGTGTTAACATTTATTGCTGCGTATGTACCTTGATTGTCCTCTTGATTTTGATACTTTCGTTATGAGACTACAAGCTGGGTATAACTCGGGGATACTTTTCCCACTATAGACACTACTAATCGAATGTTTTCCTAGGCAATCAAGTGCCATTACTGAGAGCGAAGTGCTCAGGTTGAGAACTAGAGTCGAAGAGCATACGAAGGTTAACGATGCCTTCAGCAATATTCATATTCACCAAGGAGAAGAAACTCAAACTACGCCAGACAACGAGACCACTGACAACAAACAAACGATTTCTGAGTTGAATACAGATACAAGACCAAGAGCTGGATGGCCCGATATTGTCGTAACTCCCTCAAAAACATCGCCTACTCTATGGCTTGGCGTTCTGATCAGGAAGTCGTTTACTCCAGCCTATCTATGCCAACGGGATGGATTAGCCAGCGCATCATACTGTGGCCGTTGGAAGACTGTGTTAGAATCCCTCGATGAGGGAAAGAAGGTCTTCAATGAGACATGGCCAAACGCCGTCCGGCTTCGTATGTGTTGCGAGCTATCAAAGTCTACATCTGGAGTCAACTCACCTATCAACAGACCCAACCAAGAAGTATCATGAATTGTCTCTTTGGACCTCACTCTATCAAGCTGCCCATATGCGAGCCCCTGTTAGCGTCATCTCGCAGCTAATTGAACACGGGGCCTTTCGTACGATTATCCCGTTTCTTTCCTCGAGACTAATGAACTGGCATGTTCAGTTTGTCCCGCTAACATGATGCTTCTTGGCCAGGAACCCTTCCGACTGGTCAGACAAAAGGCGAATTTCGATTCCCAGATCTCGCCGCCAGTGAAATTGCGCACGAACTTGGTTACGACGATATATATAGCATCTTGGCCCCTGTTGTCAGACATACTTTGCCTGCCGCAACCCTGACCTTTCTTCAAGCGAGATTTCATGGACTTCTCTGCGCAGAACTGGAGGATTGTGGGCCCTTGCCCCGAGGGGGTATACGTCTACCTCCGTTGGCTGCGTTGACCGAGCTAGAACGCCCGGAGATGTGGTTTCCTCTTGCGTTATTTCGGAAGGTAAGTGTCCTCCGAGTGAAGCTTATTGATAGGGATAAGATCCTGATTATCCTTTCTCGTAGGCGTTTCTATATCGCCTAGATGGAAGGGAATTGGTGGTGCTCAGTCTTGGACGTAGACAATCGCCATCAAGCAAGTGTTCCGTATCACGGTTGAAGGGTGGACAGCGATTCACGATGCCATCATCACAGGTGAATAATAGCGTGGGAATCACCATATCATCCTTCTTCGAACAAACTGCCTGAAAGTCGGGTTGGAAGGACCTCGGGATGCGTTGTCCATGACTCACACAGACTTCGGCTCAAGTCATTTCCCGCAATGCCAGCAACACTGCTAGGCTTTTCGAGTAGGTTGTTGTAAAGGGGTTCCAGTATAACTAGACTAATGTTTCGATGTCTATGACTTTATTAGGCGGTGCTTTAACGCCGCCGAACGTTCGTATATTCAAACATTCTTAACATACTCCGCTTACCACAACTAGCTACCTACCTAGGTATGTTAAGTGCGACGTAGATGCACAAACCACTACAAAAGGCAGTAAGAAAAACGATACTCAGGATAGTAGGCACAAATTCCACTCAACAAATTACATTCAAACAGGCAATCTATTACTGTGGCCGTCTAGAGCAGAGATTCTAGATAGGGTATCATAGGAGATCATAAATCATGCGAAGTCAAAAAAGGCGTGGAGAAAAAGAAGAGGGGAGAAACGAAATGGTAAGATATCATCAAGCCGTAGATCATCTAGATCATGGAAGTCTCCACAGTGCGCGGACTCAGACAGGGCACAGACACATTGTCTAATACCGGGATCCGAGAAGTCTGAGACGTAGCGAAACTTTCGTGGGGAACATGATGCGAAGATTGAGTTTGCTCGTCCGATGTATTGGCAATGGGGTGCTCGGGGGTAGGCATGTCTAAAGAAAGACCGTTGTGGCCGCTGTGCGTGAGACAGCCGACACAGCTGCAGTCGCTGCCGCATTGGCAGCTGCCTGTCATGTCGGAACAGGCGTTTGGTAGCCCTACTGGGTATTCCAGGGTGTAATATTCCGAAGGATGCATCAGTTGCTGGTTCAGATGGTGGTTTGCTGACAGAGGGGAGGAGTAACCGCTGGGTAGGGTGGAATTTGGATCCGAGTAGCTATCAAATGGAATAGGCTGGAAGCCATGGTCCATTGAAGGTGTATTTTGCATGAAGTAAGGGAATGGAGTCGAAGGGGTGCTTCCCTGGTAAGGTGAGGCTTGGTAAGGGTTGATGACTTCCGGATTTTTGTCATCGCCGTTGGAGGTGATCAGGGCACCCATCTCTTGGACATGCTTCCGGGTCGTGGTATTGAATGGATGAGCAGCACAGCCAAGACACTGGCAATCTTCTCCACAACTACACTCGTGACAAGAGTCGCCGCTTGGTGGAGCATTGTAGGAAGGCTCGAGGTTGTTGAGCATGTACTGACCCATAGAGGGCTGCGTGATTCCAAGGCCGTTCATCGGGTTGGAGTATGCCATGGACGGCGGAGAAGTCACACCGGGTATCATCCCTATTTGGGGCATTTGGGTTTGAGAGTGTGGCAGCACCATTCCCATGTACCCATTATGGATGCTTGAGGGTTGGGGTTGTGCTTGATGCATGGTGGGATGCATGTAGTCTCCATGCGTGGGAATTGAGGAATTCTGCCATGGGGACATGTGTGGCATGGGGAATTGCATGTAACTCTGATCATCCCAAGAAATAGGTTGTTGGAATTGCTGCCGGTCGGCGTCTGAGTAGACAGCTTGCTTTGTCGTGGAAGGGCGTGATCCTCCGCAACAAGATCCACCATTCTGAGCCGGAGCAGCAGGCGCGGTAGGAGCTGGGGGCGGGGTAGGTGCCTTCGACTTTTGCTTTTGGGAGCAGCAGCTGGATACCTCGGGAGACTGCGAGGCTTGCCTGGTAGTCTCTATGGGCGACGGCGTCTTTTGGTTTTGTGCGGACGCAGTGGGAGGTGTCTGTGAAGAGAAGTCTGAAGTCAAGTTCGACGTTCCATCCTCGAGCTTAACCATGCCTGGCATGTTGTCTAATGCCCGTGCTATGTTTTCAGGTGCTGCTTGCATAGTGCTTTGTCTTCTTCCAGACTTCTGGACCTTGGCCGGAGCTGGTGACGATGTGGAAACCATGGAGGATGAGGGCGACTGAGTTGACTCATTGGCATCCATGGGAACTTTATAGAGCGGACGACATAAGCATGATGAGCCTGAGGCAAGTCAGTACAACGCAAACGCATGTGCGATGATTTGGTGATCTCTACCTTTTGGAATGCGGACCATCACGGCATATGTCTTCTGGCAGCTGCAAGTCCCTTTCGGGTGGGGACATTTTGCAAGAGGACGCCCGGCTTTAGGGACTTTCATCATGAGTCTGTCGAAGTGCTGGCATTTTGATGATCGATGACCTCGAATGCATGGTTCACTGGTGTAACTGTTTAGCCTGGTCTCATTGATAATGTACAATATATCCCTACCAAGACCACTTGGCACCTTCTTCATCAAGAGGCATATTGTTGAAGAGAGACGTAGGACACCGTCGAATTTAAGGTGGGACGCAAGGTTGATTCGTAATATCGCAACCGTGTGTCGCAGAATTCCAACGGCTAGTCGATACCCCGCGCATGCAATCGCCCGTTTCCGCTATGACCGTCAGACGCCTCGTATTTGGCGACAAACTAAGCCATACATATGCTCGTATTGTAAAAATGTCGTTCGCGAGAGCAGATCAGAGCGAAAGGTGGAGTCGAGACGGACCGAAGTGGAGGTTGTGATTTCTTCAGCGTTTGAAGCGGGAGAGACCGGGGGCTGATGTGATACACCAACACCACGAGATATGGAATAAGTACTAAGATATCGAATCCATATGATCCGAATAACCCATAGATCGCAAGTTCAGGCTATTCGCAAGTAAAAGACGGAAAAGCGGGAGCAAAAAGGTGCGGGGAGGACGGTACCTGGCAATTATTAGGTAAGGCAATACCTTCCTGTTCGGGCTTGGCGCGTCGGAATTGTTTCGATGACGGCACTCGGACATTTTGGGGCTTTGGACTCTGGACTTTGGAGACTTTGCGACTTTGCGACTTTGAAAAGCTTCACCACGATGCCACCTAAAGGCCCCGATAGCCCTCCAGAGGAGTCCAATGCCAGTCCATTCTTTACAGTCCCCGCTCCTATCAAGCGCCTCTTTGACAAGTTCCCATTGACTACCTATCCCGCCAACGAGATCCCCCAACGCCTTCGACCGCACGGCAATGTCAACCAGCTGTACGTGTTCACCGATGCATCTGGTGCACGACATGGCCGACCCTCATTCAATCCTCAATGTCTCAAATGGCAGGTTCGTGCCGTCTATACTCTATACTCGCATGCAAGGACGCGCGTAGCCGTCCCTGTCCGGAACCATACTGATCGCTTTCGCTCTAGGCATACTTGAAATTCGTCGGGATTGACTTTGAGATCACCTCATCCAACAATCATGCATCGCCGAATGGCTCCCTGCCTTTCCTCCTTCCCTCGCTGCCTGCAGACGCCTCGAATCCGATCCCTTCGCACAAAATCCAAAAGTGGGCCATTGAACAAGTTCACTGCGAGGAAGAACAACAATTAAACATGCGGTTTGAGGTGTATGCCTCGCTTTTAGACAACCGGATACGCAGCGCTTGGGTAGGCCAATGAATTCATCAGAAACAAACCCTAGACTCGAAGAAGCTGACTGAAGTGTCTAGTTATACATGCTTTACCTAGACAGTGAGAACTTCGACGCTGTTGCGCGCCGACTCTATGTGAATCCCACAACCTCGAACTGGGTCGTGCGCGCCGCTATAGGCCACCAGCTCCAACAGGCTGCCCGCGATGAGCTTCTCAAGACATCGCGGTACATCGACGCCGCTGCCCTGGAAGCCGACGCGGGTGGCGCATTCGAGGCGCTATCCACCTTGCTCGGCGAGGATGAGCACTTCTTTGGCCGGCCAAACCCAGGTCTCTTCGATGCCAGCGTCTTCGCCTACACGCAACTGATCCTGGACGATACCCTGGGCTGGAAACGGAACCGGCTGGCACAACTGCTCAAGGAGCATCCCAACCTTGTACAACACCGCGACAGACTACTGAAATTCTTCTAGATGTATAACAGCAACCCATGGCGTTTGAGTTGGACTCATTGTTTAGATAAAATAATATCTCTCCTGATTTTACCTCTCCATCTCAACTCCTCTTAACAAAACAAACCCCAAACCAAACCCTAACCCCAACCCACTTCTTCGCCCTCGCCCCCAGAACATCCCCCAACTGCTCATCAACCCCTCTAACAAGCACCCCATCCCCACCCGCACCAACAACCTCCTCAACCTCAAACCCAGCCTCCGCAGCCGCATCCAAAACATCAGGAATAGCATGACAATAACTCGTAGGCCGAACCTTAACCCCGCGCTCATCCGTAAACCCCGCCTGACTCCGCATCCCCATCTCAGCATGCATATTCGTCACAAGCAAATACGCACCGGCCCTCATAATCCCCGCCGCAGCCGCAAAAAACCGCTGAAGCGGAATATGCTCCAGCACCAGCGTAGATATCACACCTACGGCACCCGGTCCAGTCAACGAAGACGGAAGCTGTGTCTTCGATAGCTCGGGTTGAAGAAGGTCAAGGATACTGAGCTCAACGGGCGTCTGCGTTGCGCTTTTCGTCGCATACTCGCTTGTCGCCGTCCGCGCAACGTCTAACATCCCCCGTGAGGCATCAAGACCGATTACGGAAAAGTGGTTTGCTTTTTTGGCTGTGCTTAGTGAGGAGAGGAGCTCGATTGTGTTGCGGCCGGTGCCGCAGCCTAGGTCTACTAGGCTGGGGCGGGTTGTCGTGGTCTCTGTATCTGGTGGACTTGGCTGGAAGCGTTTGCTTACCCGGTCGATGAATTGGGGTAGTAGAGTGCGCATCTCGATTGTGTCGAGGCGTTGGAGGAAGTTGCCGTCTGTGTCGTAAACCTATTTTGTGTTAGCATTGGTATATAGGGTAGATGGTTTATATAGTTTGAATGGCCACATGAACGCTATATGTATAGTATAATAGACAGGATCTAGGTGATATATGGGAAATTGGATATAGGTACGCACCTCTGCCCATTTATCATATGCTTCAACCGTGTCCACATACTGCGTTTTCTGTGAGTTTCCGGAAGGCTTCGTGGCCAGCAGCTCCTGGATTGTCTGTGCCATTCTGGAATTGTACCATGGAACGATTATGGATTTCAGTGGGTTTGCGGGGAATATATAGAACTTGTGTTCCACGCTAATGTTTAACCTTTCTCCACTCTAAACGAGCTTGGGGTATATTATAATGAAGTCCGTGCTACATTGAGTCATACCTAGGTACACGGTGACTCATTTAAAATACAGATTGAGGCTAGCGATGGAGAGATATTGGATGTAGCGAGGATAACCGAGAAGCTTGATAGCCCCAAAACCGACTTTAAGTCTAAGCTTACATTGAGAAATAGCACTACGAAATACGAAGGAATGCTGATCATCAGGAATATGTGACAGTTTAGTTTAATCACAGAGAGGAATCGTACATATTCATGTCACCGTTAAAGAGACATAAGGAAAACGATAAGGAAACGAAGCCCGGGGAGAGAGCACACTAGAGAGGTCGACAAAGGTCCAGGATTGGAGTAAGAAATAAAGAGAGCACAAAAAACAGGCCAAAAGAGGGCGAGACATCAGTCCAGGGAATCGCGTAATTGCCGTACCGGACGGACCATAAGTCAAACGCTCGTAAAGAAGAGAAAAAGAGGTAAGGAGAAGGGAAGATAGAAAAATGGTAGAGAGAGAAAAGGAAAAAAAAAAGCACCAAATAATCGCAGCGGACATCGCGCATATTCGGTCATCAAGTAGTGAGTGAGTCAATCATCGCCAGTCAAGTCATTCAGTAAACCGTCGTTCCGAACGGAGCCGTCTCCTTTAGGTCCTCCACGAGGTCCTCCACATTGTTGAGATACCTCCCCAGAAGAGCCTGCTTCTCGTCCGTCGTGCGTGTATCGCGGTTCGCTTTACTTGCAGCATTTGCCGCGGCGGAGTGCGCACTGCGCGAGAAGGGGACAGAGGAGAGTTTGCTCGGGCTGCGCTGCAGGCCTGGCGGGGGAGATATCGGTGCCGGTGTCATGGCCTCGGGCATCAGATAGAAGTAGAGGAACTCGACGAGCTTAAGTTTGACTTCGCGGGAGGTGGCGCGCAGCTTGAACAGCGATGTAACGGTGAGGAGGCCATCGAGGTCCTCGAATGTGCGTGTGTTTGATGGACAGTCCAGTAGGGCTGTGACGAGTGTGAGTAGGGTTGCTGATTGCACGGCTGGACAGTTGATCGGGTCGAGGAGGTCGAGGAGGAGGTTCATGTAGATTTCGCGGGCGAAGAGGGTGCGCGAGCCGCGATGGAGGAGGAGGGAGCCTTGGATTAGGTCCAGTGTGCAGACGATCAGCATGTCGTTTGTGCCGTTGCTTCCTCGGCCTAGAAGGTGTTCGAGACATGATACTAGGCGCATGGCGACTGAAGCATACTGTTAGCGCTCAGACTCTGGTTGCGATAGAAATTTCAAAGACATACTGTTCCATTGAAAGCTTTCCTGTAATTTGGAAAATTCGCGAAAGGCCGGATCATCTCGCAACTCTGACAAGGTCTTTGGCACGGGCTGGGTTTCGGGGGAGCGTGATCTCCGGTCCAAGACGGGCTTAGGTTTCGATAGACATATTTGTGCTAGTAGTCCCTCAACCTGGCGTAACCCTTTGCGGATCTTGCTAGGTTCGTATGAAGAGAGGTAATCGAACGAATGGGCTAATAGAGCCTCCATTGATAAATCAGATGCGGAGATTGAGAAAAATGAGCTATTCCAGCGCTACCAAAAAGAAAGAAAAGCAAGTGAACATTCTTAAACAAAAAGGTCAAAAGCAAAGTGGAGAAGGTCCGTGTTGTCCATTTTGGTGTGGATGAGGTCAGTTGGGCCCTTCCAAGGTTTCGCAGTAAATAAAGGGCGGTTGCCCCAGGCAACTGGCCAATAACCAAGGAACTCATCACATCGGGGAACTCTTAGCTCGACTTTAGATCGACCCCTGGCGTCTATCAGGTTCGACTCTAATGTTAATTATAGTGTAGAGCCCCAGTCTACACTGTAGACCTCTCTGTACCTTTGTTCTCCGTTGCTATAGTGAACATTACCCATCTTATATAATATTATTGAAGAATTCACTTGATCCTTCCCGCTTATGACCTATCAAATCATCATATTTTCTCTCTTGCCAATCAAATTGACAGATCTCATTTGACAGCCCCATCCTATTCCTGTCAGCTGCCTCAGCCACACCAGGTGGGCGGGCCCGATTAGTCATGGACCTCGGCATTCGTCATCAATCACACCTGCAAAGCTACTATGGTTGTACAGACCTTTGGAAGTATGTATACATCTTGCATCATACGTTTTACGATATATTATAAGTCTTTGTACATGTACGAACGTGTGCTGAAAAAGTGTGGCTGATGTCATCTATACATATCGCATGACTCCGCACTTATACCGGAGGTCCATAGCTCCCCACGTCTTTCTGCCGCTCAACCCCTCCATCTTCCCATCCACAATCATGAACTCAGCACCCTTCCAACCACCAAGTCCCGTTCCTCCTCGGACAAGCTCAGCAAATGCAACAAATGGCACCGGGGGCTCCTCCCACCGACGCATGCTGTCAGTGACAGATGAAGAGCCGACGAAAACCGGACATCGTCGCAACAAGTCAAGCGTGGACGGCACCAAGTACAAGGATGGAACATGGTCATCGAAGAACGACAAGATCCTCATGGGGCCGTATGACTACGTCCACGAGCACCCAGGGAAAGATATTCGGCGACAACTGATCCACGCCTTCAACGCCTGGCTGCAGGTCCCGCCGGCGAGCCTGGCGATCATCACCAAGGTCGTAACGATGCTGCATACATCATCGCTATTGTGAGTTTGAATGCCCACACACCTCCCTCCTCTCCCCCAATCCATATCCTGATGCTGACCGCATGCGCGCTAGAATCGACGACGTCGAAGACAACTCCGTCCTCCGCCGCGGCATCCCCGTCGCGCACAACATATTCGGAACAGCGCAGACAATCAACTCCGCAAACTACGTGTACTTCCTCGCGCTGCAAGAAGTGCAGCAGCTCAACAACTCTGCCGCAATCGACATCTACGTACAGGAGATGCTGAACCTGCACCGGGGCCAGGGAATGGACCTCTTCTGGCGCGACACGCTGACCTGCCCGACGGAAGACGAGTACCTGGAAATGGTCGGCAACAAAACGGGCGGGCTTTTCCGCCTCGCGGTGAAACTCATGCAGGCGGAGAGTACAACGGGAAAGGACTGTGTTGCCCTGGTCAATGTCATGGGCTTGATTTTCCAGATCTGCGACGACTACCTCAACCTCTCGAATACGGTTTACACGGAGAATAAGGGATTCTGCGAGGATCTCACTGAGGGCAAATTTTCCTTCCCGATTATTCACAGCATTCGCTCGAACCCATCCAATCACCAGTTGATTAATATCCTGAAGCAAAATACCAAGGATCCGGAGGTTAAGCGCTATGCGGTGCAGTACATGAAGAATACGGGCAGCTTTGCGCACACCAGCCGGGTTGTCGGGGATCTGCGAGATCAGGCGTTTGCATTGATTGAGACGATTGATGCTACGCCGAAGATCAATGGAGCTGGTGATGGACAGATGGTGCGTGCTATTGTGGAAAAGATTGTGGAATCGACGCTGTCGGATCCCAATGCATGCTAGTTGTTCTTTGTTCTTTTGATATGATTATGTGGAGGTCGTGTCTTTGTTGGATATACCCAGTTCCAGTTATCTTGTTTCCAACAAGTTGGCTATGTAATTACGAGCGTTCACGATGATATGAGTTATGTTTATATGGTCCCAGCAGTGCAAATCGTTGAAGTAGCTGTATCTAACAGCATGAAGTAAATGATAATCTCCATGTTCATGTCGGGGTATAATCACATCCCTACCATCATGAGTCGTGTCGAGGCTAAACCCAGACTTGCTTTCGAGGTCTACTTCTATAGATGGTATATGAGCTAGAAACGTTCTCAGAAACCAAAAAACGCAAAATGTCACCAACATCAAACAACCAAGACCTGTCCACAAACACAGCTATGCATCTATGTATATGTCCCAAACACCAGAAAAACAAGCTCACATAACCACACAGCAAGCCTTCTCGAGCTTGCGCAGAACCTTGGGCAACACCTTCTTGGCAAGCTCCTCGAGCTCGTCCGGCTGTTGCTGCTGCTGGTGTCCCTGTTGGTGACCCTGTTGTCCAGGGTATCCAGACGAGCCGTGGTGACCAGTCGAGGGAGGCATAACAGCCTCACCGCCAGTCAGGTTGACGTAAATGCGACCGGCATTGTCCTCGGTGGCATACTGCAGCCCCAACTCACGGCAAACCTGCTCGACGCGCGGCTTGATTTTCTGGACGTGATTCGCGGAGTGGTTTCCCTTGCCGACGATACTATAGCGCGAAATCGGTATTAGTCGCGTTCGATCCAGCGCATTGAATTCTCCCGAATTTGTACTCTGCCACTTACACATGAAGATGATTCTGCCCGTGCGACTTGGCGTACTTGATCCGCTCTTCCAGGATCTCCTCGGCCTCCTCGACGAACTGGCCGTGCAGATCGATGGTGTCGGCCTCGACGCGCCCGTTCGCGTTGTTCTCGCGGAAGATGAACTCAGACGCTTGTTTGTTGTACTCCTCCATCTTGCGGCCGTGGGCCTTGCCCTCCTCGGAGAGTTGCTTGGCGGCGGCGCCATCGCCGCTCGAGTAGGCTTCCTTCGACTGTGGGAGTCAGTGTTAGCGATGAAATGACTAGAGCTGCGATTGCGATTGCGATTGGGATTGGGATTGGGTGGTCGCTTACCCGGCTGAAACATTCGCCGCGCTTGGAGGCTTCCTGGCGCGCGAGATCGCGGAGCCGATCGTACTCCGCCTCGGCGTCGGTGCTGTTGTCGTGGTTGAAGGCTGGGGTTGTTAGCGATTGTAATGGCATAGAATGACTGACGTGTTACGTACCCGAGGGCCCATGTGGGACATTTGGTGCGACATGATTGTGATGATTAGAAAACGCAGGGGAAAGAGAAGGGTGCCTCTTAAGGTGGGGAATCCCCAAAAAATCAGATCGATCGAGTTCCTTGGGTCTTCCCAGGGTTTGTTGGCCCCGATCGATGGAACCAAGATATCGGCCCCATTGGGATTTGGATTGTGGTTTAGAATATTCCAAGATTATAACCAAGTAGATATATAGAATGGATGAGTATATTAATATGTGGTACGGAGTATATTAACTATAAATCTATGATTATGGTCTAGATGGGTGTGGATTGACCTTGGAAATGATCTACACAGTTACAATTCTCCAATCCAGAGTGTAATTTATACTTGTGACGGTCCACGGGGATTTAATTATGTTAGTAATCATCACGTGACCTCAGACCCAGGGAAACCTCTCGACTATCAAATTCAGAGTTCTGGTCAAGTTTAGACGCCAAACTAGAGCCGCGAGCTTCAATAGTCTCCATTGCCACGAGGCAATAAGTGGAGTCCAGTATCAACTCCTCACACAAATTGGCGGCAAAAATGGCTAGGATCACTAGGATCACTAGCCAGTGGGTCATCTAGTGCAGAACTTCAGGGGACAACCTTGGGACGCGATTGGAAAGAGGAAAATCCCCCTAACTTTCCCTTTTTTAACCGATTCTGGGATTACCCTGTGTCCATTGACCTCCTTTTCAATCATCATAGCATAGTCTTGTTAAATCCACCAGTAGAGGGGCTAAGCATAAAGGTGTGACAGTCAGTGTCTCGACATAGTCCCCCGAGTGGACTGTGGGGTCCACTGAAGATAAAACGGGGATCCACGGATGTGCAGACTGTTAGAGACCTGTCGGATTATCGTACTGTTGTATTTCATGGAAGTTTCAAGGAAGCCTCAAAGAAAGACATGGATGTATGAGATGAGGCGTAGGCTAGTCTGAGTGGGCAGGAGCACTGGCCTTTGTGCTTTGTTTCTTTGTCCCAAGGTCTCCCTCAGACTGAAATTATCTGAGACGAGATACTGCTGAGGTGAGGTCAGATGTGGGACTTTATGGAACATCCATGTGAGTAGTAAACTTGTATGATATACTAGGTGTTGATGTTGATAAGTTACTCGTCAGGGGTGCCCTAGACCTCTTGAAGAGCGTTGCTGTTATTTCCAACATTGGATCTTTAAATGTGATTCGTTTTTAGTTTGATATACTAGTTTTGCTCTCCACAAGATCTGCACGCCTCCAGAAGTCCGGCATTTTATATGTTATACATATAAAGTAGTACTATGCATTGGGATAGGGGGTATAGTACCCTATTTTATAGACTTATGCAGGTCTGAATCAGAATGTTCCATGAATGCATAGATGCACATAAGATAATACCCAATGCCAATAGAATACCGGCCAATACAATAAAAAAGCAAAAGGGGCTGAATGGGCCCCTGTACGTCCCCACATCGCCCAATCAGCTAACTCCAGTTGCCGGGGTGGTATTGTTTTGTATCCTGTATTTTATTTACTCAAGACACAGTCGTCAGCAGTACTCCATACCCGGGCGGTACCCTCAACCACCCGCCATTGTCTGCTGAATCGCCGTGGTATTACCAGCGTATCCCCTTTCTCTGCTGAAACTTTCCCAATTTCCCCCTCAGTCTTGCCCCTTACCTTGGAGTTGTATCTTCCTCTCTTTTCTTCTTTTCCAGATTGGATTCTAATCGGATTCTTCTAATTCTTCCTTTCATTTCATTTCTCTCATTTATACCCTTTTGCCGTTCGTTTTTGCATCTCGCAAAAGCATCTTCAGGTGGGTACCCTTTTTTTTCCCTTTAATCTTTGTCAATTGGCTATTTGCTCTGGCAAACTCGGCGCTCCTTGCGTCGGCATGCTTACACCACTTCTGAAACGCCGTCTGCCTCTGCTCAGCGGTGCTTGTGCAACCTATGCAACGCCCCCCCTCGAGCCCATCAATGCGATATTCTCTCGGATGAAATTATTCCAGTTTTGCTGACATTAATCCGATTTGGACAGCCCCTGTCACAGACCGATTATCCCTCCCAGAGAATCTTTTCCCATCCACTTTCACACCGTTAATTACGACTTCATACCGTCAAAATGGGTTGCGGAATGAGTACCGAGGATAAGGAGGGGAAGGCGCGGAACGAGGAGATTGAGAACCAGCTCAAGCGCGACAAGATGATGCAAAGAAACGAGATCAAGATGCTACTTCTCGGTATGATCTATTGACCCCCCTGATGGGAATATGCGCAGATGGCTGATTTGGGACACAGGAGCCGGAGAGTCGGGCAAGTCCACGATTTTGAAGCAGATGAAGCTTATTCACGAGGGTGGATACTCCCGCGACGAGCGTGAATCATTCAAGGAAATCATCTACAGCAACACCGTCCAGTCGATGCGGGTCATTCTCGAGGCCATGGAGTCCCTCGAGCTGCCCCTGGAGGATGCGCGCCACGAGTACCACGTGCAGACCATCTTCATGCAGCCCGCTCAGATCGAGGGTGACAGCATTCCCCCCGAGGTTGGAAACGCCATTGGCCAACTTTGGCGCGACACTGGTGTTCAGGAGTGCTTCAAGCGCTCGCGCGAATACCAGCTGAACGACTCGGCCAAATAGTGAGTAGCGACCGCTTGTCTGTCGCATTGCGACGTGACTAACTTCTTTCCTCTTAGCTACTTCGATTCCATTGAGCGCATTGCCCAGCCCGACTACCTCCCCACCGACCAGGATGTCCTCCGTTCCCGTGTCAAGACCACCGGTATCACCGAGACCACATTCATCATTGGTGACCTCACATACCGCATGTTCGACGTTGGTGGTCAGCGATCCGAGCGCAAGAAGTGGATTCACTGCTTCGAGAACGTCACCACCATCCTGTTCCTCGTCGCCATCTCCGAGTACGATCAGCTGCTCTTCGAAGATGAGACCGTCAACCGTATGCAAGAAGCCCTGACTCTGTTCGACTCGATCTGCAACTCCCGGTGGTTCGTCAAGACCTCGATCATTCTGTTCCTCAACAAGATCGATCGGTTCAAGGAGAAGCTCCCCGTTAGCCCGATGAAGAACTACTTCCCTGATTACGAGGGCGGTGCCGACTACGCCGCGGCTTGCGACTATATCCTCAACCGTTTCGTTTCCCTGAACCAGGCCGAACAAAAGCAGATCTACACGCACTTCACCTGCGCTACCGACACTACCCAGATTCGATTCGTCATGGCAGCAGTGAATGGTAAGCTTAGCCATTCCTCATTTTAGTGTGCAACACTTGTCTAACGTTTCACAGATATCATCATCCAAGAGAACCTCCGTCTCTGCGGTTTGATCTAATGAACCTATTTGGTGACGAAGTGTGTCGAACCTAGATCGCATGTTTTTATTAACCGGGGCTGATCGGATGTCGAAAAAAGCCTCGTTTCAAGATCCCGGCGTTGATTCTCTTTTTTGCGTTTTTCATTTTCCTATTCTCCATTTGTTCACGTTCTAATTTTCCCTGCCATTGACACGATCTCTAGCCGGTTTTTGTGTTTTCTCTTGTCAATCCTGATATCCACTACAGAAAACAAGGAGTGTTTCCCTCCCTTTTTCTATTTCCTATTTCCTTTCTACCTTTTTTTTTCTCTTTTCTATCCTTCTGATTTGAATGCTGGATATCCTATCATCTCTCCCCCCATTTTCTTGTTTATGTATGTAACCATATCGTCTCCCCCATCATTTTCCTTGGTCTCGCGTCCGTTGGAAGCCAAGAGCGTCCATCCGGGCATTGGGCACGGGGAAATGGCAGGATCCGCGGATTTGAATGTTTCCTTCTCATGTGTCATGCCAGGTCGGTCGTCGAGTTATTTCAGAGTTCAAGGATTGACTCTTCAGGTTCTGACCCTTAATTCCATACTGTTTCTATACCCTTGATGTGTCGTATACTCCCAAGTTCTGGATATCGATACAATTGTAACTTTGTAGAGGTATGACCAGTTCTATACAGAGCGAAATAAGGGTATCGACGCGTAAAGATAGAACCAAGCTATCATCCTATCGCAGACAGAAGTATAAAGACAGGCCGGCTGATTATGACCTCAGAACCTCAACTTCGGCCCAACATAAACAATCAGAATAGCAATAACCCACAGCCCGAAAATCCACGCATACAGCATCATCCGCCCCCACAGCCCCTTCCCCTCCGTCATCTTGCGCAACATCCCCATCCTCTTACCCGCCGCCTCCATCGTGGAACTCGTGCGGTCAATACCCGACACCGCACGGTCCAAAGCAGATTTCTCACCCTCCAGTGTCGACTGGAAGCTCTGCGAGGAGGATTTCAATTGCGAAGCGAGCGTCAGGAGCGAACTGGTAAGATCCTCCTGTTCCATTCTATGGGTACTCAGCTCCGTTTCCGTTTCAACGAGCTTGTTCGTATTGCTTCCCGTCGCCGCTGCTTTGTCAGTAGATGGTGGTGCGGGGTGGGCCGTGTGGCGGTTGCGGAGGGTTGGGGGTGTTGGCGGGTTTGTTGATGAGGGTGTTGGTGATGGGGTTGTGGTTGTAGTCGTCGTTGCGGAGGATGTAGTGGTTTGTTGCGCTTCGCTTGGTCCCTTTACTTCTCCTTGCGAATCTGACGTCTGTTTCCGTGTCTGCTGGTCTTTTGGTTGGGATGCCGGGATAACTTTCTCGACGACGGGTTTGGATAATAGTTCCTTCCATTCGTCGTCGACGTCTTCGGTCTCGTCCTCTTCATCTTGCTTCGCTGCGGCTTTGGCGTCTTCTTCTTCTAGGACGGTCTGTATACGCTTTAGGAGCTGTCTGTCGCGTGCGATCTCGGCTTGTGCTTCGTGTTTGCGATTGAGGGCTTTTATTTGTGGGAGGGAGCGCTCCAGTTGGGTAAGTAGTGAGCGGGCGTATTCGACGTTCTGTGGGATTGGTCAGATTCGAGTTCTGATGTATTTGTCCATTGAAAGAAGCGCTTCTCAGGATTGGGAAATGCTTACCTTGTTCACGCGCATACGCTGGTATTCGGATTGTTGGAATGAGCGTCGGTCTCCCCGGGGAGAGGAGATTGTGCTCAAGTCTGGTGAACAGACGGGCGACGTTCAGAAGAGCGAGATCTGGAGAGTCCTCGGAGGGGAATGCGGTTACGGCCATGGCTGCGACTTCCAGTGGAATCAGAAAGTGAGTTGCTTTGCATGAAGATGTGGCATCGATGTAGAGCGCTTTGGAGATGACTCAGCATTGCAGGTCCGGTGGGGAACAAGTGGATCGGGTTGGATTTAACTACATTTACGTATACGGATTTATATATACAAGACCATTTGACTATAAAAGAAGAATCGGTACCAAAGGAGTGATTTATATTAAGTTATACTGCCGGTAGCAGTTTGAACAATGGATATCATCGACAGACTCGAAGAATCACTTCACCGAACATCACTCTTCGACAACACACTGTTTCACCTGGTGCCGAGACCAAGTCGTACAACATTAAATAGTTCATTCGAGCTTCCTTGTGGTCCTTCATCGAACGCATTGTACGGTTGGCGTTTGAGTCCGTTTCATCAAGGCCAAGACCAGGCTGGATCAGGATTCTGCGGTTGTATATTTATAGGTATTTATGGGAAGTCTGCAGGGCCATGCAGGTTTCTCCAATATGATAGGAGCTGGATCATCAGACCTAAGTACCGAGGGCTTTCTGCAGAAGTCGATCTCGCAGAATGACTCGTCTCGGCAAAACAGGCTCGTTTGCAATGGAGTCATGCATTCACTGATTTATAACTATGCAGTTTATTACCTAGGTATGGATGTTGTACAATTCAGCTTTAATACCAGAGGCCAGGAATTCCAAATATATTCGTCAAACTACAAAAATTACCGGGCTGTGACTTTGATGTCCAACATATATAACCACAATACTTGTCATATTCATATAATATTGCTGAACATGTGCTTAACAAAATAAACATATCTGCCGCCCAAAACGATGACCGAAAGAAACATTCCAAGCCCACGCTTTTCTAAGGAAAGACATTATTCGTGAAGAAGTGAAGACACATAGGAGGGAATAAGGAAGAAAGCATAACAAAAGGGCAGAAAGGAAGACAACAGTGATATCGAACCCCAGACTGAGGTATAAAAAGGAAGACCACCCAAATCCGATGCCCAGGTGAATGCACGGAATGAATAAACCTTGGAATCAGGCGGCCAACTATCTATACTCAACAACAACACGCTTCCAAGTCCGCACTCCCTCGGCATCCTCATCACACATTTGCTGGACCGATTCATTGCATTTCTGGACCTCGGCATCTGGTAAAGCAGCATTGGAAGATGCACTTTGCTGCTCTCTGACTTGTGCAGCGAGAACTCCACTGCTCGGGAGGAGGCTTGTATGGGATAAAGGTTGCAGGATATCACAAGCAGATAGAGGGCACGAGGCCGATGGGATGAGATCTCCCTTTTCCATGGTAGACTGGAGCCAGAAGTCTTGCTGATTTTGTTTGAATTCAGATGCAGGGATGATGTGTGCCCTCAGACGACGATGTTTGATATAGCGGTGGATGAGAATGAGGCTGAGAAGCGAAAAGCCAACTAGACTGGTGACTGGCAAAAATGACTGCAGGAGCTCACGGGACAGATGGGTGTATCCTTGTTCGACAGTGTTCATGACGGGGGTATGGGTGGTTGGATAGCGTCCACCACTCGCGAAGAAGAAACTGCCTCCCCTGTCAGATGGGGGAAACAGCTCAACTTAAGACTGCGGGTGTGGGGAAGTCAATCTAGGCCAGGACTTGAAGGATCTTAGCGAGTCAAAGATACCTGTGTCGGATTGGGACTATGAGCGGACTTGGCGGGGATGAGGCGAGATGGAACTAGCGGGATGGAGTGCAGGGGCTTTTTTTCCCTCTCATATATAAGAGTTAGAGATCGAATATTACGGAGTATCCAATCCAGAATAGGCTATGAGTGGGGGGGGGGATGATCGCAGATCAACGCTGAAGCATGACCAGGATTTATGTTGTATATGCAAGATAGGGCTTCATACATAGGCAAAGGTAAAAAAAAGACGAGCCCGACAACCAGGATTTCGGAAGTGGCAAATCTGAGTTATTTGATGAATCGAAAAGTCAAAAGAATTTATAGAATACAAAATACAGAATACAAAGAATAGGATATCTTTTGCCATCTTTTGCCTCGTCCATACTAAAAAGGTGGATAAATAAGGCCAGCCAGCCCGGTCTCCACTCAGCTTACCTTCTAAACGCCACTTCGATCTTTCTGTCTTTCTTTCTATCTCCCAGGAATTTAATAAATCACTCATCATTTACACTATGCGGAGAAAATCTGCGCAGGTCGACCATGACAAATGTACCTAAGTACCTAGGTAAGGACGGAGTAATGTACGGAGTACAACAGACGGAGAAGTACATCGTGAGATCGCCTTTCAGCTGGCGCCTGCATGGGTCCCCCGCGCTAAGCCGTTTCATACATCGAATCACACTGCCAGATGTCTTACTCGGCTATTTTAGTGGACACGAACCCATCACAGTTATTAATCTATTTCCCGCCTCCAGTGCTCCAGTGGGCAGTCTAGTGCAGTCCAGATCTCATCCTAACTGGCTCGGGTGTTTGAGCCTGCAAATCGGACACAAATAAGAAATAGGGCGTATATTGTATGTTGTATATTCATTTGATCCCTGGAAAAGAGAAAAAAGCCCTAAATATATCCAAAGGGGTATAAGGTCTAGAGTTTAGCGGTGACACGTAGCTCCTCTTTGGCCTGTTCACGCAATTTCATGCGAAGAATCTTGCCCGAAGGATTCTTCGGTATTGCGTCGAGGAATACAACTCCGCCGGTAATCCGCTTGAACGCGGAGACCTTGTTGTCCAAGTAATGCGCGATCTCGTTGGCGGTGGCGGATTGGCCCGGTCGAAGCACCACATATGCGCGAGGGCGCTCATCGTTGTTGCTAATCGGGTTTAGAAGAGAGAAAAATAGAGAGAATAGATCGTAGATCAATAAATGATCCATAAAAAAAAAAAACTTACATGACAGCCCCGATCACCGCAACATCTGATATCGCCGGATGTTCAAGTAAAAGAGCCTCTAACTCGGCGGGCGCCACCTGGTTGCCTTTGACTTTGATTAATTCCTGTACAGAGGGCCAAGTTAGTTTCCTACATTCTTCTTCTTCTTTGAAAACATATACCTTCATTCGATCCACCACATGGAATTTGCCATCGTCATCCACAAACGCAATATCCCCCGTTAGGAGCCACCCATCCTCCGTCTTGGTCTCTTTAGTGGCCTTCTCATTGCGCCAGTAGCCTTTCATCACATTGGGGGCACGAACCCACAACTCGCCACGACAGTTGCGTTCCTTCACCTCAACCCCATCGACCATAATCTTCGCCTCGCAATTAGCATTGAGCTCACCGACAGACGCAGATGTACTAATTTCGGCAGGGTTCCATCCCGTGACCGAGCAAGTCGCCCTATATAGAAGATGAGCCCAACAGAAAACAACAACAAAACAATCAAGGAAAAAAAAAAAAAAAGAAGAACTCACTCAGTCATCCCCCATCCCTGCTTAATATTAATCTTCCCCGGAGGCCACAACTTCTCAACCTCCTCACAAACCTCCCTTCCCAACGGCGCAGCACCACTCCCAACCAACTCCACACTACTCAAATCATATTGCCCAACAGCCGGATGTTTCGCCAACGCCACAACAACCGGCGGCACGAGGATAAAATCCGTAATCCGGAATCGCTGCGTATACTCCAGCATCTTGACAAAGTCAAACTTGGACATGATATACACCGGCGTGGCGCGGTACAGCGCCGCCGCAATAAAGACATTCTGCGCCATCGCGTGGTACATAGGCAAGAAACATAACCACCGGGAGCGCTCGAGACGAGCCTTGTAGTCCGGATGCAGACTTGCCGTATGACAATACTGGAGCATATTGGCGACGTAGTTCCGGTGCGAGATCTCGACGCCCTTGGGACGGCCGGTTGTGCCGCTGGAGTAGTTGAGTGCTAGTGTTGTGGACGAGAGGGCTGGTGTATTCAGCTCGTCCCAGGTGAAGGCTGCGCCTTCTTCTTCCGAGGCGAGGAGATCGCTCCAGTATGCGCAGCCGTTTTGGGGGTTTGTTACGCCGTCGTAGATGGAGGTGTCGTAGGCGAAGATGTGGTTCTGGGGTAGGTTGGCTTGTTTGGCGGCTTCCAGACCCGTTTCTAGACTGTTGCTTGCGCAGAGGAGGTATGTGGCGCCGCTGTCTTGGAGTTGGTAGGCTAGTTCGCGGGCTACGAAGGTTGGATTCGCGCCGGTGAAGATTCCTCCTGCCATTATCACGCCTAGGAAGACTACGGGGAAGAAGAGGTCGTTGCCTGAGAAGAGGAGGACGCGGTCTCCGCGCTGCAGTCCGGATTTGCGTAGGCCGGCTGCGAGCCGCTGGCTCCAGAGGCGGAGATCATGGGTGGTGAGGTAGTGGGTTTCTGGACGGGCGGCGTCCAGGTAGCACTTGTGGGTTTTGGAGAGAGGTGCCGTTGGGGATTCGAGGAGAAGAGAGGCTAAATGGGTGTCTGGGATGTCAATCGTCCAGCGGGATTTATACGGCATGTTGGCGATATAACAGGTTATGCTCCAGTATTCGATATATCGAGGGAAAGAAAGACTCGACGGGATATGACGGCGAGGCCCTCATATAAATACCCAGTAGATCGTCCAATGCTGCACAATTTCCCTGATTCCTGCATAATTCGTAGTTCGTTCTCCCCGCATCGGTTATATACGAAGGTAGGTTTTGCGGGGAAATCGACTAGCCCGAGCCTCGGTCTTCACACTGCGGATAAACCAGCGATTAAACCATTGCACTCATATACTACATAAAGGCTATTAACGAATGGTTCATGCCTTGAAATCTGCTGTTGATAGACATCTCATGGATTGCCTGCTATTGGCTGTGATAGGCCAGACCATACCCCAAAAATAAGAACCCAGCAGAATAAAGAATTGGAAATAATGCAATTGTTTTGAAACTTGAGCTCCATGCATGAAAAAATTCATCTACTACACCCCGGCCGACCCAGAATACACGAAAAGAAAAGAAAAGACAAATAGCAAGAAGGCTACAAAGAGCATTCATGATTCCTCCCCACCCAAACAGGTAACTGCTGCCTTCATCTCACTAACAAGCTTCTCCTCCAGTCGGTTCTCTGCCCCGGAAGTCGAGTTGACAGGCTTTTGTCGGGACCATTCCACCTCCTTCTCATTAGTGGCGACAATGCGTGCACGCAGAGCAGCGCGGCGACTGAGCAGCTCCTCGATATCTTCCTTGACCTGCACCCGATCCCATTTGAGATCTTGGATGGCCTGTGCGTCAATTCCAGCACTGGCACCCGCCGTACGGAACTGGTCCAGGATGAACGAGATCAGCGCAAGCGAGTAGGCCTCGGAGACCATGCTGAGGCTAATCCACTTGGATGTCGGAACGGAAGCAACGGCCGTGTGGCTGGAGAATGCTTCTGTCGCGCGGGTCAGACGCGATTCGAATTGGTTGAGGAACGCTGCCACCTCGGGTGCGGTCCGCATGACACTGTAGAGCATGTTCAGACACAAAGGAAGGAATCCACCGGTCCAGATGTTGTACGGTCGGGGAACAGGGTCAAAGGGTCCAAATGATTTCTTTTGGCACATAATGCTTGTAAGACGGCAGGTAGACAGTTTCATCAAGACAGCTTCAACAGCAAGGTGTTCTGCGAGCATGGGCAGGGTCGACATCTTGACCAGGATCGAGATGCTGAGCTCTGCGTACATAGGATCGCCTGCCACGGCTAATTGGTCGGCCCAGGAGAAGAGCGTCGTCGCATGACGAGCGGTGTCGTGCTCCTCAATATGGTACACGATGTGCTCGTAGAGACGATCGGCGTTCTTAACTTGCAAGCACGTCTGCAGAATAGCAATGATAATGGCGAAATCTTTCGGTGCGCATTTCTCCGGCTCGTCATGGAGATAAGTGGTGAGGGATTTGAAGCCCTGGCCCACTATCGTTTTCACGACTTCCACAATGACAGTCAGATCCGAAGAAACCTCGGCCTTTTTGTTGATAGCTTCGGGTGCACTCCGAGAGGGGCCATCCAGGTGGAACTGAAGGGAAAGGAACAGCACATTCAGGAGGGACCGGAAATATTCGGTATCGTCGTTGATTAATGCGTCTTCGTATGTCAGATGCCGGGATCGCAGTGCCTTCCAGGTAATCTCGAGCAGCTGGAAGACTTCGGCGCCTCTAGCATGTACCTCGACAAGTCGCTGGAGAAGTGCCTGGGCGAAATCAACGCGCGCTTGTTGGATTCTATCGAAGATGGCTTCCGGAGGGCCGGTGCCAATATTGGCCTTCAAACAACTTTGCGCGACCAGTGCCATTGACTTTCGGACTTCGGTATCAGGCATGAAATCGGCACAGTGTTCGATAGCGAAGAATTTCCAGCTATGAAGAAGGCTCTATTTCAGGTTAGAAAATAGATTCATTTGCGATGAACGGAAGGAAACTTACCACCTGCGCCTCGACAAGAGACAGATTAATGTTGGCGCGCTCAAACTCCTCGGCAAAGCCACGGTTCTTGGTGCCAGCCCAGGCAAAGTCGTAGGACAGCAGCTTGTCTCCCATACTCAAGTCGTAGTAGTAATCCCGTCCTAGATTACGAACCTCAAGTGGTGTCCTTTTGAAATCGACGATCTTACATCCCGAGTACTTCATTTCAAAGTTCTTCTTCAAGTTGGCATGCAATGAGGAATTATAAGCCGAAACCTCAACTGCATCCTTGGAATACCACGACACCAATGGAATCAAGGTCTTGATAAAGCTCCGGTCACCCACCTCCTTTGCAGAGTGCAGGTAGACTGCGCACAGGTCCGCGACAACGGCTGCAATCCGCGTGGCATGGATTTGGTCCATCACAGGTAGAGAGGAAATCTTCAACTTCGAGACGTGGTTAATTATGCTGGTGAAGAACTGAGGATGCTTGCTCAGATGGGAAGTGGCCCATGGCCAATTTTCTTGGGCACGAGAGACAAACTCGAGCAACGCCAAGGCTACTTGCGGCTCTTGTTGATCAATGTGTGACAACTCCTCAAGAGCCATTTTCAGGAAAGGTACGCTCCTCATGCTGAGACCATCAGAAGCGGGTTCCTTCTTCAGAGTCTGGCGAGGGGATGATCCTGTGAGAATGAAAACTGCAAGCCACTGCTGTCGCTTGCTAACAAATGTCGATAGCAGCTGCCACACTGCAAGAAGCAGAGGCCTATCACACATCGGTTTGTCGAGTTGTGACAGTACATCAAGGAACAGGCAGGACGACTCCGCCCCAAGGTGGCCAACAAGGGAAGGGGGTTCATTATCTGGATTTGAAGCAGCGCTGGAGATCAAAATCTCGAGAAGCGACACAACCGGCAACCTGTATGCATCATGCAGTGCGTAGAGTTTGGCTAGAACTGGGCTGGCCTTGAACAATTGTTCCTCCAGAAGCGAGCCAGGTTGTTCAGCCAGCTGGGCTGCCTGCACAAGTTTGATGCAGAGCCGCAGTGTAGATTTGACCTGACCCTCGATGAGGGTAAGATATCTGAGGTGGAGTGTTGGGGGTGTCTGGAGACCCTCGGCGATCAACCGAAGAATCGGATTGAAGGGCAGGTCAGCGGTTGAGCGAGGGCGTAGCATATCCAAAATGTACGCTGCAGATGTAGAGAAGACGCCAGTAACTTTGCTTTCGAGTTTCGGGCTGTCATTGATCCCGAAGGCATAGTACAGAACACGTTCGAACGAAGTAGCAAGCATCGAGTTGATCTTGAACTGCTGTTCTGGTAGATTGAACCTCCAATTTCCACTGCTGTTGAAAATCTCCAGCATTGTGCGGGTGAAGTTCAACATAATAGTTCTCATGACGTGAGATGGAATACCGGCACTCCAATCAGACACGGTAGATGATTTGCTTGTCACGCTGCCCGGGCTCTTTCGCAATACTGCTCGAGTTGCCGCATCATCGATGACAGCGTCCACAAGGTCAACACAGCTCAGGAGGAACGGATACTCGCCGGAAGGAATCTCCATTGCTGAAATGATTGCTGTCATGATGCCACCCTTGCCATCAGACCCAATGAGACTGCTGCGACCGAGGAAAGGCCATACTCGGCTGGGTAGGATCTTCAAAAGTGCCTTGATAAAGCGCAGGCATGCAATGCTTGCATCCAAAGACTTGCTTAAGTCACCTCGGGAGTCGATGGTCTGCAAATTGCGTTCAAAGATATCGAATATCACAGAAACGATGTCACCTTGCTTAGACAAACCATCACTAGCCATCTCTAGGATCCTCTTGCCGCTAGCATCGCCGGAACTTTGTGTCTTGGAGTTGGCTATCAAGTCTGTCAAGAGAGCAATGATTTCCGTGGCAGTGTCGTCAGTCCACCCAGGCGAGTTCCCGCCGGTCTCGCTCCATTCTTCAAGCCAGCTTCCTAGGAAGCTTAAGCAGGAGTACCGATGCTCCCACATGATGACCGCGGGTTTCGAATCGGAAATGACTTGACCAACAGTCAGCCGCGGAATTTCAGAAGAGCCGCTGACAATCACAGCATTGCTTGGTTCCCTCTCGAAGAGATGGTTCTGAGATGATGTTTCAAGCATCGGGAGGGGTTGGAGCAGGGACACGAAATTGGCATTCTCGTCCTCTCGAATGGTGGCATAGCCTTGGAAAGTGGGTGAGACAATTTGGGTAAAGGATTCCATGTTCTCCACCTCCTCAAGAATAGCCGGCAAGCCTTCTTCATTCAAAGAGTGCCCACTGACGAGAGCACGACAGAGTTGTAGAAATGGTGCCGTTTCGTAAGGGAAACGGGACCGCGCAACACGAAAGATGCCCCCCCATCAATTGCGGATCCTTGGCGAATAGAGTCTTAGGATCACTGGCAGGCCCTAGAGAATTTGAGTCTCTGGACAGTCCGTTCTCGTCATCACTTAAGATAGCCAGGACTGACCCCACAATTTCTGGGGAGTAATCCAGGAACGTAATAGCAACTCGGATGAGGTCGAGAAGTGACAAGCGGACCCATCGGGTTGTCAGGCCATCATCGACGGCTGACATTGACCCGGTCTTACTAGCCAGTGCGATAACGGTGTTGAAGGCGGATTCTTTGATGGTATCAGAGGTAAGAATGGGAATAGCATCTTCAGCTGTGCTTTGTGGAGTCCTGGCACAGTCAAGCAATTGTTCATACTCTGACTGCTCGGATGCTCGAGATAGCGCCGCATTATGTGTCTGCTCATTGTAGGAGAGAGCCGAATCGCGACTGAGATCACGTTCCCGCTCATTTATATCGATTTCTGCCAGCTGTTGGATGGTATACAGGATCAGACCCCATGAGAAGGCCGCCGGATTCGCGGTGTGCAAATCACCGCATGCAGTAAGGAAGATCTCATTGATTTGAGAGATTTTCTCCTTGCACCAGAAATAGGGCCGGGGCGAAGATTGCATGCCTTTTGGATGCTGAATGGAAGAAATGGCGAGAGAGGGTTTTAAAAACGCCAATGTGGTAAGTGACACGAAAGCTTGAAGGGGTAACAACACTTCCACAGGTTGCTGACAAGGCTATAAGAAAACGTTAACATCCCGAAAGCTCAAAATAGGCGACTGGCCACTTACCGCCTGAATCGTCTCCAAGAAGCTATAATCAGCCATGAGCTGGAGCCAGGAGAGCAGAAGGTCTGCACTTGGAAATTCCACAGAGGCTTGAAGCTGGTGGAACATGATCTGGACGATATGAACAATCTCCTCTACAAGACTTGTTCTCCAGATGTTCTCCACTTCCTCGCTGCTTTCTGCGGCACTGAGCCAGCCACCGTCTCCTTCCAAACTCGTTAACCGACTGCGTATCGAGCTGATGCATTCTTGAAGGAATGGGTCTAATCCATCACTAGTCGATTTGTCTTGGAAAATTGTGGTCCCTAGTTTGCGCAAAGCTAGTTTGCGATCGTAGCTGGCGGGAATGGCCGAATCGGATGAATTGCCATCGTGTAGGGACAGAGCAAGCAGCTTGCGGAGTGTCTTCACCACATGGGTTGCCTCGGAGAGATACACCTCCCGGAGTCGCAGACGCCTCTTCTCCTTTTTTCAAATGACTGAACACCGCCACTTCTAACTGTTTGGTTCAATAGGTTGGCGAAGTTGGGACCTGCTAGAGAGCCCCGAAGATTCTCGGCCCCAGCCGCGCTCTGTAGACTGGTCGCTTCCTCGCTGGAAAAGCCGATTGTGAGGCGCGTTGCCGGGCGGTTCTGCCATTCCAATACAGCGATACGAAGAGCAGAAATCTCGTCGATTCCGGCTTGTTTGCTTAACCATAGCGCGTCCGCCTTGATCTCCTTCAGGTCAAAAGAGCTTTGGCCATTGGTCTCGACATGAATTGCGGCGGTCTTGGATTCGAACTCGGATTTGGATTTTGCGGAAGGGGAAGGGGAACGGTTTTAGGCCGTCAGAGAGTAGGCGAATGGATTCGGGGTGCGAAAAAGAAGACATCGATATTGCCTCCATCGTCAGGATGACTTTCGGGATCAATAGCGTAGAGAAAGGCTCTTCTCCAGGACCTGTGGTATATCAGCATATTGGCTTCCAGTGACGACAAGTGATTAGAATTGACATACAAGAGTTGAACGTCCCCGGAGAAGCACTTGTCCAGGGACGGGAAATAGGCCTCCGGGACGGGAGCCATGTTGGGCAATTAGATCATCATAGGATAGAAACAAAGAGCGGAACGAGGCGACACCAAGGGAGGTGACGGGAGAGCAATTAAAAAGGTGGATGGCGAGCGTGGGGAGCTCTTGAATTGAGAGGGAGCTTCAAAAGAATATTATTCACCGCGACTGGGTCAACAATCAGGTGCCCTATCTGATCTTATTGCCGGGCGGTGAGTGTCAGCATGCAAGAGCCCAGATGATCTTTCTGACTCACTTCTATCCAACTTTGGCACTTCGCAAACATTTGATTCGGTCTAAGGTGCGTGAGATTTCGAAGCTTGCAGCTTAACGATTATCATATTCTCGCAACCTCCCGATTTCCTACGACAATCCCTGGCCATGGCGGACCTTGTCGACCACTCCCCCACCATGCCACTAAAGCGGCGAAATTGGCCAGCGCATCCAACGTGATTCTGATCGACAACTACGACTCCTTTACCTGGAATATCTACCAATACCTTGTCCTTGAAGGTGCTACCGTCACAGTCTATCGTAATGACGAAGTTACTGTTGAGGACTTGGTTGCAAAGAAGCCCACTCAGCTGGTTATCAGTCCTGGCCCGGGCCACCCGGAGACCGATGCGGGAATCAGTAACGCCGTAATCAAACATTTCAGTGGAAAAATTCCGATCTTTGGTGTGTGCATGGGTCAGCAATGTATGATCACCTCGTTTGGTGGTAAGGTGGACGTGACCGGCGAAATTCTGCACGGCAAGACATCGGAGTTGAAGCATGACTCCAAGGGTGTCTACCAGGGATTGCCAGCCTCGCTCGAGGTCACTCGGTACCATTCGCTCGCCGGGACACACTCGACTATTCCAGATTGCTTGGAAGTGACTTCGCGGGTCGAGCTTGGGGACACTAGTGGCAAGAACATCATTATGGGAGTCAGACACAAGGAGTTCGCAGTGGAGGGTGTTCAGTTCCACCCCGAAAGTATCTTGACACAATACGGGCGCAAGATGTTCAGAAACTTCTTGGAGCTCACCGCAGGGACTTGGGATAACAAGCAGGGAGCTGCAGTCGCCGCACCGGCAGACAAGAAGCTCTCCATTTTGGATAAGATCTACGCCCATCGCAAAAATGCTGTTGACGAGCAGAAGAAAATTCCTGCTTTGCGGCCAGAGGCTCTTCAAGCCGCATATGATCTGAACATTGCGCCTCCTCAACTGTCATTCCCTGATCGCCTGAGACAGTCAGACTATCCTCTCTCACTCATGGCGGAGATCAAGCGTGCATCACCCTCAAAAGGCGTCATCTCGGCCGATGTGTGTGCCCCTGCTCAAGCACGGGAGTACGCCAAAGCTGGCGCTAGCGTCATTTCTGTCCTCACAGAGCCGGAGTGGTTCAAGGGCACCATAGATGACCTGCGGGCTGTTCGCCAGAGCCTGGAGGGACTTCCCAACCGACCAGCTGTCCTCCGAAAGGAATTCGTCTTTGAAGAGTACCAGATCCTGGAGGCACGTTTGGCTGGAGCTGATACAGTTCTACTGATTGTGAAAATGCTGGACATTGAGCTGTTGACTAGACTGTACCATTACTCGCGCAGTCTCGGCATGGAGCCCCTGGTCGAGGTCAATACCCCTGAAGAGATGAAGATTGCAGTTGACCTGGGTTCCGAAGTCATCGGGGTTAACAACCGAGACCTGACAAGCTTCGAGGTCGATCTCGGGACAACTAGTCGCCTAATGGATCAAGTGCCTGAGAGCACAATCGTGTGTGCCCTTAGTGGAATATCGGGGCCCCAGGATGTGGAAGCTTATAAGAAAGAAGGTGTTAAGGCCATTCTTGTCGGAGAGGCTCTTATGAGGGCACCTGATACCTCTGCCTTTGTGGCACAGCTTCTCGGCGGTTCTAACCAAAATTCTGCTGGTGCATCACCAAGTTCTCCATTGGTGAAGATTTGTGGAACTCGGACCGAAGAAGGAGCTCTGGCTGCTATCCAAGCTGGCGCGGATTTGATTGGCATCATTATGGTTCAGGGCCGCTCACGACTTGTCCCAGATGATGTGGCTCTCGGAATTTCTCGGGTGGTCAAGTCGACCCCTCGTCCGGCCGATACATTGCAGCAGACCTCAAACACTACATCATTGGAATGGTTCGATCACTCCACTAATATTTTGCGTCACCCTTCTCGTGCTTTGCTCGTGGGCGTGTTCATGAACCAGCCGCTATCATATGTCATTTCTCAACAACAAAAGTTGGGTCTCGATGTTGTGCAACTGCATGGATCTGAGCCATTGGAGTGGTCTAGTTTGATTCCAGTTCCTGTCATTCGCAAATTCGCCCCTGGTGACATTGGAATTGCTCGCAGAGCATACCACACTCTCCCATTGCTGGACTCTGGTGCTGGGGGCTCTGGCGAACTTCTGGAGGAGAGTGGGGTCAAGAAGGTCCTCGATAGCGACGAGGGATTGCGGGTTATCCTGGCTGGAGGATTAAATCCGGACAACGTGGTAGACATAGTGAAAAAGCTGGGTCAGTCGGGCCAGAAAGTGGTTGGCTTGGATGTCAGCTCAGGTGTAGAGACAAATGGCGCTCAAGATCTGGAGAAAATTCGAGCCTTTGTTAAGTCTGCCAAAAGCATTCGGCAATGAACAGGCTAGGAATATGCATTTACACTACTGAGGATGACTTCTTATCTCATTCCATTTCGGGATTGTATATTCGATCATGGGCAAATAAATATTCATAGGAATCAAACTATTCCAGAATTTCTCGGTTTCTATACTCACTTTACTTTCAATTGTTTGATCAGGCTTTGCTTGATATACCAACAGGAATGAATTTCATCTTTTCTTGAAGTAGATCTCAATGATAAACGGCCTTCGAAGTCCCATTCCCTGCTTTCTCATCACTTTCACCTTTGAGGAATGACCATGATCAATGCATCTATTTGATATCAACGTTGCAAAGGCAGACCAAGTTGACACCTCCGTGCAGTACATCGTAGTCTTGCGTCGAAGTGTTGACCCCTGGCAATAGGCATATCTCATTTCCGATATTCTTCTCTCTCTGAAGAAGATCTCAGAGGTCAAACGAGCTTCTGTATCACCGAACTACTTCTCTCATTCATTAGCTCTCAAAGCTTGCCTTTCCAGCAATGTATACGCCTCATTTCTGAAATACCACTACAGCGATCAAAGAGCAATATAAACTGCTGACCCAAAAAGCCAGTCCTCGCAGCATTTCAGTCTTCCTCCTACATCATCACATTCCACCTCTGAACCATTCTCAGCGCATTTCGGCTGCCAACAGAAACGAAACGAACCAACAGACCCATCTAACCAAGCCTCGGGTAGCAGCGGCAACCCAAAATGGGGAAGCCATTCCAAAGAATTCATGCCTCTATAGTAGGCAAATTCCAAGACGGCATCGGCGAAAAGATCCCACAGTGGATTCGGGCAAATGGGGGCCAGTTCTCGAGAGAGCTCAGCCCGCGAGTTACCCATCTCATTGCCACAAAGGAGGCATTCAAAACCCATGCAGCTCCAGGTATATTACGCTTGAATCTTTCAAAGAGCTTGAAGCTAACCAATATACAGTTGAGTCTGCCAAGAAGATCAGCACCATCAAGATCGTTTCATACGACTGGCTTGAAGACTCGCTGCTGTCAAACACCCGCAGGCCAAAGCCCGAAGGGCCATATCTTCTGAAGAATCTGATGAAGCCTGAGAAGAAGGAAATTCAGAAGAACAAGGCCACGGCGAAGCCCGCAAAGGTGGTCAAGGAGATCAAAGCAAAGGTCGCGAAACGTCCGATAGGTATGTATCAATTTGCCAGAGCTCCATTGTATTGGTACAACGTAGATGGTACTGACATGTCCTCTATAGCTGATCCTTTCCTTGGCCTAAAGGGCAAAAAAAAGCGTAAGCATGGTCCTTCATATCAGTTGACATATCCAGGTCTAATATTTACCCATAATAGCCGTGCGTCGTGTGTACCAGGACAGAAAGACAGGTGTGATTTTCAGCACCACTTTGTTCCGCCCATCGAAACCACCAGTCACTAGCAGAGAAAAATACCAATTGACTGTGAGTGATGTCATGGTATTGTGTGGATCTTCGTCAAGAAAAGGATATTGATATTACTTAGCTTTTCGAATCCGTCGCCGAACCACACACCTACTCGGCCTACGCCAAATTCAGCCGCGTTGGCACATCCAATGTCGAACTACTGGCGGGACCAAGGTGCAAACTCGAGCTTGCCGTGGATAAATTCAAGCAGTTCTTCAAGGAACAGACTGGCAAGGAATGGGACGAAAGGGCAAACGGAAAGATGCCACCCCCAAAGACAGGCCCCGACGGAAATAGCTTGCCTGTTCACGAGGGGTGGTTCTATCTCGAGGAAAAGACGACTATCCTTGGTGCATTCCTCAGGGAACCCCAGAGCACGGGGTGTCAAGGATCGACTGGCCACATCTCATGCGATGGTATCAAGGAGGACGGGCCCGAAAAGATAGCAAATTACCAAGTCGAAGATGGTGGCGAAGATGATCACGAAAATGGGGGTAAAAGTGGGGATGAAGATGGATCTGAAGCTGAGGCTGATGTTGAGGAGGACGAGGAGGAGGAATAGGAGGAAATGGATAGGTAGAAACTTGAAGATGATGGGGATCCCTCTAGGTGGTTAACACCTGCACTCATGAGTGGATCCCCCCGACCTGGATGTGTCATGCTGAACGCAGCCCTGGAGATTGCTGAATGCAAATTCGAAGATTTTGTGACAGCACATGCGAAATATATGTATGTGCTTTATTCTCATGTTTTTATAAACCCTTCCCATTATCAGAAAACTGAAAACTATAGCGGCATTGTACAAGAGTGTGAGGAAATAAACGAAGATTCCGACATGAGTATATCAGTATACTGGGCCCTCCCTGCGTGAAGCACGACATCAATCGGCCATCTCTTCTGGTCTGGGATACTGCATAGATATATGGTACTTTCTCTCTGATTCTTCATTTGGCCGATCTAAAGCTACGACTCTAACTTATCCCCTTCAGAAATATGTGGAATTATGTAGTATCCTAAAGTATTAGTTACGGAATAAGGCTTGTGTTGGCAAAAGACGATCATATTCATCACCGTTATATGAACATTGATTTATACTAATTGAATTTCGACTTTTAATCGCCTCAAAGCTCTGAAATTACCGTACCTAGGTAGTAACTAAGGTCACATTTATAAGAAACAGGGCCCCCCGGGGTTTACAACCCTGAGTCGGCGAATAATCCATCTAAATCGGGTCAGTTATGCATTCATGGGCCGACAATGGACAAACGTGGGCTGTCCATGGGAAATATTGTCCATGGACGGGCCATGCGGAGGTCTACCCATAAGGCGTAGGTTGTATGTGTAACGGACGAGACAAAGAATTTAGAATTCTTTGCTTTTCCGGTGTGGAAGATTTCGGAGGGCACAGTCCACTAGTCTCCAATTAGCCAAGATGAGGGTTTTCAGCGTGCAGTTTCACGAATCTTTGGGAATCCTCGGCTGGTCTTAGCTAACCCGAACACTGTCCGTCACGTGTTGGAAACTGGAGTGGAAACTGGCGCCCTTCGCCAAGCCGCTCGTATAGTGGAGACCTAGTGTAGCCTAATCGCAGGCACAGATGCTACCTTATTATAACCCCGACGATCTTAAAAATTCAGTCACCCCAAGTGTCCCGAATATTATTTTGCAGGGGCCAATCCATAAGAAGAAAATATGGGTAAGGCCGCTTCCCGTTATCGATGTCCCGAGAACGAACTAATAAAGCATGCAGGGTGGTCAGAGGTACCGCATTCTTATGATTTACTACTACCCAAAGCACGTAGCCTGACAGCTACATTCTAGGCCTGCTGCCAGTTCTGCGGCGTGAGCTTCAACATTGCGCGTAAACGCAAGGTGGGAGAACCTGAAGTCGCCTCATGGCGATTCGGAGGCGGCTCCCTGTGGGGGTACGAGCGGCCTATTGAGGATCTTGATCAAAGCGAGTGCCTGAAGCAGGGCTGTGCTTTAGCTGTTATAGACCCCGAGGAGGAGGATGATGATGCGGTTAATGACCCAGATTTCGTGCCTAAGAGCGAACATTGCGACGAGTATGATCGTCTATATGAATATGACCCCGAGTACGAGTCGAACTCGGGTGACCATGATGATGATGATTCTTTACATATCTCGGATAATGGAGATACGGTTGGCAATGAAGAAGACGAAGAAGAAGAGGAGGAGGAAGAGGCACTTTACCGCAACTTCCTCACACAAACAGTCTACAACCAAAGCCAGTTCACTGGCGAACCCGTCGCCCCCTTTGTCTACGCATCCACATCCGTCTCCTTCCAAAAAGACATCCTAGTCCCATTGCCATGTGACTCACCACCAGACGGGTACTCCTTCGAGGACCTCGAGCATATTCCGGGCCCCAAATGCCCCATGACAGACGCCTACCCAGGCTCCGGGATCTCCCTCGCGGAAATGCGCGGCTGCCGGACCGTCCAGTTTCTGGTCCATAAAAGCCTGGCACAGGATGAGCCGTGGCAGGCTGATGGACTGTATGAGCCCTGGGAGGATTTTGAAGAGTGGTTCCTCTCAGGACTCTCCGATGGTATAGAGTCGCGCGATGGAGACATCCAGGTTGTCTGTCCGGCAAGGGGTGGCGTGAAGGAGATCTGGGATGCAGATACCATTAATTTTGACGTAAGTTACCTTCTGGCACACCCACACCACGTCCAAGGAGCCGGAGGTCCTATATGTCCTAAGCCTGATACTAAAATAAAATTAACAGCCCGAACGACTTGACTTAACCGACCTTGCTATGCCCTTTCACCCATGGTGCTTTGACATCTTCTCGCGGCAGTCAAAGCTCCATTTCGGAAACAAGGTCAATATCGCTGGGCTGATTAATTGGCGAAACGCCGAGTGCAGCTTCGATGCCCATCATGACTTTCCAAGGCACCCGGATGTCGCTAATGCACAGCAGCAAGTCTGGATGCATGATCCGGATGCAGCGTATCTTGTTGCGAATCCTCTGCATATAATCGGGCTAACCGAGTTTCTTTTGGATGCGGCACAGGAGGAGGGTGATTTTGATATGGAACTTGCGGATGAAGGATCAGATGCTGTGTTGTTTGGGAATAATCCCACAGATCGCTTAAGCGCTCTACCACCAGAATTGCGGCTGCATATTGTCAGTTTCTTGGACTCTGGGGATATCATGAGTCTTCGCCAAGCCTCGAAGGCATTTATGGACCTAACAAATAATGTCTGGTATCGAATTGTGCGAGGAGAAATGCCTTGGTTATGGGAAGCCTGGGAGGAAGGCGAAATCAAACATAGCCCTTCTCCCTGGACGTTCATGACCGCGAACGAAGTGAAGGCCGTTGAAGAGCTTAAATGCTGGTACACCGCAGTGCTGAGCGAGGAATATGAGTATGCTACGACCGCCGATAAAGTGGTAGACTATCTACTGCCTCGGCCTAATACGGTGCTCGACCAAGGGCTCCTATCCAAGAGCGACACAAACTGGTATCGCGTTTTTAGGCAGATCAGGACCCATTGGCCCCGGGTAAAGGGACTTCGGAACCGGGCAAGGATCTGGACCGACGTTGAGGAGGTCATTCGGCGGATTCGGATGTATGACAGTGTTGAACTTTCTTGAGACCTTCGCGGCGAACGGCAATAGTGATTCAGTTGCATAGGCTCTGAATGGGGCAGCCACGGCAGTTTCTTATCCTTAGACTATATCATCCAGACTCTAGTGCCTTCCATCTAGCTCAATTTCCTCGATGTCTACATATCAAGCTCTGTTTTAGTTGTCCACTGCCATTGTAATCATAAACTATTTCGAACATGACAAAAGAACCCATTCTAATTGCCCTCTAACGCCAGATACGCCAGTCGACCAACAATGTGACAAGGTGAGGTTCTACTTTAACCATCCACGCCACAGCCGATGTAGTGATGCGAGACAGTAAAGAATCATAGGTATTCCTTCTTTTTGCTGGTTCTCGTGTATTGGGTAAGAGCCCATTCGATGTCGCCGCTCGAGCCCTTCTCCAATGTACCTCCACGGATCTCGAAAAGTCGCATCGTCATGCGGGGTCCAACTTCAGCCAACTCCACATCCCGGTACCCAGTCTTGACGAAAACATGGTGCCGCACTTCGATGTTGTCGTCCTTGTTCACAAAACTTACAATACGGTTGCCGATCTTTCCAGGCTCGCGCGGGGGGAAAAGGTGCTTTAGAATCTGAACAACGCGGGCACCCAGCTTCGTCTTGAATCCCTCAAAAACTAAGTGCGGGTAGCTTTCCGATACGGTACCACGGGCGGCATTCGGAATATCCTGGCGAAGGACGACATTGTGAAGAGAGAAACTGGCGGTGGGGCCATGGGGAAGGTGGGAAATAGTGAGTGCGGTCGGGGTACCACGGTGCTCGTGGAGAAGGACCATGTCGGTCAGAGCGGCGGATGTTGCGCTAGAGACGAGGTCTCCAAGAACGAGAGTTCCACGGTTGAGACGAATGGAGGTGGGAAGGAGAAGGCGGATTTCTTTCGCAAATGCTCCGAGGCGAGCGGAGGGTGAGCGAGAGGTGGTGACCAGAGGACGGGGGTCGATAATGCCGGAGGTTAAAACGTATTCATCGTCGATGTCCATCTCAGCATCTTCCTTGTCCTTTGACTCGTCATATTTGAAGTCTTCCCGAAGCTTTTTATCATTTGCGATTGTAGGATCTAGAGGCTTTCCAGAAGCTAATGAAGCCTTGAGTTGCGATCTTTTTTCGGCAATGGAGGCATCACGGAGTAGCAAAGCTCTCCGATAGAGATAATCGCGACGCTCGCGAGTTTGGCGGCGCTACTTATTGTAAGTAAAATATCAGATGTTTCAAATATATCCTTCACTTACCAGCATTTTGAATATTGAAGTAAAAGTGGCTTAAGCAAAGACGAGCGGGCAACTTTTTTTTTTTCTTAACTCCGGGGCTGCGTTTATGGTTCGTCTGCGTAGCCGTAGTGGGATCGCACCGATAAAGAATCTGGGCAGTTGCGGAGAACGCTTTTTGCCCATCCTTCGAGACAAACTCATCGACTCTCTTTTGTCAGTCCTCTGACACAGAGAGCTGGACTGGTTGTATGTAACCATTTGTTCTCGTCAAGCACTTACCGCTAATCCTGCATCTCGATTTAGATCTCCGTTCGTTTGCCCCTCAGGCACACCCCGGAGATTTCAAACGCTGAATACCCCCAAAGGACAATCTGTTTGTCCTCTTACGCTCTTTAAATCGTCTACGACTGCGAATTTCATTTCTGGTTTCTCAACTGCTTTTGATTTGCTCTCTGTTTTAAATCTTGATCAGCTCCAGTCATCCCTATCGCCATTCCAAATTGGTACCAACAATGAGCTACCAACCGGAAGACCCCTCAGCGGGAGCCGAAATTAATGAGATTGCACTTGGGCGCGCACGTCCACGCCGGCATGATGATGAAGATGAAGGCTCTGATGCCTTCGAAGATGACGACATAGAAAGCACAGTCGGCGCACCCACAAACGGGAATCAGAAGTCCCAAGGAAATGGAGAGGAGGAAATAGAGCTCCCTGCCCATGCATGCGCGTGAGTGTTCAGATATTTCTTGGTAGATGTTCATTTACTGATTATATTGTAGGTACTGTGGCATTCACAACCCGAGCAGCGTTGTCAAATGTCTTTCGTGCAATAAGTGGTTCTGCAGTGCACGTGGCAATACCTCTTCTTCCCATATCGTCAATCACCTTGTCCGAGCTCGTCATAAGGAAGTCCAGCTTCACCCCGCCTCTTCTTTGGGTGATACTATTCTGGAATGCTACAACTGTGGCACCAAAAATGTCTTCTTGCTTGGATTCATTCCCGCGAAATCCGATACCGTTGTTGTTTTGCTATGTCGACAGCCATGTGCCTCTATGCCATCCTCTAAGGATATGAACTGGGATACTTCACGATGGCAGCCTCTTATTGAGGATCGTTCTTTCCTTCCCTGGCTCGTGGGAGCACCCACTGACCAAGAACAACTCCGAGCCCGTCACCTCAGTCCTCAATTGATTGCGAAACTGGAGGAAATGTGGAAAGACAACTCTCAGGCGACCCTGGAAGACCTAGAAAAGGCCACAGCAGTGGATGATGAGCCGGCGCCAGTCCTACTTCGCTACGACGATGCTTTCCAGTACCAAAATATTTTCGGGCCACTCGTCAAAATTGAGGCTGATTACGACCGCAAGTTGAAGGAATCTCAATCCCAAGATGGACTCATTGTGCGCTGGGATCTTGGTCTCAACAACAAGCACCTCGCAAGCTTTGTGCTGCCCAAGCTTGAGCTGGGTGATGTCAAATTGGCTGTGGGCGACGAGATGCGCATCAAGTACAATGGTGAATTGCGTCCCAAGTGGGAGGGCGTGGGCTATGTCATCAAGATCCCGAACAATCAATCTGATGAGGTCACTATCGAACTACGCGCCAAGGGCGACCACAAGTCAGTCCCCACAGAATGCACGCACAATTTTATGGCCGACTATGTTTGGAAATCAACTTCCTTCGACCGCATGCAATGTGCTATGAAGACATTTGCCGTGGATGAGCAGAGTGTCTCAGGCTACATTTTCCATCGCCTCCTTGGCCATGAGGTTGCTGCAGCTCCTATGAAGACCCAGATTCCGAAAAAGTTCAGTGTTCCAGGCCTGCCAGATCTGAACGGCAGTCAAATCAACGCTGTTAAAAGTGTCCTCCAGCGACCTCTCAGTTTGATCCAAGGCCCCCCAGGAACTGGTAAGACCGTTACCTCGGCCACCATCATCTATCATCTTGCCAAGATCAATGGAGGCCAGGTTCTTGTCTGCGCTCCGTCCAACGTTGCGGTTGACCAGCTCTGCGAACGTATCCATCGGACGGGTCTGAAGACCGTGCGAGTTACTGCAAAATCTCGCGAGGATGTGGAATCTGCCGTTGGTTTCCTTTCACTGCACGAGCAGGTTCGTATGAACGATAGCAACATTGAGTTGGTGAAACTCAACCAGCTCAAGGCCGAACTTGGGGAATTGTCTAGCCAAGATGAGAAGCGCCTGAAGCAACTTACCCGGTCTGCTGAGCGTGAGATTTTGACCAACGCGGATGTGATCTGCTGTACTTGCGTTGGTGCAGGCGATCCTCGTCTTTCAAAGGGCAAGTTCCGCACCGTCCTGATTGACGAATCAACCCAATCTGCTGAGCCCGAGTGTATGATCCCCTTAGTTCTGGGCTGCAAGCAAGTTGTGCTGGTTGGTGATCACCAGCAGCTTGGACCCGTGATCATGAACAAGAAGGCTGCCAAGGCTGGTCTAAACCAGTCTCTGTTCGAGCGTCTCGTTATCTTGGGCTGCTCTCCTATCCGTTTGAATGTCCAGTATCGTATGCACCCGTGCCTTTCTGAATTCCCCTCGAACATGTTCTACGAAGGCTCGCTTCAGAACGGTATCACCATTGCCGATCGTGTCCGCCGTGACGTTGACTTCCCTTGGCCCATCATCGATGATCCCATGATGTTCTGGTCGAATCTGGGCAACGAAGAGATCTCCGCGTCAGGCACCTCGTATCTAAACCGCACCGAAGCTACCAACGTCGAGAAGATTGTCACACGTTTCTTCAAGGCAGGTGTCCAGCCTAAGGATATCGGTATCATCACTCCTTACGAGGGACAGCGGAGCTACATCGTCAGCTCGATGCAGGCAAACGGCACCTTCAAGAAGGAACATTACAAGGAGATTGAGGTCGCGTCGGTCGATGCATTCCAGGGCAGAGAGAAGGATTACATTATCCTTTCATGTGTTCGTTCCAATGATCACCAGGGTATAGGTTTCCTGAGCGATCCTCGTCGCCTCAACGTGGCCCTTACTCGTGCTCGATTTGGCCTGGTTATCCTCGGAAACCCTAAAGGTCTTGTCTAAGCACCCATTGTGGAACTGCCTTTTGCAGCACTTCAAGGAACGTCACTGTCTCGTGGAGGGTCCCCTTTCCAACCTTCAGGAGTCCCTGATTCAATTCAGCCGGCCTAAGCAAGCATACAGAGGCCCGCAGCGCTTCCAGATGTCTTTCAGTCAAACCAATAATGTTCCCAGCAATGCAGTGAATGGACGCAACGGCGGTCATCGCAATGAGTATCATGACTCTGGATCGGTGGTGGGCTATATCCCTGACGATGTATCTTCCGTTCACGGTTCGGCACTTGGTGGTGTTGGCCTTCCATCTGGGTATCCCCCCTATGTTCCAGAATTTCGGCGAGTCTTGGCCTGCGATCTCTGGCGGTCGTCGAGCAAATGGTGCCCGACCCAAGGGCGCACCTAGTGTGGCTGGCGAGTCAGTCGCTGCTACTGAGTCTGATGTCACCTGCAGTGTCACTGACGGACGGAGCGTTGACCAGGGCGGTGTCAGTCTCACTGGTCTGAGCATTAACGACATGAGCAAGCAGCCCAGTCTCAGCCAGTCTGACCGATTGAAGCGCTACGTCGAGTCTGGCGGACGCGAGCCTTACAGGGCTGGAGTTCCGGACAACGGCAGCATATTTGGAGGCAGCTCCGCCAGCATCCGCGTGACTCGCGGCGTGCCGGGCCAGAACCCTCACGATGATGACGATGCCCGTAGCGTCTCTACCGCTTTTGCTAGCCAAGTCGGTGGCAACTATGACTGAGTGACTCTTTTGTCCGACATTCACCAGGGCGACCTCCAACAGGTTCGCCCGTCTTACCACTCGGCAAAGCAATGTCCGCGCATACTATCAGGGTTCTTTCCAACAGAGTCTGCCCGCCCGTTTCTTTTACGCCGACCAGGACTTCGGATCGGCAAGCCCACGACTTTTCGGATGCTTATCCCGGGGTCATCTTGACCTGCTGCCAGAGCACCGTTCTGTCCGTCGAAGGATTGTTCCCTGGGTCTGATCCCTCGCCATTGCCACCGTGACATTCTTACAAGGCGTGTCTTTTGAGGATGAGGCGATAGACAATGATCCTCCAGTATCTTCCAGTTAGGAATAACTGAAATCTCACCCGTCGATTGCCGATGCCCCGTTCAGATAGCCCCGGTAGCAATTACTGGGCAACTCTGTGAATTTCTCCCTGCCCCCTTGGCCATGTTTCATACTTGCTATCTTTATTTTTTAGGTAGTCAGGTATTAGCTAAAAATCAAACACAATGCCAATTATGATCCCATCCTTTTTTTTTTTTTAAAAAAAAAAAAACCAAATAAATAAATAATAGTAAGCAAACAATATCCGGGACAAGAAACAAAAGCCAAGCCAACCTGGCAGGGTGGTTGGAATATCCGCCGGCTTATGTTCCGAGATAGGGCTGAAGTGCCCCCCCCCCCCGGCCGGCTTCTGCCCATCAGCCCCATCAGCAGCTTCCCCCTATCAGCCTTACTGACTAGGTAACTCAGGCACAATGTCTCAATAAGCCAGGGTACATGTAATCAACTAAACTAAACGGATTTCAATCGGCCCCCGTCTCTCATAGGCCAGTGCTGGCCCTGGAATCCCCCCCAGGCAGTTGACCCGCTTCCTCTACGTATAATCTGCATCTATCGTTCCTAAGGTTACTACTTTCTGTTGTTGCTCATAATTTTCGTGGCAAAAGTTGATAATGGAATTACCTCATTGATTAAATGATGACTATAAGTATACTAGGTACATTGGAAATCAGTGACACGACTTCCCATATTTTCGAAGACGCAGATAGTTATATGGCAACGGCGCCAAATACCCAGCACCGATTGATACCACTGCCGCCAGCCAGAACTTCGGATCTCCAAAAGCAACTATCCCACCGGTCAGATGGTAGTCAACTGCATTCTCGGCTAGTTCCATGGCCAACATCGAAACCATACTCATGCCCATAGCGGTACGAGCAGCCATCGGCCAGGAGAGTTGGTCAGCTCCCCGGCGGAGCAGGATCGTCTCGAGGATAACTGAAGTTGTGATACCGGATGCCACTGGATGATTGTTCTTAGTACACAAGGTCCGATACGTTCCGATTCGTTCAGGTAACCTACTCGACAAGGCCATTATGCTGCCCATCCCCATCTCAGGGTAATAAGTCTGCAGGATCCATAAGGCAGAGAAATCACCAGCTGTACATCCCACTAAGCAGCGAAGAGTGTTGATTCCTGCTCGTTTCCAGGTGGATCTGCAGGTCCAGAATGGAAGACTAAGGGCCGAAAGGGGTTGGAATGGCGGCTTTCTGGCACATTTCGGGGTTTGCGATAATTGATTTTCGCGCTCGATGCTCTTTGGGCACTGGTTTTTCTCTGTATGGCAGGCTTGTGCACGAGTGGTGCCACTGAAGGCGCGTCTCGAAACCCAGCAAATGCCTCGGCTCCGAAGTAAAAACGGGTGGCGCATTTGATTCATACTCCAACTTGTCGGGATCTTGCGACGATTCACAATGGTAACATATGCAACTTTGAATATGAAAAGTCGAAGAGACACGGTCAAGGGGCGCCAAGTTGCGAGGTTGGTAGGGATAGTGGAGCATGGTCCCCGGACCTGTAGCACAAATGCCGCAATGAAATGAGGTTAGGTACAATGGACACGCCAAACCACATACTAATGATATTAATTGATAACTCCGTAGTATCCAATATGACAAGAAGAAATAACCGGCCCAGAAGAAAACGATATAAAAGCAAAATATTCTGGATGTCAAACGCTGAGCACTTTCGGATACCCTAGGACTACCCGGTGGGGCTGCGGGAGCACTAGGAAGATCTCGCCTTACAACACCACGAACACATTCCAAAAATTAACATTTGACGTAGATGTAGATATCACGCGATCAATTATACCTGTGCCTGTTTGTCCACGTCGGGTGGTGGCTTTGCTTTGTCGGTTTGGGCATCGTCCTTTTGGATGTATAGCTCTGGGGCCTAGTATAATTCTATCGCTCAGCCAAATAACGTGTTCAAACTGGGCAGCAATATACTCGAAGTAGATGAACGTGCATTGAGGCTTGCCTAGTGTCAAAGGCTGTTCTATTATGGTAGAGGCAGTGTTAATTAGCCCTTATAATTCATTTCTTGGGAGTTAGCCATGTTTGTGTTCAACACGAATTACATACTATTTAGTGACCCCAATGCTGCTCTATGTCATAGTCTCGTAAAAGGTTCGGTCTTGCCATTCATTGTTATCTGCAAAGATGGTGTAAAAGGCCATATTCACTGTGTGGAAAAATCTCCTAGTATGATATATTTGTAGGCTTCTAGATTCTCAATATACTGATCTTCAAGCATATGCACACAAACCACGTTATTTCTGTGCTACATACTTTAGAACACAATAGAACGTTTGATATCCTGATTTTACGCAAGACTGCATAGCCTGGTTGAGGTTGAGAAAGCCTTCTGTAGATGGAACCTATCATATCCCTTTTAATAGAAACAATTGATTGAGAGGGCATGAAGATCATTGATTTCTGAAGTTTGTCAACCATAACCAATTTGTTGTAGCCTAACATCGGGCATGGCGAACGTACGTTGCAGAAAGGCACTGCCCGGCTGCCCGATGTTTGATGCTTAAATAAGCATCTTCGTTGATGCACGTGATTGGAGATCAAGGGCGATCACAGTCACGTGTACTCACCGCCACTCGATTTGTCAGAACCAGCTGGAGAACCAGTTGTGGCGACTCCAAATATTTCGGGAGTGGACGGCTGCCTGACAGGCATCTTGCTTTGATACCTAAACCGGATCCGCCGATATGGGACAACAGGATTGGTACTCCGGACATACTATACAGTCATACCCACGGTGTCTGTCGAGTGTATGAGTCACTTGTGTTCCTCCCCTCATCTATATCCCGGACCACCGGGCATTAATAAACAGTATTGTCCACATTTTAACCTGCATGTATATAACCTCTAGCCAGATATGAATTCATATGATAATCCAGCTGTCTAAAAAATCCACTAGAAAACGAAAGAAGCGAGATTCTGCAGGGACAGGGAAAAAGAAAATAAGGATTGCTGCGCCACACAAGTGGCGCATCTGCACCTGACGCAAGCGGGTACCTAGGTATAAATAGGCTACGGATGCCTTGCTACCTGAAAATTTTGGCAACTCCTCATCTTCTCTCGACTCCATACCATCGACATCTACTAGGCTTTCACCGCCAATTTATTTGAATTTTTTTTCATAAACAACTCTCTTCTTCTTGTTTCCTTCAACTCAACTACTCAGTACTCCTGAATTTACCGTTGTTGTGAATTGAGGACGCGTCTTTTCGGTATCTACATTCTATTATCAAGATCCCCTCAGTAGTGTGGGGTATCAACTTCGCGATATGGGTGACGGGTCTGACTATCCTAGCCCACGAAGTGAAGGTCCTAACGGCGCTCTCGCTGCCTCCATCCTTGCCTCTACATCTGAAACCTCGGCCCCAATTGCCAGAATGAACGACCCCCAGCAGCCCATGCACGGGACTTTCAACAACCTTGACGGCGCGCGTCCGCGCCTTTCTGTTCGACGCGCCCGCGATCCTCCTAAGAACTCTGAAGGTCAAATTTTCTGCGACCATCCCGAGTGTCATTCTGCTCCTCCTACTTTCCGTCGTCCATGTGAATGGAAGTAAGTACAATACCCTTTGGTTGTGTCTTTATAATGCGCCAGTACTAACAAAACCCTAGCAAGCACATGGATAAACATGATCGTCCCTACAAGTGTTATGAACCAAACTGTGACAAGATCCAGGGTTTCACCTACTCTGGTGGTCTCCTGCGTCACCAGCGTGAAGTACACAAGAAAAACACCGACACCAAGAAAGCCCTGATGTGCCCATACAGTGACTGCAACCGCAGCACTGGCAACGGATTCACGCGCCAAGAGAACCTGCGAGAACATCTTCGCCGTCGCCACATGCACAATGATGAAGCCCCCCCCAATGGTTGATATGTCCTCCTGGGATCGCGCCACCGACCTTGAAGGTGTCGAGGGTGTCCGCGCCCCCTCTCTCCCCATCACTGGAATGAAGCGTCGCCACGACTCTCCTGCGGTTGGAGATCTCCAAAACCTGCCTGAGACTGATGAGCACGGAGTCGATTTGCACCACGAAGTTAAGAGACTCCGCCGCGAAGTCCAAGAGAAGGATCGCCGCCTCCAAGAGCTGGAGCGTATCGTCGCCAACATTCAGCAGGCTATCCCCCAGCAGTCTCCTCCCGTGCCCGACCTACAGGACCTTTCGCAGCCCACTCCCCAGCCTACTGCAGCTCCTCCCGTTTAAGGGTTGCGCCTTTCGGATCGAAGCGTCTACAGATTTGACCTATGCATCTTATGGGCGTTTATCGAAGCAGCTAATGCGCTTCAAAATTTGCGACTTTGCTTTTTATCTTGTTTCGTGTCTTTATTTTTTTTCTTTCTTTTTTGCGACTTTGCTTTTCCTCTTGCTTTGTGTAGCATTTGGGTTCGGTCTCCATGGATCTTCTCTGAGCAGAAGTTGCTTTCTTTGCGTTTGCAGAACGTGAGGATTCGAGGATTCGAGGATTGACCTTACCACTCCTTTACGGCGTTTCAGCTTGATGATTTGTTATGGGCCAGGCGGTGTTTGTCTCCAGAGGCGGTTTACAGCGTTGTCTCGCCTCAAATACCCGGGTGTTTCGTTCGATGTATCCTTTGTGTTACTCGCTTCTATCACTCAACTCCACTTTTAGTTCTGTTTGTTCCTGATTAATAGCAAATTGTACGAATAATATCTTCTTGATATGGTCCTATCTTCAAACAATTCTAGCCTTACTCTGTATACAATAACCCTCAAGAGGCCATCTAATAACACCCAGATACGATGGTTCTTCGTCGCATTGCATCCGAAATGCACGTTGACAGTCGAAGTATAAGGCAGCCAATGATATCCATGGACGTAGACAAGCATGTATTCCTGAGGCACCCAGGCTTCTACGCGATAGCGATAGTTCTCAGGCAGACATTTCAGCCACACCACTTTCAACTCGGGTCACATCTCGTATATTCCCGCGAGGGCTCTAGCGAGGCCTTCGTGACCACGGCCGTCAGCGAACCATACGGCCCCGCTGGCGGTGTCCACATCTGGAAGGTCGGAGTTAGGGGACCGTTAACGGGCTCCCAACGGAGCCCACTACTCCTCGCGGCGGCCTATGAGGCGTCAACCTCAGTGATAGCACGCTCGGACGACGGATATGACTCCTTGGCTGACAACACTAGGCTGTGAATCATTATTACGTGAATCGCGCGTCCGGCTCTTGACTCGACGCGAGCGGCTCAACGCGATATCACATGATGACTTGGGTGCGTTGTTTCTGTGATGGTGTCATTCATCTCTTCATGTGGCTTCGGATCAGAGCGTAGAATCTCATGGATGTAAGGCGTAGGCAGCGCTCTAGGCGGAAGCATCCGTGGGTGGCTGGTTGGATTAGTATGTTGGGAACAACAACGAGACGTATATCATGGCATGTTACGTATCCTTGTAGATGATTCTTCCGTTTGTGGTTTACTGCGCTATTGCCTCTCCGTACACAACTAAGATGACTGGGCAATAAAGCCCTCAAAAATAGCGCATCGCATATACTTGGCACATGCGTATATACTTCCTGCCTTTTGACGTTGGTCCCAGATTATAGAACTTGGACATTTCAGCGTAATCGTCACCGGAATATCCATGGATACTGTGATTACTTATTAAGAACCAATCACTCGCACATACATATATATATCACATGCAATCTGGAAGGAATGGGGTGTGCTTTCTTTTTTGCTGTGACGGCCGAAGTCTCCTATAATTCTATCAAAGGAAGATAGCCAACAAGACCTCGATGAAAGCGTGACATAATAACTCGGTAAAGGGCCTTTCTATACCCTGCCAGGGCGGGGCTTTTGCCTGGAGAAAATGCATTGTCACGATCAACTCGAGAAGCGGCGTCAGATAAACGGTCGACGGCGTGTACGGGTATGTATATACTGTAGCAGATTGGTAGCAAGAAGCACAGCGAGGATATGAAAGGTCATCATCTATATATTGTGTTGCATTGATTGTATTTATGTCTTCTACGCGCTCGAAGCTCTGATTCCGGACTACAAGCGTCTCCTTATTTGTTCATTACATAGACTTTATTCAGCATATCATGGTGGAGATGAGTTCCCGGGATGCAGCAAGGTTAGATAGTCTTCAAGACATTATGCTTTTTGAAAAATATGTGTATAATTCTCGAAACCATTCAACAATCAAGTCATACCTGACCTCGGAATGGTCTACGGGTTTATAGACCTTAATAGTGGAGCCGCCGATAACGATAAGGGAAAAAGTTCAAAATTCCACCCCACGTTGGATTACAGATTCCTCACAACTAGACGAAACGAGGATTTTTGGAATATATATACATATATAATGCCTCACGCCCCACGTCAGGGAAACCGCAGGAGGTCCCCAGGTCCGAAAGCGAAAGCGCAGAAACCAAAGCAAGCGCCTCCAGCAAACAAACAGCATGCCAATCGCAAAGCCGAAGTCGCAAAAGCCAAAGCCGAAGCCGAACAAGTAGAGGAAGAAGAGTCCTCTGGGCTTAATCTTGTCAGCACAATTCCTCTCACCCTCCAACAACTTCTCTTGGATGTATTCAAAACAGCCCTTCTTGGAAACCCAGTCGCAGAATCGGAAACTGCAAGCCAGGATGCCAACCCTACTGAATCACAAGACGAAAATAAAGATGAACCATTAGACATTAAATCTCTCATCCAGACAATCAAGGGGCTTCTATATCAGCGCGATTTTGACTCTGCCTTCGCCGAGGCAGGCGAGGATCTGCTGCGTGCCTATGCCTTGCGCTGGAGTGCGTCCCGGTCACTGGGATACGCGGGCTTATTGAAGGGAGTTTTGATCTGGATGAAAGAGGAAGAGGAAAACACCCGAGGCCGTGCTAGAAGCAAGAATCCGTGTACCCGTGTTGTATCCATTGGTGGTGGAGCCGGTGCAGAGATCACTGCTCTTGCAGCTGCGTGGAGAGACATGGGCTCCCAAGCCCAGTCGCTAGAGGAACGTGTTGCCAGTGTATCCCTTGAAGACACCGAATCTCAAGATGAGAAGAAGTCCGAAGCTGAAGACCAAGGTGTCAGCGCACCCAGTCTCTCTGTTATGGCTGTCGATATCGGAAATTGGTCCGACGTTGTTGACAGACTTTCACGAACCATCACCTCGGCGGATGTGCCATTTTCGCAGACAACGAAATACCGTCCCCCTTTGCTGTCGGAGAAGGTGGCTAGTGAAACATTCTCGGTGTCTTTCCGTCGCGAAGATGTCCTGACTCTTCCTGAGGAGGGATTGAAAGAAATTCTCCTCGGCCCTTCCTCGTCCTCTCCTTTCACTTCTATCCTTATTCCTATCATGTTTACTTTGAATGAGCTCTTCTCTACCTCCATGCCGAAGACTACCGGGTTCTTGCTCAAAATGACTGAAATCCTTCCTGCCGGTGCGGTGCTTCTGGTTGTTGATAGTCCTGGCAGCTATTCGACTCTGAAGTTAGGAAAAGGGCCGGAGGGTGAACCGCAAGAGAGGAACTATCCGATGAAGTTCTTGCTTGACCACACGCTGCTGTCTGTGGCAAAGGGCAAGTGGGAGTGCGTATATACTCAGGACTCGAGGTGGTGGAGACGGGACGCGGTGCGTCTGCGGTATGAAGTTGGCGAAGGAGCGGGCTTGGAAGATATGCGCTTCCAGATGCACGTGTATCGGCGTTTGTAGATCTGATGTGTTCTATATCATGACATATAAATACCATTTAATGAGCAATACGATTGGGTCTCCAAAGAAGAATATAAAAGAAAAGCGAAGTGCTGTGTGGAGTGAGGTATGGTATTGCTACAGATAAGGTGGTTGAGTTCAGACCGCTCCAAATTCACGCCAGGAGGCCAGACTCTCCCCAAGTCGGCAAAAATTGCGATTAATTGGTACATTCAATGAGTTGTGAAAACGGGGCCCATAAATCCCCAAGATAGCCTTATAACCCCCTTAACTCCGCAGACCCAGCAAGAGGCTAGTGCTCTTGCTTCCATCCTTTCCCTCTCCACCAGGCAGGTAAGTGACGTTAGGGTTCGAGGACATGGTCGCGGCGATCTCCTTGCTGGCCTCGATACGACGGATCTCAATCAGTCCGCTGCCAGCCTTGGCGACAGCCTTGCTGATAATATCGGCACTCTCGGCTTCACCCTCAGCGCGAATGACGTTGGCCTGGCGCTCCTGCTCGGCACGCTCGACGATGAACCGGGCCCGCTCGGCATCCTGTTGGGCGATCTGCTTCTGCTCGACGGCTCGCGTGAACTCCTTTCCGAAGGTCATGTGTGTAATAGAGACATCCTCGAGGGCGATGTTGAACTGTCCGGCACGCTTCATCAGGTCGGTACGGATGCGGTTGGAGACAGCTTCACGTTGCGTGATCAGCTCGGCGGCGTCGAACTGGGCCACGATGGCCTTGAGGACTTCGTTTCCGATGGAAGGGAGGACACGCTCATCATAATCGGTACCGTATGACTGGATAGCTCTGGGTTAGACTTTTGCACCAGAGGATGCTTAGGGATCATAGCAGATACGCACCTGGTAGATCTGCGGCAGCTTCGGCACATCCGGGCGGTGCAACACACGCAGCGTCAAGCTGACCATCTGCAAATCCTTACTTCCTGTCGTGGTCGAGATATTACGAGGCTTTGTGCGGACATCGTAAACAATTGCGCGCTGCAACCAAGGGATCAAGAAATGTGTTCCTTCGTTGACAACCTTCTCTTGCACACCAGACACTCGATCGAAGATGACAGCTCGCGTGCCACCCTTGACATCGTAAATGGAATTTTGGACTAGCATACCCCCAATAGCCAGGGGGAAGGCCATTCGATAAACATTTTGGAGAGCTTTGGCCATGGTTGGAGGTGGAGGGCGAGGTGATGAGGACGGATGATGGAGATGATGTCTGCTTTTCCCGTTGCTCACTCTGAGTGTTCCCGATCGGGTTTAGTGCCCATCTTTCCAAACCTCCAACTTCGCCCGACCGTCGTCTTTTCCTCACTCATTTCGCTACCTCCATACCTTTTCCACCCCACTCCTCTCTTTTTACCCGAAATCATTCACAATGGGTGGCTCTGTGAACCTTAAGAACGGACAGTAAGTCGTTCCATGTTTGCTCCTGGTGTCGTGGGTTGAGTACCGGCCTCCCGGATGCGTTACCCGCCCGGCTACACAATGCAATTCCCAAAAGATGCCAATTGAGTCGCTCTTAATAGACTCAATGACTTCTGTGCCTTCTATTCAGTGAACTGACAATTTTTACTTTCTATAGCTTCATCGGCAACTGGGGCGAGTTCGGTACGTTTGACAATGACCCTTGAATCTTTCATACGGACCCCAATGGATGCGCAGCAGACCGACCCCCCACGCGATATGAAAGATCGCGATAAGAAATGGAGAAAGATCCGAGGAACAAAACAGGAGAATGCAATTCGAGCGGACCGCTAATATATCCAATCTTTCAGGTTGCCCGACCCCCCAGCGCGTTGCCACCTACTCGCTGTCCCCTAACCGTCAGCGTGTCTTCGCCGGTGCCGGCCATGCTGCCATCTTCAACGTCTTCCGTCGTTTCCGTCACCAGGTTCTCTACGTTGTCCCTCCCTTCGTCGTCGCATACGCCGCCATGAACTGGGCCATTGAGCGGTAAGAATGACTATAGGAGCCGCTTCGATCGGTACGCTAATTTGATGCTTTAGCAACGAGTTCCTGAACTCTAAGCCCGGCCGCCTTCTCGAGGGTGGTGAGGAAGAGTAAATTATTTCAATTTGTTTGTTGGAGTGAGGTTGGATTGGTATAGCAGAGCACGATACACCCAAGACTCTGCAGTTTGGGGGAGCTGTATGCTTGTACAGTAACTAGAAAGCAATCGACCATTTGATTTTCCTTTATCCCGCGATTGATTTGCGATTGGGAGGTCTCTATTTTCTTATATTCAAAGTCAAGCTTGAGTAAGCGTCTTTCTAGGGCTCTCTATTGGTCCCTGAGGTGTCCATGCCCAATTGTGGACATGGGGCATATCTACCGGGTCGAATTACAATCAATGAAGGCTACTAGAGGTACCCAATACCTATTATTCATATTAGAATTGGTCTAGCCCTGTTTCTGAGGATGTTTGGGGGTGTTGGTGGCAGCACAGCAGCGGTTCCCCACTTGAGCCGAGAAGAAGCAAAAAATTCGCCCAAAACAGCCAAACTTCCGCCGTGCCCTTTTTCTTCGAATGCTTCGTCTCTCCAGACTCTCTTCTGCTTTCTACTCATCATCCATTTTTTCCCGTCGTTTCTCTTCTTCCATCAAAATGAGCGAGCTTACCCACCCCACCATCCAGGGTATGTGTGAACCCCCTCCATTACCCCGCCTTCCGGTCAATTTGCTGCAATAACATACTGATGCCCAATCTACAGATGGCTGGTTCTCTGAGAAGTCTGGCATGTGGCCCGGTCAGGCCATGAGCCTTAAGGTCAACCAGATCATTCACCACGAGAAGTCCAAGTACCAGGATGTCCTCGTCTTCGAGAGCAGCGACTACGGTACCGTCCTCGTCCTGGACAACGTTATCCAGTGCACTGAGCGCGATGAGTTCTCCTACCAGGAGATGATCACCCACCTCGCCATGAACTCCCACCCCAACCCCGAGAAGGTCCTTGTCATTGGTGGCGGTGACGGCGGTGTCCTCCGTGAGGTCGTCAAGCACGCCTCTGTCAAGGAGGCTACTCTGTGCGACATCGATGAGGCTGTCATCCGTGTTTCCAAGAAGTACCTGCCTGGCATGGCCATTGGCTTCCAGCACCCCAACGCCCACACCCACGTTGGTGACGGCTTCGAGTTCCTCAAGAACCGCCAGAACGAGTTCGATGTTATCATCACTGACAGCTCCGACCCCGAGGGTCCCGCCGAGAGCCTCTTCCAGAAGCCCTACTTCGAGCTGCTGAAGTCTGCCCTTCGCGATGGAGGTGTCATCACTACCCAAGGTTGTTCGTCACTTTCTTTTTGTCTCTCGCCCAGTCCCTTTCCCAGACCAATCACTACTTGATTGCCCATTTCCCTCATTTCATTGTCACTCCAAGCAAAATAGAACACAAGCTAATCTTCTTCGCACCATCCCCGCAACCAACCCGCTTCACGGGCTCGGTTTTGCGGAGCTGTGCTTTATATCTACCAGCCGAGAACCAATGGCTCCACCTTGACATGATCGCCGACCTTAAGAAGGCCTGCAAGGAGGTCTTCCCCGTCGCCGAGTACGCCTACACCACCATCCCCACCTACCCCTCCGGCCAGATTGGCTTCATGGTCTGCTCCAAGGACGCTACCCGCAACGTCCGCGAGCCCCTCCGCACCTGGACCGCCGAGGAGGAGCAGAAGCTCTGCCGCTACTACAACCAGGACATCCACCGCGCCAGCTTTGTTCTGCCCAACTTCGCTCGCCAGAAGCTCGGCAACTAAATGTCGTGATCTTTGAAAAAGCTTTTATGGTCTTTATATCCTCATGACGATATTGAAATGAAATCATGGATTTTCGCACATCCAATTCTGTAGATTGATTTCTTTTTTCTGCTGTTTCGCATGTGGTGGTCTTTTATACCACCTAACACTTGTAATATATGTCTTCATTGGACGACAATATCGATAACCTCGGAAAGTCTGCGGAAACGAGAGCCGGTTGCATTAAAGGTGAGGTTGATAGGGCTGAAACCCATAGGGCACACAGCAGGATTAAATCATGGCTTCTGTGTATTTTCCCTACAAATATTTAGCAATAGTGGTCATTGTGGAGAAGCAGATCGTTCTACATTTCACTTGCTCCAATCGACATCCGACCCATCACAATGAAGATCTATGAGCATTGCGTTCCACTAATCGTCCCTTTCTGGCGAAGCCCGATGACACGGGTGACGACCTACGACCTCGTCAGCATCGCACAGGGTGAACCAACCCTGTGTACGTCGGACAGATTATGAAAGTAGACGTGAGCGACTGTATATGCCCTTCGACTTTCCTAGCATCACCTAGAGACCTGGTTTGCGTTACACCGTCGGGACAATGTCCTATCGCCTGCAACCCTCCAGCCCCGGCATGACCTGTGATACCCCGACCAAAGAGATCGCAATGTTACTCGGGATCTGTCGATGCCAATTCTGAATACACCGGCTGATAAATCTGGTTCTCCTGTCTGCGCAGGTGCATTCACTCCTCCCGAGCCTGGACCCAGATAACTTGCATCGCGAGCCCTTTGATTGGCAATGGTCCGCCTCAACCCAACCAGTCCCTTTTGTGGGTATTCCTCTACTCCTCCCTAAGCCGAGGGCTGCTATTTATTGTCGGTGTCGCCTAACAGGGTGTAGACATCAACGTGGGTTGCGGGTATTCTCGAACGGCTGAAATAGTGTGTTGATACGACGACCTGTGCTCAATATGATGTCGGCGCTGGGGTTATCACTCATAGTATGGTTACTCTTAAGCTTGTGTTACTACTGGCCATACGGCGACTGAGGATCTGTTTTTCACTGACTGAGACTTGAACTTCGAGAGCATTTGGTTGAAGGATATATGATCACTGAGTCTTGGTATTTCTTTACGAATTTTGGGGCATTAAGATATAGATAGAATAGACACTCTGGTTCGAAGAAGTAAATCAGGATTGGTAAGAGACTTCAAGATACAGGCTAAAAGTGCAAGGTCACATTGAATACCTGAGAACCTCGATGCCAATTTGCGGCCTTATTGATGAGGCCTTTGATGCCAGCTAACGTATTTCACAAGCCAGTCGGCCACACAAGCGAGCCGGCCACCCCAAAACACCATAGTAAATGCAATATATTCCACATTTATATCTCAACAACCACATGTTCATACTATCTCCCCGTTTGTCGATAGTCATTGATAAGACCTATTAACACTACGTATCAATTTCAAAGAAACCAGAAGGCTCCATTGTCGTTATTTCAAAAAATACCGAAAATTACGTTGTAAAAATCTAGAAATATATATATCTCAATCACCAAGTCGTATATACTCCTAAAATTCCGCAAAGAGGCTATATATCATCTAAAAAGCATTAAGCTATAAGGGAAACTCTTTATATACCACCGTTGTTGAGATACCACGTTGTAATTTATCGCATTTACTATGTGTTTTGGGGTGGCCGGCTCGCTTGTGTGGCCGACTCGCTTGTGGAATACGTTATATATCTGACTTGGCTTAATTTGGAAGGAACCAAGGGTTGACCACCTACGTGTATGGACAACCTGGAAGCTCTTGCCCCTACAAAACATTCTCAGCCAACTATACTCTGAATAACAAGAGCTCAAGAAACCACACAAGGAGGGGAAGGCACGATGCAGAACCCAACACATGACCTCGAGATAGTTCGACTGGATAGAAGGCGATAAACAACTCTGCAGGCAAATCTGTCTGACTATGCGGAATTTTATGAGGCCGACAAAACCGGAATTCCGGTAAATTAATGTCTGCCAGTCTGATGTTAGTCTACCCCGGTAGACTTTAACAACTTCCTCCGCTCTATATCATGTAATGTCGATGATTTATATGCCTCACCGGCTATAGAGGAGGAGGAGGAGGAGGAAGAAGAAGAAGAAGAAGAAGAAGAGGAAGAAGAAGAAAGCCTTGGAAATTTAGGTATGCAGGATTCAGAACCGTAGCCTGACTACAGTGGTAGCATATACGAAGCTGCATAGCTATTAGGGCTACACCACTTTATTGCAGTGTAATGTAAATTATCCATACATCAAGGGATGGATGTCTAAGGTGTGAAAGGCTCCATGGGGCTACAGCCTACGACACCAGCAGAACCAATGTACTTTCATTATTAAGGCATATGTAGTGGTGGCTTAGGTATCTTGACTTTTCTGCCGTCCTAGAATAAGGCATCCAGACATGAAACCTCCCTTAAAATGGGGGTTGGGCCAATCCATGGTTCTAATGCTCCGGGCCTCTATACAGATTCATATGCCCGTCGCCTAAAAAGTGGCTATTATAAATAATAGACCATGTATTTGTATGACTGAAGAATGACGATATTAGCGTTAGCGAAAGTCGAAGTATGAGTCAGTAGTTACTTCTTCTTCTTCTTGTAAATATCGTCACCAAACATGAAGAAGAGAATGGCGAAGCCAAAAATCAAGTCTCAAGGCCTCCGGGCATGGTACCACAAACTGATGGACCTTGCATCGCATCATGATGTTCCTGCTCCAGTCATGGAACACATAGCTCAGGTGGCAGTACAACTGCCACATGTAAATCCCGCTGACATGAGTATCCATGACACTAGCAGCGCTTTCGGACTGGAGAGGTCAACGGAGGGGTATCAGCCCTGGCAATTCCCAAAAGTAGAGATTGACCTCCTCGAAAACTTTTGTGAGTGAAACCACTCAATATACCTTGGATTTCTACTAAGTACCTTAATAAGTGCGTACCCTCGAGACTTTTGAGGCCCTCACTAAACGCGCGAAGCCCACAGAAACCCGGGTGCGCTATAAACTCGAAGTCTTGATAAACGTTGTTTATCAAGCGCTCTCCACACAAAATCTGCTAGTGAACGGACCCCCCATAACACTAGCCCATGAAACAACCGTGAGTTGGGGTCCGATCACATACAAAGAAGAGCCACATATCTGTGTAGGAAGGGCGGATTACAGCCTTTACTTTGGAGAAAGAGATCACATGGCTTGTCATGTAGTGATGATTGAAGCCAAACAAGTCGGCGGGGATGGCCATGGCCAACTTTTGGCATATATGGCTATGGTACAGGCAAACCGGAAGAAACGTGGGCAGTCGGACTGGACCGTTTATGGGGTGCTTAGCGACGGGGAGATCTTCACGTTCTACCACTTGGATATGAATAGCCAATTTACACTTGCTTTCCTGCAGGTGCAACGTGAGGGGTGGCAAAAAATTGCCAATATGTTCGCTTCCTTCATCCTTGAAGGAATGAAAACTTGTGCTTCGCCTATACGATCAAGTTTGGCGAGCAATCCTTCTTCTCAGAACTGTCACCAGCAGCCGCCGCCTAAACTTCCTCCGCTTGATACTCTTCCATCAATTGAAGACATGATGGAGATGGAGATGGAATGGTAAATGTTTTGATGCTTTGTTTCACGAGCTGACCAAGAAAGGACCTCATTATATCATTAACTGGCACTACCTATAAGTATGTATACTTACCATGTATGATATGGATTCCTCCTAGCAGGGCCTGGACCTAGGGCCATGCCCTCTTTCTGTAAGGGTTCTTAAGTGTTAGGCCCACAAATGCGGCAGAGGCTATGACCGCATACTGCACAAGAATAACGATTCACTCGGCCGAGAATAGGTTAAAACAGACTACGCACTTGTGCTGTTATTCATTCTAAGGGGTACTAAGGCATGGTGGGCCAAGCTGTTATAGGAACCACGGTAACAGCCTTGCTATACCTTAAACAACCCACAGTCTACTTCACTAGAGAGCATCAGAGGGCATCGGTCGGTACATCCCCGAGCTAATATTGCTAATGTCGTCGGCGACATGCTAGAAGGATGGGCACGTCCGACCTATGATCTCTATTCTTACATAAGGCACCAATCATCCTAACGCAACTCTATACTCGATCAACAGGAACGGCGGCCAGATTTATCATCTCCCCTGGCTACAAACCCGATATCTACTAGGTGGGATAGAGAATAAAAGACTGCCCATTGGACCTGGTCCTTTGGAACGGGAGGGGTTGGCTAAGCGACGTCTTTCCGCCGAGAGCTTTGGGACGGTTCGGGCTCTGCCGGATCTGGAGAGACCGACGACAACAAACATGCCGCGTTCATAGAACGGGGGTCTCGTCTTGTGGCTGGTGAATTCCGATTTTCTAGTCTTGAAATTGACTGAGAAGGCATTGGGGTAAGGGTCAGTCCCTAGAACCACGCTTCGCGAATAGAAGATCGGCCAAGGCGACACTCCACGTTAATATATGATTGCAATCCATTCTGGAGGTGATATAGACTGCCTATTTATGACAATTGGCGTGTCAAATCGAGTAGTGTGGCCATGAAGTCGATCTGCAAGTGCAGTGTATGGTACGGAATCAGACAAAACGAATTGGGAGGAGCTCTTGCTTGTGGATAGTCACAGTTACTAGCAAAAACTTGTCCTCTTCCTATACAATTTCTTGACCTTTTAGAGTGAATTGGTGGCATGTTACGTAGTTAAACAAGCCCCGAGGTCGGTTAGCAGTGCTGTGTAATCCATCTGGACCGGGCACCCGACGTCAGAGTGCCAAGAGTTCCCGCAAATACATTGAACTTTGCGGGGCGGAGTACGCAAATTCCCGGATACCTGCAGGTTGGATTGTTTCACACACCCGAACTCTTGGATTGTTTGCGCATGTCACTTCTACTTGGTCAATGGATTGGATGAATGGAAAGACGCAGGTAAATTGGCAAACAAAGCACGCCGAACATGCAGCCTGCGGGGCCCTCCAACCCGTCTAGCACCACCCAACCGCGAAGGTCGCCTTCGGCGACAGGAAACGCGCAGATTACCCGGAAACGTGTGATATATAGCTGTATGACATGTCGTCGGCGCAAAGTGAAATGCGACAAGGTGGTCTTCCTTGGCCTCGGAGCAAGTTGCTTGAACTGAACATTTCCTTTTAGACACTTCCAGTATGCGGAAACTGCGCGAAAAACAGTGCCGAGTGCGCCTACGATGCGGACCTACAGCAACTTGACGCGCGAACCAGCCGTTCCCGCCGGGCGAATGGAACAAAACGGCGGAGACAGATCCAACACTCCTTGGAGGAAAATACAGATGGAACCCTCCCGACCTATAGCCATTCGAAGCAGGCATCGTTGTTGAATGGCCAGAAAACAGATTTAAGCGCAGTTGAAGCCCATCTGGCTCAACTTGTATCGCTCGTTGAGCGGCTACGAAAGGATAACCAGGCTCACGAATCGACGGAGATGCAAGCGGCTGCATTAGGCCCTGGCGTGGAACCGACGCAAATGGGAGACGGCAATATTCAGAGCAAATCGACTGTCGGGCGACCTGCTAGTCCGTTCAGCGCTGCTGCTGATTGTAGCAGCGATGAGTTTCCCATCCCAAACGGCCAGACTACGGATCTGGTCGATCCAATGGAAACTTCAAACTTGGGCCACATGTCCCTGGGGGATGGCGGGAGGTCAAGGTCAGTATCCATTTACTAGGCTAGTGCATTTGGGTGTCTGACTTTGGGTTTAGATACGTTGGAACGACATATTGGGCTTATATTTCCCATGAAATGGAGGAGCTCAATCAACTGCTCGGAAACCAGGATCAGTCGCATGATTTAGCAGCAGGTAGTGATACCGCAACCGATTCCATTTCTAGCAAGCGAAGACAACGGAAAGGATCGATAAGTAGCCAAACCACCAGCCAAACCACGCGCTCCCCCTTTCCGCTCGGCTTCTCAGAACCCATCCAGAAAGCTGTTTGCATCCCATCCGGTTATTTATCACCGAATGATAAATCGGTCGAGCCATATATGCTTGAGCATGTTCCGACAAAATGGCAGAGTGATATTCTCTACAAGGGATTCATGTCTGGTGTCCACTCACTGAGTCCTATTATTCACCCTCCGATGATCTTGAAGCTCTATAATGACTTTTGGGACTGGTACGACTGCAAAAGTTACGCGGGTGAGCCATGCCCTAGTCCTTCGTTCATTCCACTCCTATATGCGATATGGTTTGGAGGCTCAGTCACGATTTCCATGGGGACGATGGAAACGGAGTTCAATACTTCGTCACGAGCTGTTCTCTCGACAAAGTATAGCGAGGAGGTCACTTCTTGGTTAGCCAAGATTTCGTTTCCCCACAGCGTCACACTTCACGGTCTGGCTGCCTATCTGGTTGCGCAGACAATTTTGTCGAGAGAAGAAGAACCTTTGGCAAGTAGTTTGTTTGTTAGTTTAGCAGTGAGAGTGGCGCAGACCTTGGGGTTACATCGTGACCCTGCTCATTTTAATATCGACCCATGGGAGGCAGAGTTTCGACGGCGATTATGGTGGCATATCATGCATATGGATGCCGTTATCGCGATGTCTAGTGGGCTTCCCCCATTGCTTACCGATACAACCTACTGGGATGTTCGTGAGACGAGCGAGGTCAAGGACACCTTATTGGGTACTACGGAAGCCAATCAGTATGAACAATTGGTTGCCCACGGTCAGCGGCCCCCTGATAATCCAGACGACCCGACGGTTTGTGGTGGGCCATCGATGGTGAATGTGTATTATTTGTCCGCAAAGGCGAAATGCATCATGGCCCGTAAGTAATCTTGCCCTTAGATCTTAGGCGCGTTGGCTGACCTGTTCGCAGAGTCTGTTCGTAGAATACTAAAGATTCAGCTTGGAACGAAACCTCTAACGAGGGGGGATATGGTGGAGCTCCGCTCTGTCCTTCACGATCTTCAAGTCAAACTCAACTCCATCATAAGCCGAATTCCGGAGACAACGGCAACTGAAAAGCCAACACCATATCCAAAGCGAGCTATTCATTCCATCGCAGCGGAACTTCCCATGGAAGGTCCATCCGGCTGCCCGGAGCAATATCATTCAGTAGTCCTCGTCGCATTTCATAAATGGGCCAGGATTATTTTGTCATTGTTCATTGATAAGGTCGACCTTTTTTATGCAGAAATCCCATTCGGTGCTAACATAAATGTAGGCATTTTGTGTTGCATACCAACCGTTCCTAAGGAATCCTCGAAGTCGAATCTGGCCCATAGCACGCCAAAGGTAAGTGTCGCGACTCATTGAGCGACTGGATCTAATTGGAACAGTGCGATACGGCATTCCCACGCATTCATGGAGAAGTTTATTCGATTGGCGACGGATCCTGACTTTCAGCCTTTTCAATGGGGCTGGCCTGGGTAAGCATTCCGATTGTTCAAATACGAATTTTGACTAATTGTCGCCAAGGAATCACCAGCCCATGCATGCGATGATGTATGTTGAAAGCCCGAGCTAGTTGAGTTAGTGGCCATGCTAACTAGATCTAGGATTATCCTTATCGACTTGTACGAACGACCATATAGCCCCGAAGCCTCCGTATCACGCGGATTTGTCGATCAAATCTTGTCGCTCTCTGGACCAGATGGGGGCGTCGTAAGTGGCGGAGACGACATCTTCACACAACGTCCGTTGAGGAATGGAGGCCGTGAGGCCTGGGGTATGATCCGTCGTCTGCGCCAAAAGGCCTGGCAGAAAGCCGGTCTGAATCCACAAATGCCTCGGACAGGACAAGATTGGTCAACCACATCTGATTTTGTAAATGCACCTTGCTTCAATTCCATGGCATCCGCAACCGTGACCGCACCTACTACTAGCGCCGCTGTTGGTGCATGCGACACAGCATTTGCTCCCGATTTACCTTTTGCTCATTCCTCCGCTGCTCCTATGCCGACTCAACAATCCCTCATTAACCCTCCTCCGGTGAACTTCGTGGACACAACCGGTCCAAATATACCTCCCACCCGTGAGAATTCTGTCCCTTTCATGATGGACCCGAGCCTCAATTTTGACTGGGGCGAATGGGACAATATCTTTGGGCAATCTTTACCCGTTGCTGACGAGCTTATGGAACTCGATCAAGTCACAGGGCTTGCATTTGCGGACTTGGAAAATGGATCTATGTGAGACGGGCATACATAGACAATAAATATTATATTCAGTCTCGTTGCTCAAGTTCTGAATTTCAATAGTACCCCTTTTCTCTCCACTCGATACGAGATGTAGATCTCATTTACTCTTCCACTCCCCATTTGCTGCGGGTTCTATTGTTCTTTGTGCCGTGACATGCGAGCTGAATTCTGCACGCCCTGAGACTATTAGACTATTCGATGTGCACTTGACTCGAAACAGTAGGGTAATGGAAAGTGGTGTATTGAATATTTGGCCTATTAAGGCTGCCATAGACTGGGCATCAAGCTACAAATAGAATGGCCGCAAGTAATAAGACTATGAAAATATGAAAATACATATCCTACTCCTTGAGAACGACCTTTGTAATCTTATCGACTAAGTTCGAGACCTGCTTGAACTCCTTCTCGAACCTCTCCTGTCTGACACTATAAGTGGCCAGCTGGTTCCTGCCCGGGACACGGCGACCCAGGGGATACCATATGCCCAGGCCACCACAGCACGACCAACGTCGATGCGCTCTGCCGGACATCACCATTCTGTGTGAAACCCATACGCCATAGTACGCCACGCGTCCTAGTGGGTAAGAACTTTATCATAAGATAAACCCACGGCGGAAAACGAGGCTTTTTGTGCTTGGCGCCCCATTCGACCTTTGTCAAGAGGCCGAGCTTCCTCGTTATTACCTGCCCCTGCAAGTTGTTCTTCCAATTGCCGAGGCAGTCCCAAACTTCTCTTAGAAGTTTTCCCATAGGAATTTCCTCCTTATCGAGGAACTTTTTCAGCTCGGCGAGTTTCTCTTCCTCAAGTATTCGATGGACCTCTTCCCGCAAGAATCGGATCACCATCTCCTAAAACAAAACAAGGCAGGCAAACACGACAGCAGCTGCTCTAGGTGCCATGAGCGACAAAGGGTGTCGTCCTGAGAAAAAGGATGAGCGAATGGCTGGTTCCGGCATAGGTGGCTGATCATTATCGCAAACAAATTCCTCCTCTTGCTGGTGCCGTGGCCTGGGTAGTTATTGTGCTACCCTAACCATGGCACCTTTATCCCCCCTTCACTCTCACCCTTTAGCGCATCCTTCAACGAATCAACGAATCAATGATGTGTGAGATTGGCTCAGTGCCAGCCTGTGGCGGGAGTCTGTATCCAGGCGGTGCAGCAGCAAACTGCGCCGGAAGGTTGTTTCCGGTGGGCTTCGTGGCCGTTGTGCCCCTGCATTAGTCGGTCCCCTCGAGTAAGATCCACAGCTTGGGGTGATTCGGAGGGGCGGGGAGGAGGAGGATGAGAAAGAGATGAGAAAGAGGATGATGAGGATGAGGGGGTGCTCTGATGGGAGCCTCTTTTTCCCTTTGCCCTCCTCTTTATCTTCCTTTGCGGCAGCTTCGACGGCGGCAGCACGGTCTGCGGCGAGGCCCGCAATATTCCGCCCTGGAGCCAGATATTCTTGGTTAGTATAGGTCTTTCCGGATTCCTATACTGCTCATACTAGCTTCGGAGTTGCTCACATTTCTTGCGGAGCTCACATTTCTCCCATTCTCTGAGCTGCTGTGCATAGCCCTCTATGAGGGCTCTTTGTGGGGGGTAGCTCTTCTTTAGTTATCTGGCATCGTGACTATATCTCTTAGCACGATGGACAAATATGATAGAATATAGCAAGCTGCACATACCGTTTTGACCAGACAGCGTAGCCGAGGGTTGCAATGATAGCAAACACACCGGGGTGGTTCATGATTCAAATGTTCTTTGATGCCATTTTGCCCAGGTGCCCAGGTGGGATGTATGAGGAACAAATGATCTGGAGGGCAAGGAGAAGTGGGTGCATTTATATACCCCAGAGGCAGACACGCAGATCACGTACCTTCCCTTGATTTTAGTATGGGTTTGGCTCCTACCTAGTTACCTCGAAAGTGATAGCTCCTTTAGATTCTAGTCGATCTCTATATATTCTATAGGATCAGAGTAAATTGAAGTTGTTTTGATCAGTCGAGTATAGTTTGACCCAAGTACATATCTTCAGATGTCTTTTCGGATGCCTTTCAGATGTACATGAAGATGGTATAAAGAATAATAAACTATACACGGAAATGTGATATAATCAGGGCTATGTCCAAGTTCCTACAGGCATATTGCATAGTGCAGTCATATAAGACATCCAATCCCCAGAGCTCTAGCCCGCTCCCCGCGCTTCCCCACTAATCGGCGAACATCTCCGAGAGCATGAGGTCTATACACACCTCTCTATTCTTATCTTTCTCCCTCTGCTGACACCCTGAATAACCCAAACACCCCAAAATCAAAAGCCATGGCTACAGAATATCCCCACCGAATCGCCCTACTGGGCCTAGGCACAATTGGCCTCTCAATGCTAGCAATGCACCTCCGACGCCCAGACACCAGCATAAAAGTCTACGACCCACGACCCAACTACGAATCCCAGATCCGGAGCACCCTCCCCTCCCTCCTCGATTGTCCCGAATCAACCACTCTAATCGACGACCTGCTCCGCACATCCCGTCTAAAACTCGCCACCACCGTCGCGGACGCCATCCAAAACGCAACAATCATCCAAGAACAGAGCCCGGAAGTCACAGCCTCAAAACAAGCTCTCTGGAAGGAAGTTGCCAGTCTCGCTGGGCCGGATGTCCACTTGTGGAGTAGTTCATCTGGAATTTCTGCCTCAGTGCAAGCATCCGGGTGTGAGGCTGCGGACCGTGTTGCTGAGCGTTTGCTCGTTGCGCACCCGTTCAACCCGCCGCATCTGATGCCGCTTATTGAAGTCGTGCCTGGGCCTGAGACTAACCCTGAGAGGATTGAGTTCGTGAGGAAGTATTTCGGCGATGTGCCTGGTCCCGGAGTTTCGGGTGGGGGTCAGTCGGCTTCGCAGCATTACCGGCCTATCACGTTGCACAAGGAGATTCCCGGGTTTGTGGGGAATAGACTTGCTTTTGCACTGCTGAGGGAGGCGTGTTATCTTGTTGGTGAGGGGGTTGTTTCGGCGAAGGATTTGGATTCCCTTGTTACGGCTAGCTTGGGGCCGCGGTGGGCTGGTAGTGGTGTGTTTGAGAGTTATCATGCTGGTGGTGGGGAAGGTGGGATTGGGGCGTTTTTGCAGAAGCTTACGCCGACAATTCAGGATGTGTGGGGGGGAGTTGGGTCAGATTGATATTCAGGGCGAACAAACATGGAAGGACATGGTTGTTAAGCAGACTGAAGATGCCTATGGGCCTTATACACCTGAGACGAGGAAGAAGAAAGAGGAGATGTTGAGGGATGTTGTGGAGTTGCAGAAGAAGAAATGGGGTGAGTTGTGATCGAATTTGTTACCTAGGTAGGTAGAGGATATGTAATCTACGGGCATGATACCTACCTGGGTAGGTACGCTTTAGGGTTACTGGAGAAGTGAACAATAGAGTGCTCTATTCGCATTCTTGTATATCTAGAGGGCCATAGCTCCCCTATTAAAAAACCAAAACATTTTGTTACGTCATATTCGTTCCGTCCCTTACAGGATCTGCTGGAAAGCACGGTTAATGGGCGAGCGCACGGGGACGCCCTTGTAGAAGTCGATGGTGGCAAGAGCACGCTTGCTGATGCCCTCGGGGGTGAACTCAAATTTCTGCGAATAATTAGTAAAGGGTAATGGGAACATGAGTAGCGATAACTTACGGCGTACACCTGCTTGTAGGGACCGGAAGCACCGAAGCGGTTGAGACCGAACTGCTCGTGCGAGTAGCGCTCCCAACCCATAGTGGAGCAGGCCTCGACGGACAGCACGGGAATGCCATCGGGCAGGACCTGGAGACGGTACTCCTTGGACTGAGCATCGAAGACCTCGAAGCAAGGAATGGACACAACACGGGCGGCGACACCGTGCTTCTCCTGGAGGTAGGTAGCAGCGTCAATGGCGATGCTGACCTCAGAACCAGTGGAGACGATGGTGACGGCAGCGTTAGGGGTGTCGACAGCGACGTAGCCACCCTTCAGGGCGCTCTCAATGGTGGAGAGCTCAAGTTGGGGCAGGTTCTGGCGGGTGAGAGCCATGACGGTAGGAGTGTGCTTGGAGGTGATGGCGGAGTAGTAGGCAGCGCTGGTCTCGTTGCCATCAGCGGGACGCCAGACCATGCAGTTGGGGAGGGCACGGAAGTGAGCCAGAGTCTCAATAGGCTGGTGAGTGGGGCCGTCCTCACCCAGACCGATGGAGTCGTGGGTAGCGATGTGGATGACACGGACGCGGGACAGGGCCGACAGGCGGAGGGCACCGGCGGCGTATGAGACGAAGTTCAGGAAAGTACCACCGGCGGGGATGATGGTGCCGTAGGCAGCGAGACCGTTCATGACGGCAGCCATGGCGTGCTCACGCACACCGTAGCGGATGTAGCGACCGGCCCACTCGCCAATGCCAAGGTCAGGGGGCTGGAAGTCAACGGCGTTCTTCCAGCGGGTGTTGTTAGAGCCAGTCAGATCGGCGGAACCAGAAACCAGTTCGGGAAGGACGTCGTGAATGGCCTCGAGACAGGCCTCGGAGAGCTTACGGGAAGCGATGGCAGCATCAGTGGGCTTGTAGACGGGGAGCTTCTTCTCCCAGCCCTCGGGCAGCTTGCCGGAAGACGGCGAGCGAGGTCAGCACCCTCGGTCTTGTGCTCAGCCTGGTACTTCTGGAAGAGCTGGTTCCACTCCTGCTCCTTGGCGGCACCCTCAGCGGCGTGCTGGTGGTACATATCGTAAACCTGCTGGGGAACAGCGAAGCTCTCCTCGGGGTTGAAGCCGAAGAGCTTCTTAACACTCTGGGCATCGTCGGCCTTGAGGGGGTTGCCGTGGACACCACCGGTACCGGCAAGCTTGGAGCCGAAACCAATAGTGGTGGTCAGCTTGATGACGGAGGGCTTGTCAGTAACCTGCTGACACTTGCGGATGGCAGCCTCGATACCCGCGAGGTCGTTGTCGCCATCCTTGACCCACTCGGTGTGCCAGCCGTAAGCCTCGAAGCGCTTCATGACATCCTCAGTGAAGGCACACTTGGTGTCACCGTCTGTTGTGATAACCTGTCAGCATTTCATACCTATGTTGAGAGATAGTACAGTCGATCTTACCAATGGAGATGTGGTTGTCATCGTAGATGGCAATCAGGTTGCCAAGCTTAAGGTGACCGGCCATAGAGGCAGCCTCGCTGGCAATACCCTCCATAGCGCAACCATCACCGAAGAACATGTAGGTGTAGTTGTTGAAAAGCTCGAAGCCGGGCTTGTTGTAGACACCACCGGAGTGAGCCTGAGCCATGGCGAGACCAACAGCGTTGGCGAAACCCTGGCCAAGAGGACCAGTGGTGACCTCAACACCGGGGGTGTCGTGAGCCTCGGGGTGGCCGGGGTGGGGCTGTCGAGTTGCTACTAAAATCAGCACAAGGCTGCTGTATATAGTTCAGAGGAACTTACACGGAAGTTCTTCAGGTCATCCATTGACAGCTCGTATCCGAAGAGGTGAAGCAGAGCATACTGGAGCATGCAGCCGTGTCCGTTGCTATCCAATTGAGGTCAGCGGGCATTCTAAAGACACGGTCGTTTCCTTTTCGGGTTGAAAGGCTGTTCCAAGCCATATCCAACTTGATTTTGGATGAGGGGAGAGAAAGTACATACGAGAGAACGAAACGATCACGGTTGGCCCAGTCAGGGTTCTTGGGGTTGAAGTTCATGAACTTGTTGAACAGAACGTGGGCCACGGGGGCCATACCCATAGGGGCACCGGGGTGACCGGAGTTAGCCTTGGAGGTGGCATCAACCTGATAGCGAAATGTCAGTCAAATTTCTCAGAATGTACGCATGGAAACTCCATCTGAGATTAAAGAGCCAAATCTAGGTCCAATTGAACGCATGAAAGGGAGGGTGATTCGCCGGGAAGAGGTCAACGTACCGCGAGAACACGGATGGTGTTGATAGCCAACTGGTCCAGATCAGTGTAACCCATGATGGCGGATTCTAATACCGTTAGAGAAGAAAACCAGAGGAAGTCTAGATACGTACATTTGTGAGTGAAGGGAATGGTTTGGAGGGAAGATGGATGAGAGAAGAAGAGAAGAGGGAGGGGAACGTATTTGTTGGTGGGGGTATGATGTCGGGTGGGGTGGCGGACTTAGTGGCTTGCAGCTCAAACTGACTAGCTTACAGGGACATTTAACAGAGAAAGTAAGAAATTAGTATTGAAGGAAACCTATTTACGGGAGTATCTCTATATCATACAGGCTAAAACAATTCAATTGCCCTTTCTATACTCCGTACTTGTATATTTACTTATTCATTGCATCATGGGCTGAGTCATCAGCCAGAGGGCCCCGGGGCTCGGGCTCCTGCAACTATACAAGTCTACATATGTCCATGTACTCCGTATGAAGCTACGCTGTTATACTAATGGATATCACACTTGTTAACCCTACTTACCTCTGTACCTGTATTTCTCAAAATGCATCAATAGCCGTTTCTTCCGTTGTGCCCTGGCCCGCATTTTCCGACACTGTTCCGGGTTGACATCCACACGTTCTTTTAGTATACACCGGGAGCCGCCCGGAGGACGCTGCTCCGACTCTCAACCGACCTTTCTACGGAGTGAAATTAGCCGAATTCCCATCGATGGTTCCTCAATAACCGTGCCGATGGTCAGCTGTTCAGCAGAAAAAAAGCAGCTTGGATGGAATTGATGCCTTCCAAGGCTTCTTGACAGCTCCTTGACAACTCAGCTTGTAAACGTGGCCGTGCATCGGATTCCCTAATCAGGCCAATCCGAAGAAAGATCGAAACACCAATGACGATGTGAATCTGTGAATATAAGTGGAATAGCAATTCCAAAGAATTTCTAACACAACCCCCACAGGGAAAGTGAATGTCGCTGCTGGAACGTTGGGTAATCCCATCGACATCCCGGTGTGCCTAAAGGAGAGTAGCGCGAGAGATATGATCGAGTCACGTGCAAAGTATATTTGAACTATACATTTAACGATGTGATACTATAACCATTGTGGTTTCTGGCTAAAATATGAGATGTCTGTATATGAAGGACGTCGAGCTATGCTTGCCTGCTATTGATCTGTCTTCGTCCAATCTCCCCTTCAAGCACGCATACAACCTAGACCCTTGCTGTGCTTCCCTAGGAAGTCATAGTCACTCATGACAAAGATGAGAAGTTCCCAGTCCAATATGAAATCCTGAAGACAATACTTGCATCGAAACATTAGCATTGCTTTCTTCGTCCATAATATGAATAAATGTTCAAAGCCCCTTCACGATGCAATCGCCACCCCCGGAACCTCAGCTCCGACGTGTAAGAGCGAACTTCGGTCAGAATCCCCCGCCTCAAATTCAATCGCACAAGCTCAGGTTGAGCAACATGGTAGTCATGCCAGCTTGCACTACATGCCTACATGAAAAGTTAGCCTACTCAGCTGGAGCAACTCCATGTCACAACATGAAGGAACCTAGGGAAGCTGACTGATATGGCCTGGATATCGAAGCGTCCTGATTGGAATTCGTGATAAGCGTCGTTGTCTATCAAGCTTAAAGAGAAATGAGCGTACAAATTAACACGGAGGGCCCTTGAACTAGACACGATTTTGGGTTCCTCCAACCCCTCGGTACCTGTGACTTCAGTCAGCTTACATGGGCTGGCCCCTTCGTTTTAGGACCTTGTAGCGCACTATGTCCATATTATTTTATATAAAGGATATCTGTATCAAAGACCGGCGTCCATATTTCTATCCACAGGTTATCATTTAGAGTCTGCTCAGATATATCGAGATATATTGTTTCACATCATGGACACAGAAGAGAAGTTTACTCAGTCCCAAACTGATGTGTAAGTCCTCAATACCTTGACCAAACATAGTCTAACACCATTTCACAGTCTCATCATCGGTGCTGGGCCATCCGGCCTGATGGCCGCGTACTGGATGGCTCGCTATGGAGTCAATGCACGCATTATCGACAATCGTGACACGAAGGTCTTCCTAGGCCACGCAGACGGGCTTCGTGCACGTACCCTAGAGTTATTCGACAGCATGGGTTTCCAACACCGTGTTATACAGGAGGGATCTATCTCCACCGAGGCGAACATTTGGGTGTGTCACCTTGTTTTCCACCGAAATTAGGGCTTGCCTGACAACGCCACGAACAAATAGGTCCCCGGTCCGCAGGGAAATATCATCCGACAGGCTCAGATTGACATCTTCAGAGTCGACGAGTCACCTTTTCACAATACACGTTTGAACCAGGGACGCATCGAGCGGTTTATTCTTGATAGTATCCGGGAGCACTCCGATCTCGATGTGGAACGGAGCGTGATCGCCGACTCTTTGGAATATGATGAGGAATTGAGTAATGATCCCAACTCGTATCTTATCACTGTCAAGGTCCGGGTCCTCGGAGAGGATGATTCGAATCCGCCGTGCGGACAGGAAATTGAAAATGGCCCCCAAGCTGCTGGCAACGTCGTGAACCACAGTGACTTGCTTCCTGATGACTGGGCCGATCTAGCCCCTCGCAAAAGGCCGCAGAGGACTCAGGTCGAGACTATCAAAGCCAAGTATCTGATCGGGTGTGATGGTGCCCACAGCTGGACGAGAAAACAGCTGAACATCCCCGTGGAAGGGTCTAACACGGACCATATATGGTTAGTGGTACTCAATATAGACCCGCGCCACAAAAGCTAATACGACCACATATACAGGGGCGTGATAGACGTGATACCCCTTACCGACTTCCGTAAGTACTACCCACTTTGAACGCTGTGCTCCCAATGACACTCACTGAATAAAATCCAGCGGACATCCGCCGCGTAAGCGTCGTCAACAACGCCGCAGGCACGATCCTCGTGATCCCACGGGAGCGCGGCTTAGTCCGCTTCTACGTCCCTGTGCAAACCTGCGAAGCGGGAGCAACTGACCGATTCGATCGTTCGAAAATCACGCGGGAGTTAATCCGCTCGCGCGTGCAAGCCATCCTTGCCCCCTTCATCTTCGACTTCAAGGAATGTAGCTGGTGGACGGTGTACCAAGTCGGGCAGCGGATTGCCGCACAATCCACGAAGGACAACCGCATCTTCCTTGCTGGTGATGCGGTGCACACGCACTCACCTAAGATGGGGCTCGGGATGAACATGAGTATGCAGGATGGGTTCAATGTTGGATGGAAGATTGCACTTGCTGTGGCGGGTACGCTCAAGCCTGAGGTTCTTGAGACTTATGCTTCGGAGAGACATCCGCTTGCGGAGATGTTGCTTGACTTTGATCGCCATTGGTCGCCTATGTTTACTGATCGGAAACCTGGAGTGGGGGATACGAAAGCTTCGGAGATTGCCCTTATTGGAGGGAGGTTTGAGGACTTCGCTGACGGTTGGAAAGTCTTTTACCCCGCGAGCAGTCTTGTTCGGAAGGCCGAAGACAATGCTGAATTTGCCTTTGCACAGCACATGTTTCCTGGGAGAGAGTCCGGCCGGTGAAGCTCCGCAATCAGGCTGATGGCGGGGCACTATGGACAACAAGAGTCTTGGAAAGCGATGGGCCCTTCCGCATTCTAGTCTTAGCTGGTGATATACGAAACCCAATGCAGAAACAACGCCTTGAGACCATGGCTCGGGTTTTGGCTGGACAGTCTGGGTCGAGCAATACACCCCTGAGTCGCTACTTGGAGATTCCAGGTCGGTTCAAGAGTCCTGTTGATGTACTCACCATTCATGCTTCGCCGTGGAAAGAGGTAGAATTATTTGATTTCCCCGAGGTTCTGCGTCCATTCGACCCGGTGAAAGGATGGGCATATGACAAGATTTGGTGCGATGATGCTTGCATCTTTGATCGTTATTGCGATGGAACAGCATATGAGAAATGGGGTGTTGACCGAGTCCTTGGGGCGCTGGTGGTCGTTCGCCCGGATCAATATATCGGATGGGTGGGTGAACTTGGGGATGTGGAGGAATTGACGCAGTACTTGGATGGAATTCTTGTGAAGAAGTCGCCGACAAACGGGGTTCACTCAGTCGTCTAGGGAATACCACACAAGACAATGGGAATACGATAGGTCGACTTCTAAATATGAATTGGTGCAAGTGATACGCTTCGAAGTAGCCTGTCGGTTGAATAAACAATTATGTGCTAAAAGAAAAACAAGGAAGGCTATTGGTACATGCACAACTATAATCTCACAAAACCTCTCGTAACTCCACAATCCTCTTCATGCTTACACGCGAGCCTCAGGCACCGATGACCCATCTTCTCGTAGCTCAGTAGTAGGATCGGCAACATGAGACGACCTAGGCGCATCCCCTTTATCAAGCGAGCCACGGATGACTTCTGGACTAGCAGGGAACACGAACTTCGAGCTTTTCCACGGCTTCACCTTCAGGCGGTACATAGTGTCAATCTCCTCCAGAGTACGGCCCTGTCCCTCCATAACGGCGAAGTAGACCAGACCCGCGGCAAGGAAAAGACATCCAGCGAAGACATAGCCGAAGCGGAAGTCGATGGCACCGGTAATAAAGGGAGTGAAGAAGGCAAGGAGGAAGTTCCAGAGCCAGTTCGATGCAGTCGCCAGAGACATGGCTTGCGCACGATATTGCGAAGGATACAACTCGGCGATGATCGTCCACACCATGGGACCCCAGGTACTGGCAAAGCCAAGAATGAACAGGCAGGCAAAGACCACCATAATCACACCGGCAGTCTTAGTTCTCTCTGGGAACTCGTGATCCAGGGAGAAATGGCCCACCGAGGCAAAAATCATGAAGCAGACGAACATCCATAGCGCACCGGTTATAAGAGAACGGCGTCGGCCCCAGTGCTCAATCAGGTAGAGACCAAGGAATGTCGTTCCGAAGTTGACGGCTCCTAGAATCATCTGCGTGACATAACTATTCTCGATTCCAGCACCTTGGAAGATAGTTGTTCCCTAGGAGGTGTTAGTTTGGTTCTTCTTCCTCTGTGTTAATGATCTCATAACTCACATAATAGAAGAAGTAATTAGCACCTGTCAGCTGTTGGAGAGCTTGCAGGGCGACGCCAACAGCAATCCGGTAGGCCATCGTCGGAGCACGGAACATCTGCATCCAGGTAACTTTCCCGTTGCGCTTCTCTTCCTCGTATTTCTCTTTGATTTCATCGAACTCGATGTGGAGAGCACGGTGGTTACGAGGGACACCGTAGACTTTGGAAAGAGTGTCCATAGCTTTATCCACCTTGCCGTGACGGTAGTCGTAGCGTGGACTTTCAGGGAAGAACATCATACCAAGACCAAGAATTGCGGCCCAAATATAGGTGACACCCATCGGGATACGCCATGAACCGGGGTCGGGGCGACCTTCGGTTCCGAAATTGATACAGTTGGCAACGAAGATCCCAAGTGTGATGAACAGCTGATATGTACTGAGAAGAGTTAGTACGCGATAATTAACACCTGTGAAGGCCCCAGGCCCGGCCAGCAACGTACCTAATCAGCGATCCTCGAATATGCCTCGGTCCTGATTCGGCTTGATACATAGGTACCAGTAGAGAGATTGCACCGACTCCAAGCCCGGCAACCCAACGCCCCACGGCGACCTGGTACCACTTGCCAAAAGGCGCGGACATCTGGATGGTGATCCCAATGCACACCATAAGAGACCACCAACTGATACACCATTTTCGTCCGATACGGTCAGCGATGGGTGCTGCGACTAAAGCCCCCATCAAAGTACCAATCGACAGCTATAGGGATGTGTTAGGTATGAGCAAGAAATGGTAAAGAGCACGCCGCTTACCAAGGCAACAATGAGACCCGAACGGACATGACTGAAATGATATGTCCCATCCGATTGAAGTTGACCATAGCGCTTAAGGAAGTTGTCCATTTCCAAGAAGCCAGAGATTTGACCAGTGTCGTAACCGAAAAGAAAACCGCCCATAGAGACGAGAACGCCCATTATGAATGAGCGCCAAGTGAGAAGTGGAATAGGTGTGTCGACGACATCACCGGGACCTTTCTCATGTCCATTTGTGGAAATAGACTCCCCAGGGGGCTGGGTGTCTGCATAGAGGTCCTGTGGACGCTTTTTGAAGACCTTATCGAACATAGTGCCAGTGAGTCCTACTTGCTTGTGATATCTGCTACTGGCAACTAAATTTTCGGAGATCCATGTTGTACCGGATCAACCCTTCTTATACAGGTCCTAACCAAGAAAGCCAAGGCTAGGCAGTATGGGGCAGTGACGGAAGGCGAGTTTCTCAGGAGCTCATACGATCGAGGACACCGATGACACGTTGATCCAAGGGCCCAGATATGCGAACTTCAAGCCTGCTCTCATCCCCGCAAGTAAACGGATTTGGCACGTTCACCGATTCGGCTACGGGGTGTTTGGGTGGTTCATCGTTGCTGTTGGTCAACATACCAACTCCAGACTCCACGCCCAAAGGTTTTCTGTGGCGCGGAAGTCTCGGCCCTCTGGGTGCTCGTGATCGCTTTTTTCTGGGAACGAATGATATTTCTGGGGAAGCGAGCCACGCGATGGGAGTCTGGAGAAGTAGTGATGCAATCGGTGGCAAAGCTTGGCATTGACCGGCCGCACTCTCATGGTAATGTTCGAGAGGATAAGAGAATATATTGTCGAGGTACAATTCTCATAGTCTTGATAGACAGATATATCAGTGAGTGCAGAAAGTCAAGAGAGGTGTTTTCCATGAGTGCACCTTTTGATGTTGCGCCGTAGAGAATACTACCGCTTTCGACATTTCTAAACATTACCGCAGGAATCGTACTACTTGAGACACAATTATAGACCTGATAGAACTGCAGTCCTGGATTCTAGACGCTCTGTTGACCTGGAGACGCCACAAAATTTGCTAGAAATGGTCGATTCAATCGGGTACTCCGGGTACCATCTACCAGGCAAAATGGGAGAAACGTCTCGAACATTTCCATGTCCTGAACACTCACCGAAAGTACAATTCGGGATTGGAGAATTTCTCTCAATTTGTTTACTTAGAGCACATCTCCAGATTATTCGCCTTGGGTCGGCTGCATGGGTGGCCAAACCACCGCCAAGCAAGATATCTTTTGTCCTTCTCGTTTCCATCCGGTTTCCCCAAAGTCTAATCATCATTACTAGCCAACTTCCACTTGAGCATCTCCCTATTCAGGCAATATGACGAGGAATTGCCTCGGCTGAGTCCCCATTTTGATCAAATTCGCGACGCGAGCTACCAACTGGCATCGCCGCCTCATTCGTTGTCGCATATTTTTCAGACTGGGTTTCCAAGCCTGCGCGATCCAAGGCTTCCTGTGCAGCAACAGCAGTTTTGCAACGATATTGCATCGCATACACTGCAACGAGGACACCAACAATCCACCATGAGAACATTATAGGGAGTGCACGGTACAGCCGATTATTGCAGCCACCCGACCAGATCTGGATCAGGACCTCGTATGCCTCATGGGAGGGAAGGGCGTAACCCCAACGGAAGAACCCAGGACTCAGCTCAAATGGGGCGATGGTGCTGGCAACATTGATTATGACCCATGTCAAGACAATAAACGACATGAACTGAATCGGGACGAAAGCAGTCGTGATGTCGAAAAACAGGAAATTGATGTGCATCAGAAGCCACATAGTGATCCAAGTCAGCACAAACTGACTTCCTTGTTGTCCCCAAGATTCTCTGAACGCCCAGATATAGCCCGTCATCAACAGTGAGCCAGTGAAGGTGTAGAGGATGGAGGCTATGACGCGAATCAGGCCGTTGGTTTTCCAGGACAATTTGGTGAATGCGTCGAAATTGGTTGATATTCCGTTCAGGGCCAACATGAAAAAGAACTGTTGGATGAGAGGCATCACCATGGATACTGTGTTGTAAAAGACCCTTGTACCTTGTTCCGTGTGCTTGATGTTGATTTCTTCGGCGTGGATGGGGTTTAGGAACGCTTGGAGGGTGGCTGGATTAGAGAGGTCGGCGGACGCGGCCACCGAAGTCCCATTGTTGGCGTAGTATGTTGACCGTGTGGTTTCGATCAGTTTCAACATGTTGGAGTACACCGCGGACTGCGAGAAAACCGGGTATCTCACCCCGTTCCAGATATACGTGAGCGAGTTTGGCGGGCTGGACGCATTTGCCAGCGCCGACGCCAATCCAACGGATCCATCCTCGGTGGTATAAATGGCCCCCCCAGTAGTCACCGCGGCATACGGCTTCTCGAATATCCTCTGGTTGGGGATATTTGTCGGAAGGTTCCGACAGCAAGGTTGGGAATCCAGCTCCTCGTAATTGTTGGTAGGCGTCTGACACTGACTTTCCGATAATACCGCCATCATAGTCAACATAAAGCACATTGAAGTTGTGATAACGGGTGGTACTTCGGAACTGCGTTGCATAAAGATAGCACATGTTCCCTAAGAAAAGAATCTGAAGAAGAAGAGCCATGGTGATCACAGCTGGCAAAAGCCGAGGCCTGATCTCCTTCCATGCGCCCATTTTGGGATATGAGTTTGATTCAGATTTCATCTTAGGAGATGTAGGGTCGAGGAGATGGGATGAAGACGTTGACTGAAGTACCCCTGAAGAGTGACATTTATAGGAATTCTCGGAAGCCGATCCCTGTGGTGTTTGCTCGCTGTATACCCACGGATATTTACGTTAGCTTGGTCACTCCAACTGGTTGCACCATCCGAAGTATAACAATACCTCTGGGCAATGGGGCTACTTTAGGGGTCGACCAATCACATTGGCCAGACGGTCGATCAAGTTCCCGCTGAGTCAGCGGCACAACATCCCGTTCCCGAGGTCAGGGCTCGGATCAAACTGCAATTGGTCGCTCTCGATGCTCCGTACCTTTTACCTTATACCTTATCCAGCAAAAGAAAATCATCTCGCATTATACGGGAGGACCAGTCTCACACGGTAAGGCTAAGCTCATCGTAGCGGCTACGCTAAAGGTGTGTTCCTCATACGAGTGACGTAGTTCGGAACACATAGTAAACTGACTATGTGCAACCTTGTATCCCAGCAACAACAACGTCCTTATTTGATTTAATATTTACTCAATAGCTGTGAGTAAGACGTTTTATGGATATATATATATATATATATATATATCATTTTCAAAGCAATCAAGAAGTTGCAATACCAATTGAAATTATAAGCTACCTGGGTAGAGAGATATAACGGATAATTACTCGTGTCGACTGGTTATAGGTAGTTGGAGAAAGACAAGGAGTGATACTGCTACTATGCCGGTCCCGGGCATATCGAAGCTTGTACTTGGATATGGTGTTATTGTTAGCCTAAAGGGAGTAATGAGCACGAATCCGGGAAGGGGACGCTGGGAGGGGGCAGAGGAAAGCCACTACCCCCATCGTTACATAGTACATATGTAGTCTAATGCTTGTAGGCGCCTCTTCTTCTGTGAAGTATATCGAGAGGGAGCACGCCAAGGCACCGGTTGGAATATCCCCACATGGAGATCTACTCCTCGTGTAACTAGCGCCAAAAGAGTGTTGTAATCATCATCAAATTCATACATGTATATACGCGATATCCTTCCAAGGTTGGCAGTGCCTATCCAAAAAAAAAAAACACCGTAATAACTATAATATATACCAGGCCAGACATAACAGCCATGGCAAATAAAAACAAAACATATTTCCAAGCATAAGGCAAGATCAAAGAGAGATAATAAATAGAAGAGGAACTCAAAACTCAAAGATAAAATAAACGCATATAAACGCCCTCATCCACAGGTATCATGAGAACAAAATAGAAAAGCGGAAAGCGATTTCAAAACCCAAATCCCTTCCGACAAAGAAAAGACACTCAGCGCTACATAATTAATCAGACGGCCAGGCGTCGGTCCCAGCCATTGACCAGAGAAAACTCATCGACCTCACCTTCACCATGCATAGCAAAAGCATGGAAAGGATCGATGGTCTTGATATCCTCAGGACAGACCTGAACATCAGCATATGGTGCCAGAGACTCCTCGGCACTCCCCATACTCTCGCTCGAATAGCTCAGAACGCTCTGCGCGGTATGTTCTGGCTTATGTACGAAGTCGCCACTACTGGCGGACCATGCCTCGGGCGAGAGGTCGTGGATATCGCTCTGCGGGTGATTGACTAGGAGGCGTCGTTGGGTCTGCGATTGTATTCTGCTGCGATCGAGGCGAACGGGCCCGGGTCTTCGCCGCATTCTTTGCCGCCGTAGATGCCTGTAAATATGTTGGAGTACCCGCGGTCCATGTCGCTCAAAACATACTCCCAATCGGCCATTGTGATGGCGCTAGCTGTGGGATCGGAGGGCGTAGAACAGGACATGGAACGTGGGTGGTCGTAGCCCAAGGATGCGGATAAGCGGGGGTCTGAGGGTAGGTCCAAGGGGGAGTGGCCTTTGTCGTTGAGGTAGAGTGGAGCGGGGAGCTGGTCAGGTTGAGAGAGGGGCAGGCTGCTCCAGCTAGGGGACCGGAGCGACTGGGGAACAAGTGGGGGTGTGGCTCCGGAGATGGTGTTCCGGCGGGAGGACTGCGGGGATGGTTGGGTTGGAGGCTGCTTATCACGGGTGGAGCAGGCGATGAGGCGAGACTTCAAGGCCTGCAAGTGCTTCTTGGGGGGATTTGCTCGGCTTCTGTGTTGGCGCTACCATCTCCTGGTGCTGCTGCTTGCCCACTGACGGGTGTCGTCCACCATCCAGTGAAACCAGAGTGTTGGACAGCGTGCCGAATTCAGCAGCGGCCGCACTCGACTCCGATTGGAGGTATTGCATGACAGTCCCAAGTAGCTTCTGGCTATCCTTGGCCAATTTGCTATCATTCTTGACATCAAGCATTTGCCAAAGGAGACCAAGCCCGGAAAAGAATATAAGCTCTTTCCTGTTGATACAAACGGAGAGACACAAGCGCCTCTCTTCGAGAAGCTCAAGAATCTGAATAATATGCTTCGCTGAATCGGACAGCGCCAGGATAGATGCAGACCGAAGGGTCTCGTCAGCGTAGCAGACAGCCGGGCGATGTATCAAAGATCGAATGAAATAGTACACAAGTGACTATAGAAGGTTAGTGATTTCCAAAACATTAATGTATTAATGCTGGGACTTACCAGGAGCGGCGACCGACTACTCGTGACGTTCGTGCTAGGCTTGTCCTGACTAAACTCGAGACGAAGGTGTGGCGGGAGTGTGTTAAGCCACTCGTCCAATTGCCCTGCCACCGAACGCATCTTCGAAACACACACATCGTAGCCAGATTTCGAAGGGAACAGATCGTCCAAAGCCTTGTTCAAGATCCTTGCAGCTCCAAAGAGAGCGATGGCGCTGGAAATACGAGTGGATTCGCCAGGTAGGGTCGGCAAAAACCCTGTTTCTGTGACATTCTCATCGTCCACATCAACCGGATACTCAGTCTCGATATCCTCTTCGCGCAGCAGGACAGGTAGTCCAGTAAGCGCGGAGCAGAATCGGTCAAGCACATATTGCGACCAGAAAACCTTCTTACGAGTCTCGTCCTCGAGAGGGTTGCCCGAGCTTTCTTGGTTTTCATGCATGCCCAGTTGATGGCAAATATCCACACCAAGAGCACGGTAGCGAAGCAATGTGCGGTAGTCGCCTTTGGTTATGCAGTAGATCTGACCAAGAACAAAGCATTGCAGGCTGGAAACCGACGTTTCACTCGAGAAGGAATCAAGCGTGGCCGACCAGTTTTCTTCGAAGAAAGTCGGGTCTTGGTTGGTTCGCGACGTTGATGAAAGGGCAGCAATACCAAAAATCAGGTTCAACTGTGCCATCACATGGGGATTGCGCTGAAGAGTCTCCGTATTGTTGAGATACTGTTCGTAAGCTTTCAGAATGGTTGGACGATGTACCACGGGGTACAGCGGCGCCCATTCTTGGAAGAAGATGTTGATCAGCTGGTCCGACACCAAGCGGGGTGGCGTTTTCACAGCCTGGTTGGGGGCACCCTGGACCACCGAGGTGGGCAAGGACGTGAGCGACCCTGTGGGTATCTTCGTTGCTGATTTACCATCACTGACAAGCTTGTTGGTAAAGACATCTGCGCATGTAAGTTGATTGCTTGCATTTGTAAAAGGGAAACACATAACATACCAGCAAATCCCTGGGTGCTAGAAAATCCGATGAAAGGGTTCTGCGACTTCTGGGATGGTCGGGTCGTTGATCGCTCTACATGAAACACGCCATCTGATGAATCCGAAGTGCTCGACTTCGCTGTCGCTGAAGCAGAAGGAGACCGAACAGAGGCAGCTCGTTGCGGCGGCGTAAATGAATGTATCCGGGACAAGACATCGATCTTCTCGTCCTTCTCGTCTAACAGGTCCTTCAAATCTTTAACTTCGGATTCTAGAGTCCTGACTCGTTCTTCCAGCGACTCAGTATATCCACGCGGGAAGGCGCGGCGGCTCAATTTGTCGCTGGTGCGGCACTCGAAGCCCACGTTGGCACATTGCGAGCAGCAAGGTCGAACACCGTCACAGCGTATTTTCTTACTTCGGCATCGGTCACAGGCTTGGGCAATACGGCTCGTTGTGCCAGTGCCACCGACCTTGATCACTTTCATAGGCAAGATACCAGGCATGTTGTGCAGAAGGGGCACACGGGCCGCCGGTGTTAAGTTCGTTGTATTTGGAAGGCGCCAGAAGTGTAAGCACAACACTCCGTATAAGAATCTTGATTCGAAGACAATTCAACTGAAGAAATCTCCAGTTTGAATAAGACAAGTATGCTGTATGTAGAAAGAAGCCTAAAAACATGGGGGGGGGCGACTTCGGGAAGATGGGGTCACGCCAATGCTGAGTCAGTTGAAAGTGGAGACTGCTGACCATCCTCTGGCGCCAATAAACTCGCCGTTGTATCGTTGGTAATTGGTATTGATTGCGTACCGACTCCGTCCACTTTAAGCCTGGAGTCGTTATTGGACCCGATATTTTGACTATTTTGAGGGGCGATACATCCTTCCCCGTGAACCGCTCAAACCCGCCCCGGATTTTTCCTACAGGCCTCGATATTTCTTCTGTTTGATTGTTGGACCCGATCCTCCCGGTCCCCACACTCCACATTCCACAACTCTTTTGACTGGTATGGCAGTGTCTACGGAGTAATCATATGGGAATGTATATTGGCTTCAATGGCAAAATGACGCCCTTTTTCGGGTACATGTGCTCTGGTTGAGTGCTTAGACTTTTTGAGTGCTACACCTGCTACATCCTCAAGCGTAGGCGGATCCAAGCTGGTTGCGGTAACTGGGCCGATTCCGACTTCCTCCCGCCGGCGGTTCTCAAGGGCGTGTCTACCTACTCCGTACTACATACGCAGGTTGGCCAAAAAGGCCTAGTATTACAAAGGTTTTGGTCCGATGATCGGCCACTGTGCATAGTCAAATTCGTCTCAAATTTCCCACTAAGACAAAAAGGTAACACCGCGATCCTTCCAATAATTGAAACACACCGGACGTATAGTACGTACTTTGTACACGAAATACCACCCTGGTCGTTGGGCACGCGGGGTTTTGCTGAAGTCATGACCGAAATAAGGTCCAAATTCAACTCTAATCATCAAAGCCGAGAAATCCCCAGGATCTTGAAGGTTTAAATCCACAGTGAAGTAATACAGACCTCACTACATACAGTGGCGAACCGTTCGCGGAGGATGAACGCGGGGAAACAACTGGAGAGTTTCAAATGTAAATTATATTACTAGCTCCACCTGGGCACCTATCATCTGAATTGATTAGTCGTCATCAGAGCCCACCTGCAACCAAAGAGCGGGAAATAGTTCAACGTTTAATATCGAACCAATACAATATCTCGTATTTATGGTAACTTGAAGGAACCTTGGAAATTCCGTTTTGTTCCGCTCAGCGAGTTTTTCCCGAGAGATGAGCGAACCATGGTTTGCAAGTTAATAGCCCCACTAGGCTCCGGTCTGTTGGATTCGCGATCTACGGCTGTGTGCCTGCGCTCCACTGTGTCCATACCGCATCCCTCAATATTGGTCGTTTCGAATTGTAGACAAAAGTATGATCTACCTCTGGCATACCGATTCACGTCACTGGTGCGCTCTGATTCGTTGCGAAAATGCCATCCACCGCGTCCTTGGCCAATCTGGTGGATATCGGAATCGGCGTTCCTGCAACTGCCTTCCCCCGCATGCACATCCCAACCCCAATATGTAGATCATGTTCCAAGGTTGTTCTCAACCCCTTTTACAACTCCATCCCTGGTTATAGATAAGTGCTCTGCAAGGTTTAAACCTCTTTCCGTCTTTTTCTGCCGTATACGTGTAGGTATAAAGCTGAGAAGGGGACACAATATCTAAAAATGACATCTAAAATGACTATGAGAGAAGACTTAAGGGACTACCAAAAAGACATGTAAAGGGCATAAGCCGCCAACTATTCTATAATTTTGGACCCGGATCGTCATAGGTGTGATCCTCCGGTCTTTTCGTCATGATTGAACGCTAGTAGCGCCTACACATGGAATAGCTAGATGCGCTATGGGGGTGTGGGGCTCGCAACTTTCTTTTTTTGAGATGATCTGGCAGGAACTGGGCTTGCTGCCGCCTGTTAACCTAACAAAAATTTGGGCATTAAGTGGATATTAAGGAATGCTCCGGGTGCTTCAATACAAGATAGCATTGTGATCCTAGCCTGTCTTCATCAGACCCATCAACAAGATCCGGGCCCTTGATTTTGCATCATGAAAAATCTTCGGCTTCGTCCAACTCGGCTGTCTGTGCACTGAAATACTCTGCCACCGTTTTAGAAGCCAGTAGCTCCGTTCTCTGTTTCATGGTCAGTTGCGGGAAATGAGAAAGGAGATGACCCCTTGACACACGCGGCACGTTGGATCACTTACCTGTTTTATTAATTCCTCAACAGCTTTCTCCAGCAGCTCCCCTTCCAAGGCGCGGTATTGGGCAATAGAGGTGAAGATCCCAGGTCGGAACATAGAATCTAAAGCCGCTTTGTCCTCTTGCATACTCGAGATAATCTCCCCAGTCTCCTGGAGAAGAGCGAGCTGAGTCTCGAGCCGCTCTAGAAGCAGCACCGCAGCGCGTAGCTGGAAAATGTCCCACAAGGGATCAACAGCGAGAAGCTCGCGGAGATGACTGGCTGATTGGATCTTTTCGCCTTTCCAGGTCGTTTCCAGCTCCCGACCGCCGTCGGTTGTCTGTGCGATCCCGAAGTGAAGCCCGTCTTCTTCGTTCACACATGCTATCCACACAAGCCCACTCTCCCATGTTACTTCTTCGGAGCCCTCAACAGACGAAATTCGAATCCCAGAATTGTTTTGGCAGAACATCCTCTTTGCGAGGCCGAGAGGGTCATCCTCGGGAATATCTAGATTGAGGAATATTTCCCGTGCGTCCGTAGTGCCGCTTTCCAGAAATCCGTAAGAAAATATCATCTCAGATGCGGGCTTTTCGTCTCCATACCTGTCGTGCAATGTGTCAGCGAAGTCCTCAGTAACCATGTCCACCGTAGAGGAATCTCACGAAATCGTAACCTCTTCTCCGGGCTGGAGAGCCTTTCCCCATCGTAGCTGAAGAACCGCGTTTCGCTCCGGGTCCGCATCGTACAGCGCCTTGACTCCATCACCGGAGCCATGATTGGCCATGTCAATACAAGGCACCATTGACAGGCCACTGCCGGGTAGGTCCAGCATACGTGACCGATAAGCAGCGTCAACATATTTCCAGTCATCAATTGTCAGCGCGCCGGTCTTCTCATCCCACCAGCTCCGTTGACACCACGCAATACCCTCCGTAGCCTGGCGGAGATGTTCAAACTCCCGCTCAAGGGATGCAAATTTCGCGTCCAAAGCTTCCGTAAGCGACGTGCCTCGAAGGAGCTCTTGTTCCTCGGCGGTGTAGAAGGTGGGCAGAGGGAACGATGGAGGCAGGAACTTCACGTATTCGGTCCAGGGATTAGAGATACCGATGGTCTCGTTTGCTGAGCGCAGATCGGGGCTGCTATGGGATAGTTGAATGAGCAAGAATATGAGGATTGCTCCTCTAGCTGTCTGTGTATCTTAGTTGGCTTCCCTCATTGTAATGTAGCTAGATTGGGGAGGAGCAGCTCATACCCTTCCAAAGTCGCCGATGTTCTCCAGCACGTCGCGCAAATACCTGTCAGTTTTGGCATGGTTCTGGACTGTTTCCAGGGATAAAACCAATTCCGAGGGAACCTGTAGAAGGACCTTGGGTTTTGCATCGTTTTCGCTGCTCATCTGCGCTTCTGTTGCGATGAGGGCACTGCCTTTGTCTCCGCCATGTTGATCAGATCCAAGCTTATGAACTGCGATGCCTTGAACGACGACCCCGTTGAGCCGCTGCCAAGCTGGCAGGGATTCGATCGGGATGTACTCGCGCCTCATTGTGATTGAATTGGAGTTTGGCGTTCAAAATGCTGCCGATGACGATCGTTCCCTTATCGATAAGCCCGGCCCCCATAATCGGCTCTTACCCTTTTTGGACAAGATCGCATTACAGCATGCGGACGTCATAGCGCCGAGTAGAAATGATCATGAAATCCAACTCTCTAGCTGTTCAAGTATTTACAATTACTCGCAATTCGCTATGCGCCATCACTGTATCTCTTCTGCCACGCCAATACTGCACAGCATGTCTGTTTCACGACAATCTTGGCGGGTCGTCCTACCGTTACAGTCCGCCATACAACCGCCAGTTCTCCGTGCACCACTTGGGGTCCGAAAATTACTCCATCTTTGAGGATTGGAAAGGAAGCTCAGCAGAGGAGCACGTACGCAAGCGCTCTAAGAAAGGCGATACAGAGGACGTACATTCAGAGGCCGCTGCCTCTGGCTTGAGGGAAAGGAGGACAAATCAGGGTCTTGCAGATGAAACCAAGTCACAAGGAATGACGGAGAGGGGCGGGACCAAGTATGGGAAGAAGGCTAAAGAGGAACATCCCAAAGCGCCAGAGCCGGTAATTGGCATGAATGACGAGCGTGCAAAGGTCAGTTCATAATGAATGATGGGAGAGTTCATCTTGCTGACTGCGTCTCTATCTTGCAGAAGGGGGGGTTGAGCCAGATATCTTATGGTGCGTTCTTCGAGCTCGATATTTAAGTGTCGATGCCCCAAAACTTTGTAATAATAGTGAATCAGAGCAGAGATCGAGGTCATAAGACATTTCCATTACTGATGTCATATCATGGGAGATGCTGTACATAAAGGGACTGGTCTACCGACCAACCTTGAACGATAGGATCTGCAATGGTAATCAGTCAATCAACCGTATTCTGTAGTTTCGGTGTGGCACTCACATCGTGTTTCCCAACTGCAACAATGTCATCTTCGGAGACTCGAGTTCCACCCACTCCTTCGACATAATTGATTGGTACGTCACCCATCACCTTTCGGGCGACATCGCCGACAGTACTGTTTCTGTGAAGTGTTAGACAGGCTATGCCAGCTCGGAATAGGGAGTACTGACTTATTGACCAAAACGCAGTCGCGGAATACAGCGGTTCCAGTGCCAGAGTTGAATGTCGCCACGTTCCGGACGGGGAACACTGGTACAAGGCCCAGAAGCTCTGCCGCTCGGGAAAGGCATTGGACGACTCCAGTAGATCCAAATCGATACAGCACCATGTCCTTCATGTTCTCAACCCGACTGGAGCGAAGTCGTTAGCGAGGTTACAACTTTCCAATGAGCACTGAACATACGTTTTCAATTTTTCGTCCATCTCTTTCAGGCCTCCTCCATCCGGGTCGCCCATCTCGATCAAATCTTCTCGCGTATCGATAAACTCACTGCCTTCGACGTATTTGATGTAGTCCTGCTTTGCCAGCTTTCGGAGGAAAACCTCAGATATAGCGGAGCAAAGCACAATGCTTTTCGGATCTTGCATTTTCGCAATCTTGCTGATGTTCTGCAATTATTGTCAGAATAATACATGGGCCATCAGGCAGATCATCGTACCTTGTCTGCATCTGGGTGGTCGATCTTGTTCAACGCGAACACGTGGGGAATTTCTCGTCGATAAAAGCGTTAACAACAAGCTCTACCGTCTCATTTGACCAATCTTCCAGCGGCTCTTTTAAGGCAAGTTTATCCATAAATCGCGCAACAGTGGCATGGGTGCTTCCGTAACCAGCAAACTGTTTCTGCAATGTGTCGATGGGGTTTGCCTCTGTAGTAAGAGTCAGTCCAGTGTCATTATAAATGGCGTTGCAAGAGTTCACTGACTCAATGCTTGATGTCTCCTCTTTATAGAACCCCTAAGGATATATCAGCACTTGTCCCTCGTTCCATTCTTGGCACTCGCAAACGTACCACCTCTCCATCAGGTTTCCTAGCACCCATCGCACGATCTCCGATCGCAACCACTCAATGTCCACTGATGGATCATATCCTCGAGTAGCCTTTCCTGTAGATATTTGTTAACACACGATCCGTGCGATTCAATGCGGCACACCCAACTTACCTTCAGCATCCGTAGTCCCACTCACATCCACGACATGAATCAGAGCATCGGCGTGACGCAGGTCGTCCAAGAACTTGTTACCTAGTCCACGACCCTGATGCGCGCCTGGCACAAGACCTGCGACATCTAACAACTCAATCGGCACGGAACGTCGCCCTTCGTAGCAGCCTCCGTAATTGGGCTGGCACCGATCTGAAACATTGTGTCGCTGGCATGGGCATTCGATCTGGAGGTATCCGATCGCTCGCTGAGGGTCAATGGTTGTGAAGCTGTCGGGTGTCAACACGGCCTGCGCGATCAACTGCGATAAGGTGGAGATGCTCGTGTAGAGCAATCGAGGCACACATACGGGAAGTTTCCTATTCAAAGAATAATCCATTAGGCCTCTGAGAGTGAACATAACTATCTTCTGGTTCACTTACCGACTTTGGAAGTCGCATCCGTCAAGCTGTTCAATGTTGTGGATTTTCCACTAGACGGCTGTATGCCCCTCGCACCTCCGATTAGTGGGGTGATGGGACAATGTAGGGGAACGGCATACCTTGCCCACCAGTCCGATCAGCGGATCTCGAGGCATATTGCAGGATATATGTGTCGAAGAGCAAAATCTCCTCAGAATAGCAGAATGACCAGATTTACCAAGTCTCCACAGGCCTCGGACCTGACGGTCTTTCGATAAGAAACATTTTCTGCCACGCCAAAAGGGAAGGCGGTCTTGTTGATGGCCGGCGTGCTTTTATGCCACTTTAGGACGCCGACCACTCTCCAACTTGTTGAAGCCCTTAGTTAATGTACAAGGCGTCTATTCTCGCTCTGAACATCGCTCTAAAATGAATGGAAGATTGCAACTGGGGTTTCAGTCTGTTGGCTATAATTCACGCTGAAACACTACCAAGGTTCCCCCCGCGGTACTGATCCTTAAATTCCAGGTCTTTGCAAGGCTTCGTGAGGATGCGCCTCGGCTGTGCCGCACCCGAGATAGCTGATTGACTAGACCAGGATTGAGTTCAGGATGATTCCCTCCACAATTCCAAGGCTACTTCGTCGGATATTCCCGATCACGGTTGAAATGTACTGACCAAGAGATCCGTGAACGAATCGATGGACCGAGATATGTTATATACGATTGGTCTATGAAACCTCGACCGTCCAGCTTGGACACCCATTAACTCCTCGACAGACCTCGAGGTAAGGAGATATGCATGGCTTCTTGTCATGGAAGCAAATGAACAGCCTTGCCACCTCAAGCGGTCCCTAGACTATGACGCCAATCCCCAAGTTTTGTCCAGTTGGTTATTCTATGTTGGCCCGAAGGCCTGGAATCTCCAATAGAGGCCAAATTCACAAGATGGAGCAGGCTCTGGTGGGGAGAATATCCATGGCCCCGGATACCATGTCGTCATTGTAGCAAACGTCACAGCGTCTTGCCATCGACAAAGAACATGGTAGATATATAAACACTCAGTTGCCTTGCCTGAGATGATATGCTTCAGATTCAGAATCATTTTCAGCCACTTCTGACACTTCCTCTTCATCTACACCCCCACACCCACAACCAGACGCAAAATGTCCGACGCTACCTTCCACACCACCATGCAGGACCTCCGCAGGGCGGAGTCCAAGCTTTCCCTGTGTCACAGTGGCAAAACCCCAGCAGACTCACACGTCTCTAGAATGAAGGTGAGTATCTGCAACGCAACATCAAGCAGAAAACAGATCATTAACATGTGCTCTATAGTCTATCATCGACAAAAACACAGACATAGGCGCACAAATTGAGAAGGTCAAGGCTAACCTGCCTCTGCCTGACCAACCCCCAGTTGCCAGTGACTGGAACTCCCTTGACCAGCGTATTACAGGCGTTGGCTCTGGACGTTTAGAGTTCCCCCCTGATAACACTGGCCTGCGTGGGAGTTTGGCTCCCGGCAAGAGTGCGGATGAACTTGAACTTGAACTTTAGGGTGCCGAGGGACTGGATCACCTCTGATGCTACGACCGTTGCCTGAGTATATGAATATGGTCATGTGTGCGATAGTCAGTTTTGCCAAGCCGTTATGAGTGACTGAATGAATCTGAAAATTTCCATGCTTATTGATTGGTGTACTATCTCAACATGCAATTGTAGAGCGTTGCAAGGATGGATGAATCAATGCAGATCCCTAGGTAATTCTAACACAGTACAGTCATAATGAGGTGACTTCCCTGCTAATGTAAACCTCCGGAAAAAGCCTTCAATGAAGATTTCATGCCATTTCTATACACCACACTATCCTCAAAGTTGATATCAGCCGGGCGTTTGTCTGAAGGCAAAGCTGTTCGAGCTTAATGACAGCGAAATCATATATGAGTATATCGAAGGATTACCTCCTTGCGGAGCATTACCAGACCAGAAACGAAGTAGGCCTGACAAAAGAAAAAAAAGGGGGGGGAAAAACAAGTTATTTCCTGACATGGTAGAATCCCTTTCGATTCCAGAAGCTGATGGACTTCTCCAATAGCGCTACGTCGAATGGGGTAAATTCAATATCAGGACGGCCCTTCAACGCCTCGATCGTGTTATCACAGCGGTACACCGGCGAGTACTGACTTGCCTCCCAGCGCGTCAGCCGACCTAGCACCTTCTCCTGGAACATTGGCATCAAAGGCGCCAAAGGACTGTCTCCCGGCATCTCTGATAATCGTTCCATCCACTCCTCGTAAGATACGAGTTTGACATCGTATCCCGCCTCATTGAGCACAGCACAGGTTCCTTCTACATCGACTGATTGCCGCACATCTGGAGCAAGCAAGCTATAGGACTTGCCAAGATTCTTGTTATCGGATGCAATGTGCATAAGAGAGTCGATAACATAGTCAACGGTGACGTATTCCAGCCGCTGATCAATTCTCGGGAATGCCCCGAGCTGGATACATCCTACAAGAAGCCGGGAGAAGAAATCATCAGGATTATTGGTCCCCGTCTTGCTATCACCAACAATAAATCCCGGTCTGTATATGGAAATAGGCAAACCCCGGTCTCTCATTCGGCGTACCATGGCTTCGGCTGTCCATTGACTCTGCGAGTACCCCAAATCATATCGAAGACAATGAATGTGACGCTGCAGCGGCTCGTCCTCGTACAGTTCTTTTGTACCAAGAATACCACCAGTTGGGCCCCACGCGTCGATGCTGGACATGTAGTGGAATGCTTTGCGACGACCAGCGGAAGCTAACCGGAGAGCGTTACATGTCCCTTTCACATTGCTGATATAATGCTCGCGGTACGACTTTACGACTCGCAGAAGTTAACTTTTGCACCCAAGTGAAAGATCACTGAGGCCCAGTTCGCCAGCCAGGTGAACTCTTCAGTCCCCAAGCCAAGTCCGCGGTCCGCCAGATCGCCCTCCAGCACCAAGAGCTTCTGAGTCTGGTCAAATGCGCTAGGCCATAGGCCGTACCGTTCCAGGGTCTGTTGAATTCGAGTAGCTGCATTGAGACCTTTCTTGTGACGTGCTAGACACGCAATTCGTTTCACAGAAGGTCTCTGCATGAGATGGTGTAGAAGGTGAGCCCCCACAAAGCCAGTTGCGCCAGTGATAAAAACACGTCCTTCTGTGTCAGCCTCCCATTGAGGGACGAGCTCGATATCATCCACGAGGTCGACATCTTTCCTCCAGGTCGTTGCATCATCTGGTGCATTGTCATAGGCGCAATCCGTGGTGTCAATAAGACGCAGTAGTCTATCGAGCCTGGAATTCTTGTGCAAGTCTTCCATTGACACCAGAGTCCCAAGGCGCTTCTGAATGATAGAAATGAGCGCTGCAGCTTGTAGTGAACTGCCCCCAATAACAAAGAAGTCATCGTCATCATGAACCTTGGACACGTTGAGCAAGTCTCTCCAGATACCCTGAAGCATTGCCCTTTTGTCCCCAGATGTATGACTATGGACCCTATGGACTGATGACTTCCCTTGAAGAGTCTCAAGCCTTAGTTGAATAAGCGTATTTCGGTCCACCTTTCCGTTGGGCGTCAATGGAAACTCAGCGATACGTTCAACATCATTGGGGACCATATATGCTGGGAGGAGTTCCCTAGCATATTCAAGTAAATGTTGTGGTTGAAACGACTCGCTGCCTACCACAAAGGCCACAAGTGCATGCGTTCCGTTCTCAGATAGCGGCGGTTGGCGGACTATCACAACGGACTGAACGTCTCTATGTGAAAGCAAAGCACGTTCAATCTCGCCCAACTCCACTCGGAACCCACCATGTTTCACCTGATTGTCAGTGCGTCCAATGAAATCCAGAAGGTCGGTGCCGTCGCGCCATTCAGCCATGTCACCTGTTCGATACAGACGGACAGTTCCCTCCCCCTGTAAGCCCAACCTTCTCCTCTCTAGATGAACAAAGCTTTGGCTTGTCTTATTAGGCCAGTTCAAGTATCCGAGGGACTGCTGTGGTCCTCCAATATAGACCTCGCCTCGTGTTCCGCTATCACGGATGAGGTCTTGGTGCTCGTCCAATAGCACGAGTACCGTTTCACCCACTGCTCTACCGATACTGATTCTTTCTCGAGATGCCTCTTCCATCGAGACTTCAATCATGGTGGCTAATGTCGTACACTCAGTCGGGCCATATGTGTTCCAAAGGTGTTGTGGTGGTCCATTATCCAGGACAGTCCTCATAGCACGCACATTGGCCACATCTCCTCCATTGAAGACATGCCGCAATGAAGAAAACGCGGACGGGTCCGCGAAGGCAATAATTTGAAAGAATGCAGCGGTCAAGAATGTCACGGTCACGTTGTGAGACTTCAAGACACTCCCAAAGGCACCGGGATCAGTGGCTGTCTTTCGAGGCATCACCACAATCGTGGCCCCGGAGATGAGTGTGACCCACATTTCGAATAGACTTACATCAAATCCTGGATTGTTGAACGCAGTGACTCTATCAACTCTTTGCAAGGGTGTTGCGGGAGTCTTGGTCGCCATGTGCAAGATGCTCTCCGCACGGATTTGGACTGGCTTGGGCTTCCCAGTTGACCCTGAGGTGAAAAGAACATGGCTTATCTCTGACTGGTTTTCAAAGTCTTCTGATACTAAATCGAGGGCGATCCGTCCTGAGATTGGCTGCACATGTATGACCTCAAGATCATGCAGATACGCAGTGTCTTCTTCGTCAACGAATACGCGTCTAACACCAATATCACCTAGAAGCGCGATGATGCGACTCTTTGGAAGTGTTGGCTCGATAGGTACACAAGTACCACCGGAGAGACGCACAGCTAACTGTGCAACAATTTGATGGATTCCAGGGCCAAGCAAAATGCCAATCAGTTCACCGGAGACTACATCTCCAAGCGTGCGGGCTAGGTGAGAAGCTTCCGCAAGTAACTCAGGATAGCTCAGAGACAGGTTTCCGTCCTCCACGGCTATTGAGCTCGGAGCTTTCTTCGAGTGTTCGTAGATAATCTTCTCCATTGCTATCGGCGATCAGGTGATAATTGTTTGATAATTTTGAGATAGTACTGGGTATCGGTGTTGAAGTTGGCCATCCTTTAGAATATCAATGGCTTTATAGATGATAGAAAACAATTTTAATTTGCTTCTGCCCTTACAATTAGCATTTGTCGCCACACTCAGCCGCTGGCCTTACACCAACACTTAGCATGGAGCAAGCTGCCTAGGTTGGAACCTGTTTTGACAAAGAATACGTGTCGATAGTGTTTCCATTGCCATTAATGACACTGGTGACTGCCGTAAGAGTTTCTATGCATGCAGAAAGACACCAAAACATCAATCAAGATGTAACGACTTACGTTGCATGTTGCTATGAAGGCCCAGCAGGATTTGAAGTTCACATATCGTGCATATGTGTAGCCATGTTCAACCCCCAATGCAGTAATTTGATGACTTAACCCTATCACATGACTCATTATACACGCATAGAAATAGAAAAAAAAAGTTTCTTCACACGAAATGAGTGAATGGTAAAGCCAATCGGCCATGCTATTGGCGTTACATATCTCCCTTTTAGTGCAGGTACTGCTCCTCACACGTGGATTTGACACTAAGAATGGATCCCCTGCTTGACAATGACATGAAGAAACCCAGATTAGGCAATCAAGCCACCCGTTTCCTTCGAGCTGCATTAAGAGACTCCTTTTAGGTTCTTTGTGGTAGGGTGGCGGTTTGTTCTGGTTGGCCATTTCAGAGTAATGGGAATAGGAATTATACATACAGGCCATATATACTTCGACCTCGCTCACCGGCTTGACAGTTAAACTATCAGGATATTTGGAATGTTCTATCTCGAGAAATGATCTTTCCCGCGTGGTACTTGGGTCAAGACCTGTTGAAGGATCTTGCTATATAAGTAGGAGGATTACGCCAAAAATTCTTGCATTACAGTTGAACAACCTGAGTCTAGAAGAAGATTCCATCAATTTATGCTACAAGAGTCTACAAACGCTAAATCATGGATGGCAAGAAAATCCTCGCCCAGAAGCTTCAGTCCGCATTGGATGAGCGTGATCGCGATAACAGATTGATCAGCCCTCCCGACCCATCTACCATTGCCCAAATGGTAGACTTCGGGTCAAATGATACCCTCTCACTGGCAACGTCGGGGGCATTGACTAGATCTTTTGAGGATCAACTCCGGAAAAATCCAGATTACATTGTCGGAAGTACCTCGACACGCATATTCGAAGGCACCACACAATATCTGAAAGAGCTTGAAGTTTATATGGCTCAGTTCCACAATGCAGAGTCAGCTTTGTTCTTCAACTCTGGATATGATGCAAACGTCGCACTTTGGTCAACAATCCCACAGAATGGTGACTTCGTCTTGTACGATCAGTATGTGCATGCAAGCATACATGATGGAATGAGACGTGGACGAGCCCAGACCATCATGTTTGCGCATAACGACTGTGCTTCCTTCCGTTATTGTCTGGAAAGCCTTCGTGACCAAAATCCTCGCATTGCAGATGGCAGCAATGTTGTTTTCGTTGCCTTAGAGTCCTTTTATAGCATGGACGGGGACGAAGCCCCGATCCATGAACTCCTTTGATGTTGCCAAGACCACCCTTGCCAGGGGAAATTTTATTTTCTCGGTCGATGAGGCACATTCAAACGGTCTTCTTGGACCGAATGGCTCCGGATTTGTTTCCCATCATGGACTCGAGAAGGAAATAGGCCTTCGTGTGCATACTTTTGGCAAAGCTTTAGGGTCAAATGGAGGTACAGTTACAACTTCCCTGTACCATCACTCTATAACCTAATTTAATCGTCTTTTAGCCGTGGTACTGGCTGAACCGACTATCAAATTCAATCTCATCAACTATGCGCGGAGTGTCATCTTTTCCACAGCTCCTTCCTTCGTTGCGTTAGCTGCTGTCAAAGCCGGTTACGAAATTTTAGCCAGTGAAGATGGAGAAAGGGTACGTGCCCAGGTGCTTTCCTAATCTACCAGAAGAAGGCTAACCCAATCAGCGCCGGCGGACTCTACAAGAAAATATCCGGTACTTTCACAAGACCTTCCTCAGTCATCCTAAATGGGCGGCTATCAAAAAGGCAAAAATCATTCAAATCCCGAATGAGAAGAGCTGGAAATCTGAAATACTCCAATCGCCTATCATTCCCTTAGTAACTCCGCCTAATCAGTCGACTGAGCTGGCCGGACATATGCACCGGGCTAAGTTCTGGGCCAACCCGGTAAGGTATCCCATTGTTCCGAAAGGGATGGATCGAGTGCGAATCTCGATACACGCGGATAATACCACAGAGCAGATTCAAGATGTGATCGAAGTCATTATGGAATGGGCAGCGTACCGAGCTGAACAAGCTAGGAAAGCCAGATTGTAGTGCGATTTCTCACCGCCATTTTAGGTCATACCTTAGGAGGTGAGCGATGAGAGGGTTATCAGTTAAAAGATGTGGTAAGGGGTGGAGACTAAAAGGGAAATGGGAAGCCATCTGTGAAATCCGATGTATATTTACGACAGACATACAAACGGGTGTAGTGTAACTGCCATGACGAACAGATAAAGCATCTTTATTTCTTCCAAGTCTACCTTCAACATAGGAAAATGTTAATGTCGAGTAACCGTCGATACATGAGGTCGGGTGAAAAAAGGGAGTTTGCATTGTTTGCATATCAGGGGTCTAGGCCTGACGTCAATTGCCTCTTCCTGGTAACAACACCATCTTTTGCTCTGGGAGATGGATTTCGGACAAGTTCTGGATAAGCATGTGGCGCACCGATTTCCCTTTTGATGCCTTCTAGAAGCATCAATACATCAGAGAGGAGCTTATGCTCCACACCTTCCGTCCTATCGGCCAAGCAGAGTGTCTCATGCATAATTAGCCGACGCGACTACGACTGGCCAACAAGATTAAGCTTGCGTATATCTTGTAAATGCTCCTAGACAACGTAAGTATGACATCAATGTGGTTTCTATGAGGGCATATACTTTCAATATGCGGTTCTTACTGCTTTCTTATATAGATATGCCACCGCGGCCATATCTATTCTGTCAAACATCTCTTGAGCAACCTTAACCTACGTCTTTAATTTTCCACCACATCATCATGGCAACTCAAGACGTCCCTATTCATGCCGGCAGCAGTGGCACCAAAGTTACCACCGATCCTCGCACACAACAGCGCATCGAAGAACCGTCTGGCCCTATTACCAATGACTCACTTGCCGCCGAGTCCATCCGCGAAGGTGGCGGCTTCTCTGGCAACCGTGGCGCTGAGCCCATGGGCGTCTCAGGAAACCAATCCACAGTAACTAACACCAACATCTCCTCATCCATCAAGCTTCCCTCCGCCCAATACGGTGCTCAGCGCCAGGACCGTCACGAGGAACAGAAGTACCCCGAATGCGTGGTCGGCCAAGGCAACTTCCCTGGCACACACATGGACAACTCTGGGTACTGGGGTGGCTCAACTGCAGCCAAGAGAGAGATGGGCATCAAGGCTGGCGAATATTCTGCCGCCAGCGGCAGTGGAGGTGCCAGTCAGACTACCGACGCGGCCGACATTCAAGCGGGTGGATTGCCCTCCGACGATGCGAGGAATGTTAGCTTCGACTCGGAAATTGGCACCGACCAGGACCCTGGCCGTGATGCTATCAGGCAGTTCCAGCATGGCAATAACCACTCTGCTCATGAGTCTGCCCGACCCCATCAGAAGGGCGTGGATACTTATACTATATATGAGCACCTGCAGAGTGACCAGCGCGCTTAAGTCTCCCTGATTTGAAATTTGCCGTATGTGTTTTTATCTTTCTATTTGGGGAACTGAGTTGAGCGCACTTTGATTTTTGATTTGGCTTGGCCTGATGCTGGGGTTATGATGAACTATCGGTTATGATTGAAATCGCCATGTACTATAGCACAATGAAATATGTATGATCGTTACAATTCTTTTCATCTTGTATTCCGTATCAATCTCTAGCTAGGCTCACTTAGACATTCTCACTCTATTCATTGCGTCGTACACGACCTTTTCCCTTTTAGTGGAATTAGTAGGATTGCATTACCTCTTTAGTCAACACACCTCTGACCTATAATTGCTATGATCCATTGACAGGAAGACAAGTAAGAATTGATTGATCAGCGAATGTACAGGTGGGATATATATAATATAAATCAAAAGATGCGATAATCATCCTCATCAGATTCCGAGCCCGAGTCCGACTCATAGTCACTAGAAACGGACTCTAGGAACCCATACCCACGTTCTCCCACGTCGCGCGGCCGGGTGTCTTCCGAAGGAGCAAGAACTATTGTTAACGGCACCTTCATCGTCTCATCAAAACTCGCATCCTCCTCCTCACTATGCCGACCCTGCACATCCTCCCTACCCAAAGTTTCTGCCCTCCGTCTCCAAAGATAATTCCCCAATTCAAGCAACCCAATGGTGAAAATAGCAACCCAAACCATCACCAGGAGAACAATCACTGTCGTAAATACTCGTGGAAGGGGATACTGCGGGGACGCCACGGCCTCTGATCTCAACGTCGGGAAGGGGAATCGGTATGCAAAGAAAGAGGTCCAGCCCGATGAGGAGGTGTGGGAAAAGAATGCAGGCGCAGGGTATTTATGCTCATTGTTTATAGCGCCGTCTGTGTGCGGGTATTGTAGGATCTCGTTGTAGTGACCTTGTCTCTGGGCATCGAGGGTGTCGAGCGAGCTCTCCTTATCTTCTGAGTAGTCTTCTTGCTTTTCTCCCGTCTGTTGGCTGTAGGGCTTGTGGATTTGGTCGGGGGTTTCTGTGGATGCTGGGATCAGGATTGAGACTGTTGGTTTTCCCCATTCGGAAGTTCCTGTTTTATAGCGATCGTTTGGTGTGCCTTGCTCTGTTTGTTTGTTGTTTTGGTTGGCGGGCCATGCTGGGTTCTATAGGTTGATACGTGTATAGGTAAGCCGCCGAGTTGACAATATAGGATTTGGTACAGGTACTTACCCCGTTGTATTTGACGTGCGGTGGGTCGGGTAATTGATCATGATATCCTTCTTTCTCAAAGACTTTCCATATTCCACGGTCATTGGGATCTTCGAATTGTTCTATCTTAACCCATTTGCTAGTTCGGATAGGGTGGGATGTAGTTGATTGAGTAAGAGCCAAAATAAATGCGAGTAACAAAATGGACGGGCGGTTAATGTGCATTGTCGGAGATATAAAGAGGGAATTGGCTAATACAATGGCCCGGTATATGCAGAAGGAATGAATTGCGCGACAGAGAATGAGGGCATTCAGGTAGGTTCTTATATCATTTTTCCAGGACAAGGGAGAGATTAGCCGTAAGGGCCGTGCCTTTGACACAAGGAAGAAGCTGTGTAGGACAAAAGGTTTCCCCCATTCGCAGATTCGGTGCCCGATACCAAATGTGTTCCTGGATCTTGGCTAGCGCTAGATGATCTGATATTGGCATTGGATTCATCCAGGGCATTGTGCATGCTGATTGGATGGGATTGATATCTGCTGCGCTTGGGGTATGCACTTTATCCCTTGTTCGACATCAAGGTCGAGGGAAATACGGATTGATCATATTGATCGGCGTGTACTCGGAACGCCACGGTAATAGTTTGCCCCACGATGCAAGGCTGATTGCCCAGGGCTTAGCTCTTCACACTATGTGTATAGTGTATAAAATTCATTGCCATGTTAGCCCCACCTGCGATCTACAATTCTTTAGTTCGCTACGCTGTGCCCAGGATGACCGATTACATCCGTAAGAATTTAGGGCTGACTTCCATAGACTGAGCGCACTAGTAAATATTGGTGTTCGAGACCAATTTCACGTGTGACCTGTCGTTCTATCGCACAAGGGATTATACCGTGAGACTTTTCGAGAATATCAACTGCTACAACAACCAGGCACAACGTGGTCTATGCAGGTGTCACACTGCCTGTGGGGCAGTGCAGTGATTGGGATTTCCATGAGATGTCCATTAAAATTAACCGAGACCTTACTTAGAACCGACAGTCTATGAGGGTGGTGGTATCTCATTGGAATTCTTGCCTTTTTCGTACACCATTGAAATAACGCCGAGTTGGAACAAAAGAGCAAATAGAAAGATACCCATAGGCCGGACCCCATAAGACATGCACCGTCTAAACAGACGGTATCAGAAACCTGTACAACCAGAGAACCCACTCACAGTGAACAGCGTGGGAACAGCAAATAACAAAAGGTAAAACAGACCAGTCGAGAACATTTTTAGACAGTCAGCTTCTTAAGCTCCTTCTGGGTCAAGCCAGCAAGCTCCTCGAACACCTTGGTGAACTCCTCATCATCATCCTTCTTGCCCTTAGCAGCCTTGGGGGTAACCATGACAACACTAGTAGGGCGCTTGGTGGCAGCGGAAGCACCGAGCTCAGCGCGGGAAGTGACGAAGACGTAGGGAATGCCATGGTCCTCGCACAGGACGGGAATGTGGGAGATGACGTCCATGGGGGAGATATCGGCAGCGAGAACGACAACACCGCTGGGGACACCGATGGGAGCGTTGGCGGCGGGGATAGGAGACTTGCGGAGAGCCTTGACGACTTCCTTGACACCGCGCTTGAGAGACTTGTTGACAGCAGCTAGAAGAATAAAGGTCAGCATGGACGATCTGGAGATAAGTAAAAAAAAATAGTTGCGCAACCATGCGATCAGTCGACATGAGCGATCCGAAGATCCGATAAAAATCGGCCAAGCGCACTGATAGTAAAAGAGACATGTAAAATTTTGAAAAGACAATCCACGTACCCTTCTTGACACTCTTCAGGACCTTCTTGGCCTGCTTGTCCTCAACCAATGGGTTGGCGAAAGGCACGACGGCGCCGATGGGACGGTCGACAACGGCGTCGACCTCACCCTCGCCCTTGACGGCGACATCGGTCTGCTCAAGGCCCTCCATGGCCTCAGAGCCAATCTCCTTCTCTACTGCATCGACAAGAGCAGTCTTGTCCTTCTTCTCTTTCTTCTCCTTCTTGACCTTGTGCACACCGTCCTTCTCCGCACGCTTCTCCTTCTTCTCAGCGCGGTCCTTCTTCTCGACCTTGTCCTTGCCCATGGTGACGGTTGTGGGGTATTAAACGGAAGAAATTGAGTAAAATCGAACGAAAGACCGAGGTGAAAGGAACGAGTCACGGGTGAGGGTGGTGAACTGAGAATTCGATGCCGAAATCGAAATAATTTTTAAAACGGCGCTAACCCCTTTTTGGATGCAGCTCACAGCTGACATAATCCTAAACAAGGCGGCGCCCGGCTTTAACCATCTTCCCTTTGATACAGCTCCAGGACAAGCTGTGCAGTGTTTTCTTGCCTCATGCCCTGTTAGACAGGAATCTACGTGGGGCTTATCATAGCCTGAATCTCACTGTGAGATTTAATGTGTCTCATTCTATTTTTGCACGACAACTGATCTCTCCTGCCTCTTACTAGATGGACAATAGCCAGAACAACCGACCGGCTTCCCAGCTCATCGCTGGATTCGGTTCGCCCTCAACGCCATCTGGTGCACGGAGTACCATGCGCCGATCGACTGCGGCGCGACAATCTGGCCGTTTTACACAATCTCAAGTTCAGTCCCATCAACCAGTTCATGGTAAGACAATCCCTTGCTCAAACTGACCCAAGAGGCCCGCGACGGAAAAGCTGACTGGTTCTTCCAGATGTGGAAAAAGAGGAGTTACGCGTGCAATTGAGTACTCTCAAATACGAGCTCGCCAACATCAAGCAGGAACGAGAGTTGGAGGCTCTTCGTCATGAAAAAGAGACCCGCGACTTACAATTGAAAGCGGATGCGGATTTCCGAAAGGCTCAGGTGAGTCGCTCCTAGTTTCTCGCTTTCACACGGCCAAACTAACAATCTTCGCTACAGACTGCGGAATCTTCGAGTAACCGGGCCACCCATAAGAGCGACGAACTCGCGAAAGAATTGAAAGAAATCCAAGATCAGGTTTTGAATGACAAGCTTGGGTTTGAGCGCAAGATCAGAAGCCTCCAGGATGAGAATCAGAACTTGCAGGAAGAGTTTGACGACACTCAAGCTCGGCTTTCCGACCAGGAACGACAATTTAAATACCAAATCAACGAGCTAGAGACAGTCCGCGCTTCTCTACAAAAGACCATTGAGGAATTCCAGAACGACATCCAAAATGCCAGGACTTCCCAGGAATCGACGCAGGAGAAATTATCCCAGTGTGAAGCCGAATTCGCTGAACTCGAAGCGGAGAATATCCGACTCAAGGCCGAAGGAAACGATGCTGAGGCTTTGGCTGTATTAAAGAGAGAACTTTCCGAGCAAGTCAATCATATTCGGGAATTGGAGTCAGCAAACCGCGATCAAACAACGGAGCTGCGTCACCTTCGAAAAGTCTCGAAAAACGTTGAAGTCGTTGAAGAACAGAAGCGATCAGTGGAGAATCAGCTCCAATTGATGAAGGGCTTTGAAGCTGAACTGAACACAGTTCAGATTCAAAAACAGATCTTAGAAGATGAGCGACAGTCTTGGGTCAGTCTTCTGCAGGAAAACGACCAGCCTGCAGAGTTTGACTCACCGGATGCTGTTGTCAGGGCGGTGGTCCAAGGACGAATTGAGATTGCCACTCTCCTTGATCGTCTCGGGACCGTTGAAGCCCAATTACTTGAGAAAGATGAGGCTATCAAGAGCCTTGAAAGTGATAATAATAATCTGAAACAGGAGTTGGAGAAACTCCGTGTTGCGGCTTCCGCTTCTGCAGGAGGGCCTGGTGCCGCGGAGGGCCGACTTCGAGCTCGTCTGGAGCGCCAGCGTGCGCTTGCAGTGAAAGAAGTCGAATACCTGCGCGCTCAACTCGAGACATTTGATGCGGAAGAGGCCACAATGAACGAGGAGCAGTCACAGTTTGATGGACAAAAGTCCCAACAGATAGCCCAGCTGCAACAACTCGTCGATGAATACCGCAGTGAACTTCAGAAAGTTCATGAAGAGCTCTCCAAGCAGGAAGCACCAAAGGCAGACGAAGCAAGAGGTGTCAAGCGACCTCTTTCTCCGACCGATAGCGAGGGCGAAAGTGAGCGTATCGCCGTGCTCACCCGCAAGAACCGCAAGCTCCAGGAACATCTCACAAAATCAGACCAGGCCACAACTCTCGCCCGCCGGGAACTGGATGCGGCCAAATCACAGATTAAGTCTTTGAAGGCTAAGTCACGAACCCGCGTTCTTGAATTGCGCGATAATCCGACAGCCCAAACCGAGCAAATCAAGATGACCACTCTGGCAACTCTCCAGTCTGCGAACAGAGACCTCATGGCGCAGCTGCGCGGGGGCCATACTGATGTCAAAGTCGTCCCGGTCAGCGCCTTGGAGAGCATCAAGCTCGAAATGCAAGACATGGAGCGCACCGTTGCCGACAAAGAGAAGCGTATGCGGCGACTGAAGGAAATCTGGACAGCTAAGTCCTCCGAGTTCCGGGAAGCCGTTGCCTCTCTCCTCGGCTTCAAGCTTGATTTCTTGCCGAATGGTAGAGTGCGTGTAACTTCCATGTTCCACCTCTCTTCCGCATACCGGCATGGTGACTCTGATGCGCCTTCTGACTCTGGTCCTGGCAGCATGGGCAATGGTGAAGAAAACTCCATTGTGTTCGATGGTGAAAACGGCACCATGAAGATATCGGGCGGACCCAACAGTCTGTTCGCCATGGAAATTAAACCTCTCATCAAATTCTGGGTTGAGGAAAGAAAGGATATTCCATGTTTCCTAGCAGCCATGACCTTGGACTTCTATGACAAGACCACCCGCGCTGCTAGGATGTGATATGTATCAGCATCGTATTTTCTTATCGTTCCCATATCTGTATTTCTGTGATTCCCCGGCACATGTTGATTTGTGCTATGTTGTATGTTCTTGCCATTGAGAATCTGCTATTTGTTTATGCAGTTGTTAAAGTAACACTGCATATATCTCTTTTTATTATATCCATGAGGGCATCGAGTGCAATTTGCCATAGTACCTGTATCCCCAAATACGGTATTTAGCACCCCCTAGGGGAAAGGGTCCAAATTATTTTACGTAGAGAGGAACACCGTTCCTCGCCTTTTGCCACTATTCGATCGAGTAAAACTCAGCACCCATGGATGCCCCTGAGCAACGGAGGCAAGCCTATACATCCCCTGCCCAACCGGGGAACACACAGCCGAAAATGGATCGCAGATCTTCTACTTGGTTGTTCGAGACTTGGATATCTTGGGATGGGGGATAATAGAGCACATCAGACCTAAACGGAGATGGTGTGTCAAAGCTTGTGTAAGGAATTTGTCCGGAGTGTTGCTGCGAGATTATCGAAGAAGCTATGACGGAGTTAGCGGTATTCAGATATCAAGGCGAGTTCCCCTACATCTATATCTTTGAAATCAATATCTGACCCGTAATCCCATATTGGTTGGATCCCTGCTCCATCTCCGGCTTCGAGATGGAAGGCGTGGGTACCCTTTCCCTCAGCTTGAGAATATATTGTCGTGCGATGCGTGCAAAGCTTGAAATGACGCTTCTTGGGAGCGCGCCCTTAGAGGCGTAATCAAGTTGACTGAAATATGCCGCAGCCTATCAAGGAAGGCAATATTACTTTCTGTCTCTCCGTGAGTGGGATATAAATCACAAATTCGAAAAGGACGAAGACTTCCGATAATGGAATGATACCAGCGACGCTAAATTAAAGTATTAGTCTGATGACTTTCGCCTATATCCCGATGAAGATGAAGAAGGTGGACTTATAACACAGGCATGAGGCTCGATTTCAATGAATGAAACAAGCTCAATGACAGTGCGCGCTGCGCTCACCAATTCCCACTTGCTATCCTCGCGATCCAACTTCTCATCGGGGTCGATGTGAAAGACATAGGCGCTCCACAGCAAAAATCAGGTTGCAGTACAAGTAATGCGTCTGTAAAGCGACCGTCTTCGTCCTCGGACATGCAATTCCACTTAGTCGAATTGGCTCTTTCGGAAGAAATGCCACCGGTACCGATAAGCGCCATTCTTCTAACCCACGCCTTACGTGTTTGATAGAGCAGAAGCAATCCTCTGCAGATTGCAAAGAAGACGTCGTCGAAAACAGAGTGGTGTATGCGATTGATGTTAGTCAGCTCAGATGGATGGCGGACAGAAACCAGTTGTAGTCTCCAAACATGGATCCTGGGACGGAAGGGATGTCGCAGCCAATATCTTCATCAGCGAACACCTGGCTGATGATTAGTAAAATATTCCCCATGCCCCAGGGAGAGCTTTGAACACACTGAACTATTGTTATCAGAGAAGGAGGCAATCTTTCCCAAGTGATATATGGTCCAGAACACTTTCAAGTGAGCTGGTTTAGCATTGGAAGATTTGTGATACCGTAGACTTTGCGTCATTCTAGCTGCTTCGTATACCAACGCTTGATCTAGTTGAAGGCATTCAGGCCGAGGAATCGAGGGCGGACAGGAGTGGAACAAAAGGCTAAGCGGCCCGCCCCCGAGGTGGGTCTGTGGAATTTTCCGAGTGCCGAGTCTGACCATATAGGGGCGGTATTTGGACCTATAAAAGGCTGAAGAAGGTAGTAGTACTTACTTAGGTACATATGTAGGCAGGTAGATACCTTGTCTACAAGCCCTCTAGGTAATGAAATGCTATTACTTGGATTTTCGACATCCCTACGGCTGGAAACACGGTTTTTACATTTTTCAAAATCACGGCAGGATACCTAGGTAATGATATACATTGTGGTCTTTTTTTTTTAGTAATCTCTCCAGTTAGTCTCTTTAGATATCTGGTTACATGGTCATTTTCTCCCCCTTTCTAGTTTGTTAGGTATGTGCCATTTGAACGCCTATTAAGCATATTTAATGCCTAGTCACTCTCATTAATTACCCTGTGCTTTGAAATGGTACATAGAGCTACCTGGGTACATACATATGTACGCGAAGCAAATGCTTACCTACACAAAACAACATCCAAAACAAACAGACAACGCAAAAATTCATAACAGAACCGCTATTTGCAAAAGGGAATACTCGGAAAACAAGAGACGAAGGGGATGGCAGAAAGAAAACGAAGGGGGAAAAAAGTAATGGGATCAACCTAAGCTTCTGATGCTCCGATTTGGGCCCTATCTGTAGGGATGCTATGCTGAGACACATAATCCAAACAGTGGAAAAATAACAGAAGAACAATTGCATGGGTTGGAATATATACGACCAGACATGGGTAGCTCCATCCCGCCTTGCTCAACATTGAAGACATATCTAGGAAGAGACATACTTCCCACCGATCAGCTTGCGTGTAGTGGGGACACCCAGCCATGAAGCCGCGGACAGCGGGGATTCGCGACCCTCGTCCGCGAAGGGGTCAGCTTCCTTGTTCTCTACATCTGAGGCAGCACGGCTGATGCCCAGCTGAGAAGCGGATTCGGCGCCGCGAAGCTCAAACTTCGCTTCGACTGTACCCTTGCGAGGTCCGGGGGTGGACGTCACAAAGCGGACGAGGAGCTTGCTGTCTGCGCCTGGGGTGGTGGGGGCCTTGACTTCCAGCTCGGGGATTCTCCATGTGACGGTGGAGGTTTTGCGACGGAAGGTGGCGCCGGTATTGGGATACATGGCGGCGCTGATGGCGTGGGCGACTGACTCGCGGGGCTGCTTGGTAATCTTGTCATGGGTGGCGGTGTCCAAATTGATGGTCAATACGAGGTTCTTGAGGGTAATTGACTCCGCTGTGTGGGAGACGAATGATGGGTTGAGGGTATAGTAGATGATGGCGCTAGCCTGTGTTTCTTCCAAGTTCCAAACTGGCTTGAATATCACGGGGCAGTAGGCAGAGGGGTTGGTTGGGTCGATATGCAGTTGATACTTGAATGCCACAGTCGGCATGGGGCGGGAGATGCTGCCCAACTGGATATCGTATTCGCCTCTCTTGTCATCGCCAGCGTCTTTGGCAATCTCCTGGACGAAGTGGGGATTGGCCGCTACCTTTTCCAGCACTTGGAAGTTATCGAGTCGGATGCGTGTCTGATCCGCCGCAGTACCAGTTGTGGGATTGTTTGCTAGAGCGAGCTCGCCAACGACGAAGGACTTAGTGACATTGCCCTCCGAGAACCATGCATTGACGGTCTCAATGATTGAAGCATTCAAGCCCGATTCATATAGATCAGGATGGATTGCAGCTCCCGCAGCATGCGTAGCATGTCCAGAGCGAACAGAAGTAGTATCTGATACAGTGTGATCATCCGTAGCAGTGCTGGGGGGCAATGCTGGGGGAGGTCATATGCCTGATTGGCGACGTTGGGGGCTGGGACTCCGATCCTGCCGAAGATGGGGGAAGCTCATTGCCGGGGGAAGGAATAAACACTGTATTGCGGACATCACGGCGTCCGCGAATGGTGCCTGCATTGCGTCTGACACCTGGAGGTGGAGCTCGCTGTATGACAAAGTAAGTATTATACACCATGCCTGAGGAGTGGCGAGACCTGTCACTAACCATTCGGAGAGTATTTGCCATGTCATCCATGGCCTGCTTCGCCTGGCTCTCATCCTCGAAGATGGGCTGGTCTCGAATTGTCAGATTCATACCAGACTCATCCAGGCTGTAGTGATACTTGTCAGCATTCGTATATCACCATTGGCACAAGGTCACCTACCCCGCTGCCTCATTCTGGGCACGCGTGATCTCGTCAATTGTTGCAGGGCGCTGGGTGAACCCTTCTGAATCCACCTGTGGCTAAATAAGAGATTAGTCAGTGATTGTTGCACTTTTGATTTGTAAATCGCTGGTTGGTAATTTACCTGACTAACGTGGTTATTGGCGAGCCCAGGGGCTTCCGGGGCAGCCCCATTTCTAGGCGTCTCTGGATGTTCTTCAGGCATAGTCGCGGCGGCATCTAATCCAGATCGATCTTGTGACACACTAGGATTCCGCAAGGATGACTGGTCGGTAAAGGATGTCCCCGGACGGTCAGAGGCGGTCGGGGCGGAGATTCCGGTATTTGCATCTCACGAGAGGAATCGGCTCTCTTGAAAGCAGCAAAGGGACTACGCTTCTTTTCTGTTTTTCGGTCAAAGGATCCAGTTGAGGGTACGACAACGCTCTTCCTCCTGTTCATGACAGTTCCAAGACGTCTCAATCCCCCCAGGGGAGTATGCCGTGGCTGTGCTTCCGGTACTGGATAAAGCGTCAGAACTTGCGTCTGCGACGGAGTCATAATCTGGTTCCAAAACTTACCTGGTGGTGTCTGAGCGACGGCGTGTCTCTCAGACGCCTCTGATAGTTGGGTTACCTCATCATCCTGGATGCGTGGAGGGGCCGGAAGGGGTGCTTCTGTTGGTGGCGTGGATAACTGAGGCTGGATTGGAGCAGTTGCTGTCCGGTCAGATACTGGTTCAATTGTGGAAGGTGTCTCTGCCGGTTGAGTTTGTCTTCTGGGGATGGGCTGTGTCGCAGGGACCCGTGTGCCCGCCATCCTAGCCGCAAAGGTCTTGATTTCATCTGCCGTTTCCACATTGAGCAAAACGTTCAAGCAACTTTCAGCGGCCTGGCGACCACGCTCGACTTGATCCACTTCGTGGGTCTCCAATTGTGTTAGCACATCCCGAAGGTGGTTGAGCCGAGTCTCATCGACGGCCTGGAGTTGCTCGTAAACAAAGGGAGCCCGTGAATCCCATTGCTGATGGACTTCCTCGGCATTGGCGATCTCGCTAGCAAGTTTGTCTGCACCTTTGGCACCCTTTGCCCTGGCCTTGTCCACCTTCTTCTGCGCAGTCTCCACATTCTTCGCCAGCCCCGCCAGATCACTCTGGATACCGGGCATCGACTTCATCTCTGTATTCTTGGTGCTAAATTCTCGTAGAGGTCGCTCGACATCCTCCTCGATCTTGTTCGCAAGGGTCTCGTGCGACACGGCGAGCGTTTCGGTCGCACTGATGATGCGTTGCCAGGGGATTTGGAAAATGCTAGTTTCGCAAGTCAGCATCATCATCGGGCGCACCAGAACTTCGATCTTCTAGGGAAAGGCCAATTTACCCAAGAGCAGCACCATTGTCCGTCTGTGGCCGATGCGCCAGCTTCCGCAACCCTTGGGCATATGCTTCTTCAACCCGACGTCGTTCCTATCGCCAATTTGTCAACACCGATATCGCTTCCCATCGAAAATCCTATTCCAGGAATGTGATCGTATCAGGTCACAGGTTGTCATACCTGTAGATAATCCGCGATATCCGCATTGACCTTGTTTATGATTCGAATGCGATCGCTCAGGACTGTTGTAGCTTGGCCGGGATGCAGGGTGGCCTAAATAAAAGAAATACAACCAATGATCAGTAACTAGGTACTTTGTTTGTCAACCACAAAGCTCCCGTTGCTCAATCTTACCAGCAGCGTTGGGTACTCTTGCCGTGAGAGGTCCATGATTCAGATTCCGGGGTATTGAGGTATTGAGCAAGGTAGCGCACGAAGCGCATAACATGAAAGAGAGAAACCGAGAGATTCCTGCGGTGCTCCCGGTAAGAACAGCCCAATCAAGTAAGGGAAATGAATGCGGGATCAGGGCTGAATGCCAGTGTCAGTTGGTAGCGTGTCATTCGATGATGGCCGAGGACGGGCAATGGGGATGGAATGACGGAGGTGGTTATGGTAATACAGTGCTTGGCTGTGTCAACTCAGCCATAACAGCCTAAATTGCTGTTATTTACGTAACATCGCTGTACCCACTCCTTGATTGGTCACATGACATCATCCCTGCAGTGGATGTTGGCGCCTTGCTGCCTCAGGTTGACATATGATAGCAACTCTCCATGATAGAATAGATCTCCCCTATAATTTACTTTGCTTTGATTGTTGGCTACACGCTGGTGTAGTAATTGCAAGGCAGTATACGGTAGAAGCCATACCATCTCGATTAGCCGTCGTCCTTGTCCAACATGTCCTGGAAGAACAATTTCGGTTTCTCGGACCGGCTGCGAGCCATACAGTCTCTGTAAGCGAATTTCCCGTTTACAACATGAGCACTATATTGATGTGTGTGTAGCACAACGGCTTATCAGCATGCTTCTTCTACACCTGCCTCCGCATTTGCAGAAGCTATGTCTCAAGCGAAGCAGCTTGAAACCGAGGCGTATGACAAGGCGGTCTCAAAAGTGAGTTGTGCGCCTTCTAAAAACTGGCATTAAAAGAAACACTTCAACTGACACTGTGTCATACAGGACGAATATGATTCCATATGCCAAAAGGCAATTGATGAAGCTGAATTGGCAGGGTCCACGCAGATGGTCACTACCAACCCACAGCATGTCGAGGATGACTTTGAAGAACCAGAGACCTCAACCGGGGAAGTGGTTGGTCAATATCGGTCATGTTTCCACCACTATGCTGGTCTCCACTCCTCCATCTACAGATCAAAGTTGGAAGATGGGACCGTTCGGGCAGTGAAAGTCACTATTCCACATATGATGACAGCCCCCCATGATGCTCACCGTGAAGCGCGGTTGCTGCGCCAAGCTTCTCACGCACATATAATTCCATTGATCGAGACTTTTAACCTTGATGGTGGTCGGTTTGTCTTGGTCTTTCCCTTTTTGCGATATGACTTCGAGCACTTGCTCCGGCGAGACATGGTAAGTGCTGCTCAAACACGATCGATTTTACGAGACCTCTTCTCTGCCCTCGCCCATCTCCATAGCATGGGTATACTTCATCGGGACATCAAGCCTTCCAATATTCTGATGGACTCTCCCAACGGACCAGCGTACTTGGCAGACTTTGGCATTTCCTGGAAAGAAGGCGATGCAGGATCCGAGCCATCCACGCAGAAAATCACCGATGTGGGGACGACGTGCTATCGAGCCCCAGAGATTCTGTTTGGGTTTAAAGAGTATGGAACATCCCTCGACATCTGGGCTGCTGGCTGTGTAGTAGCCGAAGCCATTGCCGTCGGCCACCACCAGCTCTTCGACTCCGGGCCTGTGGGCAGCGATCTGTCGCTGATTTTCTCGATCTTCAAATTACTGGGCACTCCGGATGAACAGCGCTGGCCGGTAAGCATATCGCACCTGCCACGAATAGAGAAGTCATTAATAACCATTGCACAGGAAGTCCATGTCTTGCCAGATTGGGGGAAAGTGGAATTCCACTCGTTCCCCACGCAGGCCTGGGAGGACATCCTCCCGGGTGCATCCTCGAATGGCCGTGATTTAGTCAGCCACCTATTGTGCTACGAGAGCAGCGAAAGACTCTCGGCAACAGAGGTATGTGACCTGACGTGATGTCTTACGATAAACTCTGACATTAGCCTTAGGCCCTTGCCCATCCATATTTTGCTCGGAGTTAAAGCAATGGTATGATGTTGGTGTATGAAGGGGCTACGCCACACTTTCCTGCGCCTCATCGGGTTATACCGCGCGAGTGGATCGGAATCACAAGCGTGGAACCCCGCGACTGAATTATCAACACATCGAAGCATACTTCGGGCTCTAGCAATTATGTACCATATGAGGGTACCAAATCTGGATATCTACGGAGTACTCCGTACTACCTACAACATTATTGACACACATAATTGTATCTTAATAGAGGCACATAATAACAGAATATTATAATGTGTTTCCAAGGTTCCAAGGTCCAGCGTTACCCCTGAGGGACCTGCATGAGAGGCAGCAACAATTGGAAGGGTGCCATGTATTATTATTGATTAAATTAGAATTGATTAAAATTGAATTTCCGGCACCACCGGAAATTACGGGCTCTGTGAGCGATCAATTAGATGTGGCTGTTGTGCTAGGGTGAAACAATCATGGAGAGTCTGTGCCCGGGGCCCGCGTGCAGGGCTACACTTTAGCGAAATATGCTGGGGGCCGGGCAAACGGGGCTAGCAGGTGCCGAGTGATGAGATTTGTCGAGTTCCCGAATATTTTGCCAAGTGTTCGGTAAATTAGGCTATGGATCAGAGATATTTTAAGCCGAATTTCACCATACATACCTAGGTACCTAGGTAGTACCCCGTACGTACGAGTAGAAATAAGTCCATCTCCATCTCGTTCAACCTTGGAAAGCCCAAAAAAAGCCCAAAAAAGGCGACTTAAAAGTAAAGTGGGTCTGCAAGGGTTCTCGGCCGTGGGTCTGGTAACTCCTTCGGGCCAGGTACCGTGTGACAGCCAATCAGATCGATGGAAAGAGAGTATCGCTGCCTATTTGGGTTAGCATGTTATTGTATACACACAGGGTCCCAAGATCTCATTTCGGCTCCTCGTGGTACTCCGGGGCTCTCTCGTATTGAGGCTTTTCTCTTTTGTTCTCTGCCTCTTTTATCCTTTCCCCATCCTTTCTTTCAATTAGTACGACCTGGAAGTCGACGTCCTTTCTTTTATTCTCGACTTGACAATCGGCGGTGCTCGATCTCAGTCGTCCATTCTTTCTATTCACATTCCACAGGGCTGGAATCGACGCAGACACGCGGATTCTCGGCCATCCCTCACCTAGGAATCTGGGCTTATCCCTCTCTTTAGGAGCAATACCCGCTCTGGATCTCCCTCCCTCCCCTTCACCATATCCTAGGATAGTGAAGTCGACAACATGCACGGGCATGCGCACCACAACCATGGACGCAATGTGGAGGAACCAGAGGAGCGAGGAAATGTTGAGGAACGAGGAGTCCTCGAGGAGCGAGCCGATGTCGTGATTGTCTACAAGACTATGGATCCGGACTTCGAAGGCGAGGTGGGAGGTTATGTAACCGGCGCCGAACACAAGACTGCGACGAAAGCAAATGCTGGTGTTGGTGATCCTGTCAGCGCGCCAACAAGGACCAAGGAACAAACAACCGAGACCAAAAATACGGATGAGGCGACTACAACCAAGACCAAGGAGGAACCCACTACCACCAAAGAGACCGTGGCCCACACCACCCAGGAAACTAAAGCGGAGACCACCGAGACTAAGAAAGCAACCACCACTTCTAGTGAGTCGGAAGCTCCTATCACGACAACCTCTTTTGTGACCTCGGCATCCTCCACCTCGGCGTCTTCCCAGGATGTCAATGATCTGATCACGGCAACCTCCACCGGATCGAGCAAAGACTCTGTCGCATCGGCCTCATCCACTGCTCTTGGAACTACCAATTCTGAGGGTATGACTGGTGGCGCGAAGGCTGGTGTGGCCATCGGTGTCATCTTCGGCGTGGGTGTGATCGCTGCGCTGATTTTCTTCTTTATCCGCAAGAAGAAGAGAAGTCAGGAGGGATATCAGCTGGAGAATGAGAAGACCTTCGGTGGTGAAGGCCTGCCAGAGGGTACCGCGGCTGCTTTCCCGCCTCCTCCTCCTTCCAAGCCGCAGACTCCTTCGACGCCCCCGCAGCTTAATGTTCGTCCTGTCACTCAATTCGCGCCTGATCTGAGCGGCAGCGGTGCCTTGAACCCAGCCACTGCTGGTTCTTCCACAGGTTTGACCCCAGCCACCGCTGCTGTTGCAGGTGCTGCAGCTGGATCGGCCGCCGTCGCCTCCCGTAACCTCACTGGTGACACGCCGCCTCCTACTCCGCCCAAGTCTGCTGGGAGCAAGTCCGACCCCTTCAGCGACCCTGTCAATCCTTTCAGCCCAGCCACCACCCCTGTCACCCAGCCCGCGCCTTCGGTTGCCGAATCAGCTACTGGACCGTCCGAATCGGCCCCTGGACCTTCTGTACCAACCGTCGCAGCTGCCGCAGTTGGTGCCGGAGCCGTAGGTGTTGCAGCAGGTGCTGCTGCTTCGTCACGAGCGTCCAATGACTCTGACCGCTACCATTCCGCCGAATCACGCGGCCATTCCCCCACTGGCTCGACCCAATCTGCGACTGTTCCTACCGATGCCACTGCTGTCTCGCCTGTTGCTGCCGGCTTCGGTGCCGCAGGAGCTGCAGGCGCAGCCGGCGTCATGGCTGCTGGCCCACCACCTCCTAACAATGTTTACCGTGTGCAACTGGATTTCAACCCCTCTATGGAGGACGAGCTTGGACTCCGCGCTGGAGCGCTTGTGCGCTTGCTTCATGAGTATGACGATGGGTGGGCTCTCTGTACGCGCCTTAATGGCCCCCAGCAAGGAGTTGCCCCACGCTCTTGCCTCTCGGCTCGTCCTGTGATGCCTCGCGCGCGTCCTCCCCCTGGCTCTCCCGGCTCTCGCGGCCCACCTATCATGGGCCCTGACGGTCGTCCAATGATGCCCGCCGGTCCGCCCGGCCCAAGATTCTATCCTCAGGATGCTCGCCCAAGATCCCCCGGTGGCGCTGGCTTCTCTGGACCTCCGCCTCCTCGCCCTTACCCCGGCCCGGGATCTGCTGTCCAATTCCCTCCAGTTCCCCGCTCCATGTCGCCTGGACCTGGAGGTATGCCTGTGCCTCGCTCAATGTCTCCGGGACCTGGTGGAATGCCCGTTCCCCGCTCAATGTCTCCCGGCCCTCGTTCGATGTCTCCGGGACCAGGAGGGCGACCTGTCCCACGCTCAATGTCTCCTGGACCTGGCGGAATGCCCGGTCCTCGTTCAATGTCCCCCGGACCCGGCGGAATGCCTCGCTCTATGTCTCCTGGCCCCCGGCCCGGCCCGCGCTCGATGAGCCCCGGTCCATACGGAGCTCCTGGGATGCAGCGGCCTGTCATGCCTGTCAACCAACGCCAACGCAGCAATAGTGCCAGCAACGTCGCTCCGCCCATGGCAGCGCCCGCTGCGCCTGCAGTTTCAAGCCCATTAGCTGCTGCCGCTCCTGCCCCTGCCCCTGCCCCCGCACCTGATGCGCCACAAGTTTCGAGTCCTCCAGCCGCTCCTGCATCTGCTCCGGCTGCGCCGCCAATGCCAAGTCCCTTAGCTGCACCTTCACCTGCACCCACCAGCGAGCTTCCAGCTCTCCCGACTTCCCCGCCGACTTCTCCGTCCGGCTCGATCTCGCGAAAGCCCGTCCCCACCCAGGACGCTTAATTGAATGACCCTCACCTCTGCATAGAGTCTCCGTCTTGTGCAGAATATAGGCATTCCCACTGCCGCGTCAGTGGCCCCGCTGGACGGAATTGAGCTTGCCTAATATGACCCCATTTTTCGCCTCGATCTTGATATCCCCTTACACCCTCGCGTCCGTGACGAACGAACAATCCTTGAATCTATGCTTTGCGCTGAGTGCATATCTCCGCATCTGAATCATTTCATCCGTCTTTTCGCTTTCATCTTCTCAGTCTTCCGTCAGTGTTCTGGATGCCGTCTTGTCTGTATTTCCACTGGCATCCATGTAATGTAACAAAAGGGCGGACGTACCTACCTTTTTTTTCTTTGGCCTCTATTTTTATTTCCGTTGTTTCACAGCCTTTTCTTTTTCTTTCTATTTCTCTTCGATTCGAAGTCGCAAGCATTTTTCCTCGAGTTCGCTGTTTTACATCGGATCTCGAATGATATGCGTGTCACGCTGAGATGAGCTGGAATACCCGGATCCTTCAACTTGTTCCACCACATATAGTTTACATAGCTATGTAGAATTTATTCACGAATATTACCATTTCCATCGATAGATGTTCTTCTGTGACCTTGCTAGCGTGCATTATGTATCCGATAGGAGTGAGCACCGAATATCAGATGCATGGCTCGTCCCCCTCAGGAGTAACCTTGAATATTTATTTTCGGGCTATGGTAGTGACATGTACAATAACATAACTAGATATGTGACCATTAATCAAATTCGACGCAAGAAGTCTGCGATTAACCTCCCTTTACATCTAAAAGCCATAAGAAACACAGAAAAGATACAGTAATCAAATCACACCAGCACTACGGGTATAAACGAGATCCACCAACATACACAACGAACCCTATCTTCTAGCACTCAAGCCTTAACCTCAGTACCACTCTCATCACTCTCGAACTTCCCACCGGCAATGTGCACATCCGTGCTAGCATGGCGCAGAGCCTCCTCAACGTACTCCGGTCTAAGCTCACCGTGCTTATCATAGCGATAAGGTTCCTTAACGGAGATGGTGACGGCATTGAAGACATTGGTAGACTTCTTGAAGATGGCATCCATCTCTTCCAGGAACGGTAGCGAGTCTCAGGGAAGAAGAAGTAAACACAGGGGAACATGAACGCGTTACTGTCGGTTGTTAGTTGAGCTGCTTAGGGTTAATGCGGGGTTAGAGCTCACATGACAGCGAAGATGACATAGGTCTTGTATCCGATATTCGCGAATGCAACAGGCGTGATCATCACGACCATGAAGTTGAAGATCCAGTTAGCGCTGGTGGCGAGTGCGTTAGTTGGAGCACGGATTCGCAGGGGCACGATTTCGGCTGGGTACAGCCAGGTCATTCCGAGCCAACCGATGGCGAAGAAGGTGTTGAAGACGAAAAGGAATACGGCCTGTGCGATACCGGCGCTGCTGTCGCCTAGGTGGGTCAAGCGGTAGTTTGAACCGGCTAGGACGGCCATTGAAATTGACATTCCGGCGGCCTGGTTTATTCTTTGTTAGTTGGGATATCAATGGGGGTGAGGGAGACATACGCCGAACAACATCAGTGGACGACGTCCAACTTTCTCAATGATGAAAATAGGGATGAATGCTGCCATCAGATACTCCGTGCCGTTGCAAGCTGCCAACAACTTTGGAAGATTTCCTTCTCCAAGACCAATCTGGCCGTACAGTGAAGGCGCCTGATGAATTTATTAGTATAGGGCTAGCATCTCGGTGGTGAAGGCATCTCACGTAGTAGGTGATCAGATTAATTCCGGAGATCTGCTGGAACATTTGGTTGACGTAGGCGAGGGCCACACGATGGAATTCTCGGTACTCGCTCATCTTGAACAGACTCTTGTAAGTGCCCTTGTTCATTTCCTTGACAGTTTCCTCGATAGAGATGAGCTCGTTCTTGATGTAGGGGTCATCCCGAGATTTCTCATTGAGACACTCGAGAATCTCCAAAGCCTCATCGGTGCGACCTTGCATGACAAGCCAACGTGGAGACTCGGGCAGATTGAGAATGGAGCAGAAAATGATGACGGCGAAGATAATCTGGAAAGCTAGAGGGAACCGCCAGGCGACCTCTTTCTCTCCGATGAATGACATGCCTAATTCCGGGCATCAGTAATTGCAGGATTTTATATCGAATATATGTTCAACTCACCGTAGTTAATCCAGTAGCTAAGAGTGATACCTCCCGTGATCAGCATACCCTCGATCATCACCATCTTACCACGATCGTGGGCTTTTGATGACTCGGACTGCCATGTTGGTACGGTACTTGTATTCATGCCATTGCCGACACCAGTGACAATTCGACCGACAATGAAATGAGGCAGAGAATACGAGGTACATTGCAAGAGAGCGCCAGTAGCCATGATCATACAGCCGCAAAAGATAGTTCTTCGTCGACCGAGCGGATTACCGATGAAAATAGTCAAGACAGCACCCATGAAACATCCCAGATTGTACGATGCGACAGCAATGCCTTGGTTCAAACTGCGCTGCGACCGGATGGGCTGGAACTCATCTGCTTGGATAGCTGGATCTAGAGGATTGATAGCGGGGAAGTATTTGATGAAAGAGGGCAGGTCTAGAAGACCACCCGTGACACCTTGATCATAACCGAAAAGCCTAGCTGGGTTAGTTGCAAAGCAAATAATTGAATAGATGAATAGATGAATAGTATCGTACAAGAAATCAAGACTACCAAGGGAACTGATAGCCAGGTTGAGAGACCGGCCTCTCCAGCCAAAGAACTTCGGAATGCCGAACATGATGTCCAAACATGCAAAGAAGATCGAAGCGAAACAACATGATAAAAATGCCGATCAGCGGGTTATATACACCTTTCAGATTCCCCCGGATTGACAAAAGCGGTAATCCGAGATGACCGGGGTAATCTCCAGGTGTCTGGGGCTGGCCAAGATACGGGGAAGGCGTCGGGCGACGCGGGGATGGGAGAAGTTCCATGGAGACACATTTGGGGGCGGATTTGGTGAATTGTGACTGGTCGAGAGTCCAACGCTAAACCATATTCATCGAGTTCGATGGTAATTTTACCGCTTTGTTCGATTCGTTTGAGGAAAAAGGAAATAATTTACGAGTTGAGGTAGTCATCGCTTGGCGGCATCATGGCTTGACATGGCGTAAGCCTCGAAAGGAACGGGCTGATACTGCCATATTGGGTATATCTGGTACATCTGGTACATCTGGTACTTGGTATATTTTGCCTAGGTTATATCTTTTCCGTCTTTATCCGAGCACTTACTGATTGCATCCCTCGGCACTGCCACTGCCACTGCCGATAGATAATGGAGTGTTGGAAAAACGCCATTCGGTTGGATAGCAAAAGACACGGCCAAGCCAGCCAAGACCGATGCAACCATCCGTCAGCAAATCAGATGGGATACCCTCAAAGCGAAAGTTCTAGGCCAATGAGAACGGACTCTCGTCTTTGTTACTATGACATGTGCCAACGCCAAATAAGCCAAAATCGCCAGAATCGCCAAAATACGCATTGACCCGACTGAATGGGAAATGTTACACCGGATGTAAAGGCAATCGCCTATTGAGGCTCAGGTGAGAAATATTCCGGTGCGTACGGAGTATATGTACATATAATAGGATAAATAAATAATATGTATGTACTGTCAGGAACAGGGGAGTTCAGCCCTCGGATCCCAATTAATATACTGAGGACGTCAGCGGCACCCGACTGGCTTCACACGCGGCTTGCCTAAATAGACGAACTTCCCGCCATGGAATCATTTTTTTTATTAATAAAACCTCCATCGGACTATTCACCCGGGCTAAGTGGTCTGACCTGTACCTGTTGATCCTTGTCTCCGACAACTCAGCTTGAATTATATCTCTCACATTATAGCCCTCTTCAACTGTTAACATGTAGACCGGTTCCATATATACACCATCATGATATCTTCATATCTTCACTGACACGCATATTAAACTCTGACTCTAGGAATATGACACCTTTTATTTCTCTTCGTCCTGCGCAGCCGGCTAAACATTGGGTGTTCACTTTTAGTACATATCTTCGGCGTGATATTAGACAAAATCACAAAGTACGATCAAAATGGCCGCCGGCAGAGATGAGCTTGTCAACGGTGAAATTCTGAGTGCTGAATTGATTCGTCTGAGAGTCAGCACATATTCTGGCCCTGCAAACGACGAGTCCATGCTGGACGAGTTTATAGAAAGTACACTCCAGCCTGCGCTTGCCGCACAACAAACCCCCGAGCGAGTTGATTCAAAACATCCCTTTTTCGACAGAGCAAAGGAACTCTGTTTAAAACATGACTGGCCGATTGAACGATTCGAAAATTTCCGAAGACTACTATGCGGGAATCGCACTTTCCCTGTATCTTGCTTTTGAATCCAAAGAATGACCTCCTTCCATTCGATGAGATGGTCGATCAAACTCCAACCCTAACGCGGCTGGAAGATGTCCTAGATAAGATCGGTCTTGGACTTGACGATGTAATCATTATGGATTTATTCCCCATGCTGACCGACGAATGGTTGGATGGACACCCTGCTGAGCGCGATAAAGTTATTCCCGAAATGTTCAAACTGACCCTTGACTTTATTCGAGGGTTCAAGCTACATACTATCCTCTCTTGTCAATGCTTTCGCCCTTTATGGCATGAGCGCTGGGGTTCATTCGACCATGGTATGCTTCAGAAACTGTGCTCAAGAATGGACCGTGCCAAGCGCCAAATAGTGTCCGGCTTCAGTTTCGAGAATCATTATATACATTGCGTCGCAGCGTTCCACCCTGCCAAATTTTTGCGGGAGGACGAAGACAAGAAACAGGAACTGAGAGAGCTTTTGTGCTCAACATTCCATTCTTTGTTTGAGCCATGCGCAGCTTGGCTAGACGAGTACGATATGAAGTTGGATAAAAGCCTGGATGAGAAGACACAGTCTATCAAAACTCTGATCGAACAACTCCAGCAAAGTAAGGCTGAATATGATGAAATACTCATGAGACGACGTCTCCTGTGTATGTCTCGGATTCGTGGTCTCTCAATCACAGCTGAGCCTCCGGATAATCGAAAGAAAGCTGGGGAGCTAATTGCTGAACTGTGGTCTTCCAAAACACCAGAGAAGTCGCTTCGTGATTTGGAGGACTTGGTCAAACGAGAGTATCCGTGGATATCTTGAAGATCTACAGATAGAGTGCTCTTTGACCATCTAATTTCCTGGTTATCTACACCTGGGCATTGTTGATTCGCTCTTTGAGGAGCGACTTAATATTAGCTTTTGCTTGTTCTTGAACAATGCACTGTCTTCATTGCTTAGATATTTGAGGATAGCAGACTACATTGTTTTGGAGGAACTAGCTGGACATGGTCGGCGTTTCAGCCCTATTCTTTGATAAGACCTTTATTACTTCAGACTGGCAAGTGTAATTGGACGAACATTGTTAAAACTTCCCTTTGTCCGTTCCTTGTTCTATCCTTGGATTTCCCAAATTAGTCGTCCTTATTGTCAACTCAAGCTCGAGTCTCTCTATCCCGGCCTTTGAAACACTTCTCTATGCACTTGTCTCCATTGTTCAGATCCTCGCCTCCTTTGTTATACTTAGTCTTATTTCAGCCGACCCTATTTTCGTGATGTTTCATCTTTCCAAGAACTAGGAGTCGGGCCCAAGTTAAGCAAAAACAGAGGCATTGGCAAAAGGTATATAACTTCGCCTGGGTCTGTCTATTGCTCTTCATTGTAACATCATTCAGCAACCACAATACAACAAGTCATACCAACGGTATATTTTATTCCAACTTTTCCTATCAATCCAATTGTTATATACTTTACCTCAACCATAACAATGAAGCGTTTCGCCCGCACAATGAGAAAGTGCTTTGGAGGACGCCGCCGCCGCAACCGCCGCAACCGCAACGTTGACTCGGATTCACCAGCACTCCCCCTAGCTGAAGTGGCCCCGAGGCCAGCCCAATCGCCAAAGCCAGGTCAATCCCCAAAGCCAGGTCAAGCCCCAAAGCCAGGTCAAGCCCCAAAGCCAGGTCAAGCTCCAAAGCCTGCTAAACCCACAAAGCCTGTTAAACCTACAAAGCCTGCTAAACCCACAAAGCCTGCTAAACCTCAGCAAGAGGCCGTCAGCGACAATGAAGGTAGCGTCAGCGACAATCAAGGTAACATTAGTGACGAGGAATACCCCCCACTCCCACCGTCAAGAGATGATTCTCACACGGGCATCACGCCTGAACTGAGTGATATCGATATTAACGAGATCAGGGACGATGAAATGGAAGATGTCGATATGGATGATGCCGATGATAATGAAAGAAGCGAGCATACCTCTGCCCCGGATTTCACGACGATATTGACATTCCAGATGCCGATACTGGCGATGAATTATTGAACTACCCCCTCGAAGATTTATTGTCCTACGCTTCTAGTTATCCGCTCCTACCAGCTGAGCGTTCCGATGAAGGTTCAAGTGAGTCATCCGGTGATATCTTGTGGATCGGTCAGTTGTCATCCTCGGCTGGCCGGTCTCGGGGTCAAATTGAACAAGCATCCTCGCCTGCGGCCCAATCTCAGGAATCAATTGAACGAGCATCCTCACCTGCGGCCCCGTATCAGGATCCAATCGAACAATACTCCTCATCTGCGGCCCAGTATGAGGCTCAACTTGTACAAGGGAGCCTCTGGCAGGACCCGCCTGCCAGCTCATCTGGGACGCCGGGGTTCCAGCACGCTGAGGACCTAGATCAGCTGTCGAGTCTACATCCCTCTTCTAAGCCGCATCTTGGGTGGGACCAGAGTGAGCAGGAACAGGAAGTAGAATTACCTACCGGTCCTGAACTAGTCTTTCCAGGACCATCAACTGAACTAGTCTTTCCAGGACCATCAAGTATTGCACCAGTTGGCGGTTCCAGTTCGTCCCCTTCAACACGTCGGATGACTTGTATGACACGCCTTCCGCAGCGACACTCAACCAATACAGAACAACAGGAGCTCAACTACAAGCTTGGTTAGAAGACCCAAACGCACCAGGCTGCAATATTGCCCCGGCAAACCAAGATATAGACTACTTTCTGAACGAATCTTCAGAAGAAGATCGCTTCCGGTGCCCAGAAGCTTATCACGAAGAACTGGGCGATCTTATGTTTGGAGGCGAACCCGAGACGACGGGACTCCCTACCGGCCCTATGTACCGTGTGTCAACCTTCCGGAACGCAGTCAGGGACGCACAGGTCCTGGCTGACCATAACACTAGGTATCTTGAGAATGCGTACCAACACACGGTCGGACCGGGTCTTCTTGTTGCCAACTCCATTTTCCGGTACGATAACGTTCAGTGGAATGAAATCGCCAGGGCTGTGTATACAGTGGACTACCCCATGGACACTTTGAAGTATATTATGTTTACCCACGTCGTCAATGAGCGGACTGCAGCGTATATCAGGCGTACACTCTACCCCAGACGTGGACGCTACATAGATTCTACGGACGGCGACGCATGCGAAAAGCTCGAACGTGGCACTACTGAGTATTACGAATTCCTCGGTACAACGTTGGGCAAAGCAGCTGCCATCCTTCTCATCTCAGCCCTCCCCAGAGGTACGAGAAGTATCTCTCGAATAGTCATTTGGTATAAGTCCTACAAAATTATGATAAGAGTTGAGATTGATTCTTTGAATGCTAACACAGATGATCAACCAGTACCTGGTCAGTTTTGGTAGTGTCGATTGAATTATAAGGATTGTTTCGTCTCATGTTGGAAGATGCTTTGGTTATATTTTATTTTTGGCATTTTTGAAGAAAGCGAACACGCATATATAGAGCATGCAATGATCGATTTTTGGATATTATCTTGAAGTGATACAAAAGACTAGAAGTACATTCGGAGTCAATAGCGCAGACTATATGATTGGACCAGTGAGACTGGATATAGGGATTAGGATAGGAATAACAGTTCACTCCCCAAATGGTACACCAAAACCCTTCCTGGAGATGAATATATGGATGAGGGAGCGATCTTAGGAATCATCAGGCGCAAGCTTTGATAATCCCCGCAGCTTTGGGCCATACTTCATAAACAAGAAGGGTACTGGCAATAGCACCGCAGCCACAGCTCCAACAATGGAAACAGCAGGCCCAATCCCCAAAGCCCTGATCATCGGTTTCGCCGTCAAGGGAAGTCCGGCAGCGAGCAAACTTCGAAGAAACGTAACAGCCGCTGTTGAGCTAGCCGCATAGATCTTATATACATCAATCAAAAAGTTCAAACACTGTTGGAAAATGCAGTTGAACCCAATTCCTATAAAGACAGCAGCCAGGCACGGCAGGATCCAGTGGTGAGGTGGTTCCGCAGTCCAAGCAAACCAGAAGAGCCCTACAACAAAGAACACCGCCCCAAATGCCATGGGCGGAAGTCGTGCTTCGGGCACTGCTTTTCCATTCGCCTCACTGGATATTCGGTTATAGCGATGTTGGTTCCAGATATTGAGACCCACCGAGGATATGACACCAATCAATAATCCCAGGAACGGCAAAGAGCCGACAAGATGATTCCAACCTCGAGATTGCTGGAATGCAATTGGAAATACCTCAAGAGTTAGGTACATAACACCATAAACAAAGGAAGCATAGAAAGCAATACAAGTGACAATCGGCTCAGTGAGCAGCATTCTCAATGGGCGGGCAAGCTGCTTCGTAAGAACGGATTTGACGTCGAGTTTCAAATGCTCATGAGGATGATAAAACCTCGAATCATTAGTGTCTTTCCGAAGTCGCTGTGCTTTGCGCTTGAGTAGTACCAGCGGGTATACCTCTGGCAAACAGAAGAAGGTCAATGTGAAAATAACAAAGACCCAGATTGCATGGATGTATGCAGTCCACCGCCAGCCCAGATGAGGATTCAACAAGAGCGCTGCGCCGATCACCGGACCTAGCGCCGGGCCGCCGTTCACAGCCACTGCATATAGGCTGATTGCAGTCCCGCGCGTCTCTTTACTCCAGATATCACCTAGTGCCGCGGTGACATTGCTAATGGGGGCAGATCCAAAGAATCCTGCGAAAAACCGTGTCACAAACACCGAGGCTGCATTTGTGCTTACGCCAGTGCCGATGGAGAATAATGCTAGACAAAAGACGGCGGGGAGCATGCTGATTCTTCTGCCCCAGATTTCTGACAGAGGAGCCCAGATGATAGGCCCGAAGACGAAACCAAGACTGGTATTACTATTAGCATTACTTCTAGTGTATCACTTTCGCCTTCACTTACAGATACAGGGACACGTCCAATACGGCAACATCGCTGCTCACGCCGGTATACTTCGCGATGGTGTCATCGGCCGGCGTGGTGATGCTTGACCCGAGACTACCCGCCAACGCAAGCATGCCCAACTGGAATGTCACCCACCATTTGTACCTGGGGTTCCAATTCTGAGGATTCGATACATCGTCCTGATCCCACTTGACGAGATATGCCGGATCAAGAGATGTAGGATCCTTCTCGGCCTTGGCTTGTACATTCATAAGACTGCCCTTGGGCCACATGCGGGCCATAAATGGGTTCAATGCCGTAGAGTGCGGATTGCTACTCTCATGAACAAGGATTCATATGTAGCAGGATGCCGCTTCGGCAAATCGATGTAGATGCCGATGCCGATGTCGGAGCAAGCCTCGGATGGCCTCAGAATACGATTGTCAATATTGTCGATGGCGAAAGGGATCAATTTGGAATTTAGAGTCCATCTACGTCTCGGAGATAGTGATTTCTGCTTGTTAATCCCGAATAATAGATGTTTCTCGGATTTCTCGGATTATCGGCCCTGGATTATCGGCCGGGGCCGGCCTGGGGCGTGCGGGCACTTACTAGGGCTCTTTTGGTTTACTATAGAACTGAGAAATGATGGGCTCGACTTAAATATAAAGCGTAAAGGATGTTAAGCCCTTAGACCAAGGTTGTTGTTTCGCCAGATTCATGACGTGGTTTGTGATACCACGGACCTTTCCTATATTTCTCAACTGCACTTGTAGGGCATAACCTTCTGAGAAAGCTCTGGATATGTTGGAATAGGATCAATCCGAAGTCAGCGGAAACATAACACAGGCAATGATAAGTAAGTGGCAGTAGATTTTAAATCATAAATACCCCGAAAAATGACCCGAAATTCAATTAAAATCGCCCAAAAATATCATCTCTAAATCCAATACGTCTTTCAATCATAAGAAATGCAAAGTTTATACGGCAACGAGAGCATCTTACCACATTTTATCGTATCCTCTCCTGATCAGAGATGTGGAACGCGTCCACTTGCAAGAAGAAGATTCACAATGCTCATGATACCTTCGCCCAAAATGAGGCCGGAGGCAAGGACGACGACAGTCGAGGAGGCGGAATCTTCTTTTTCAGATGCCTGCTCGGTTGACGTTGATGATCTCTGACCATCCTGCAACTCAGTCTCTATAGAAGATCCCATGATAGTGGCATTGCCGTCAGCCACTATTTGGTCGGTCCTTGATTCAGCGTGCTTGCGCGACCACCACCATGCAACGATACCACCGATAGCTCTCGCCAGGGTAAATGAAGGCTCGTTAAAGATACCAACGGCAACAGCAATACCGCCGGGGACCCAAGATCTCCAAGGGGGTGGTTTCCCGTTGCGCGCAAAGGCTGGGGAGGCAGCTGCGATCCTCAGTGCGGTAAGGAACGCCCACACGATACCAGCAATGATAGAGACTTGTCCAGCCATTTCGGGCAGCCCTTGACCAGTCACAAGGCGAGCAGTGAAAATCCAGATATATGCGGTAGGTGTCCGGAACATTTCGCTTGGGATCTCATAGACGTTCACGTACAATTTGTATACGGCAGTTGATAGAACTGCGCCCACAAGACTGCCGATTATCTGGCCATAGAATTGGGCCTTGGGGCTTGCGCCGAGTAGATGACCGGTCTTTAGATCTTGCATCATATCACCGGCTTGCAGAGCTCCTGACTCGGATACTGCACCCGCGAGCAGGTTGGTCACGAGTGCGGTGCGTCTGGAGAAATGGGATGCTGGCGTGGCGAGTGAAAAGAGCAGCTGTGTCAGCTTGCTGATACCCGAAACTGGGTTGAGGTCGGTCTCTCCAAGAGCCCGGACACCCATAATGGATAAGAGCACTGCCAGCAGAGTCGCTAATGTCGATAGAAAAAGGGGAAATGATTTCACCGAAGACAAAGTGCATGCACACGACATTCAGGAGGAGAGTCAGGGAAGGAGAATCACAACCGTGCGAGTTGAGATGAGTTGAGATGGTGGTGCATCTTCCTCTTCCTCTTCCTCTTTGCTTATAGTCATAAGTCTGTGGTGGTCATCATCATCTTCGTGGGACGAAATACGAGGCTCTGACTCCAAAGCGGAGTAGTTGATATATGAGTGCTGAGAAGATTGCAGCCGAAGTGCAATCCACTGACCAGCGCCAGTGGATCGGAGGCGGGCTATCCATCCTGGAGAGCGATTCACGATGGGCTTTAACACCAGCCATCCAAGGCTAACAAGTGAGTCGGCAAGCATGATGGCTAGTGATATCCAGACAATCCATGCTTGGCTGCCACTTTCCCAGTTCTTAACCGGGCCGGGAGCCCAGCCGCGGGTCTTAGCCAGCGGTGATAGAACGCCCCACCCTAAGACTGCCCCGAAAAGCATATGCATGCACGTTGACGGGCCCATAATTATACCTTGACCAATATATGCGGGTGACGGGTTAAGGGTCCATAGCCATTTGTTCGCCATGTCCACGCCAAACAGAGGGATAGTACGGGCTAGAGGGACGAAGTAGGAGAAAAGGGTCTAATTTTGTTAGCATAGATAACTCAACGTCGAATTTGGAGGTATTCACATATACACCCGACACTGTAAATGATCCAATTAAGATGCGCATCTTTGAGCGCCAATCTTGCTCTTTGGAAGCTTGGTCTTCAGCATCGCCATCCTTCAAGAGGCCTGTGTCTTCTTGCGATTGTCCCGCTGCTTCGGCCTCCGTACTCAGAAGCCCTTCGCGTGAGCTGTCTGGTGCTATAACCTTCTCGTTTTTCCCAGAACCATGCAAAACCTTGAGCATCAACGCCGAGGCAGTACCACTGGGGAACCGCAACTTCTCTCGAACAATGACCTCTTTTCGTAGTGGGACCGCAAATACAACACCGAAGAGACAGACTCCCAGACTCCAAATAACCAACTTCCAGAAGCCAAGTTTCAAAGGACCTCCTTCGCCTTCTCCACCATCGCCTTTAGGCCCATCTTCACCAGGATTCATCAGGAACTCCAAAGCAGGGATGACGCCAACGAAACCGCATCCAAGGGGCATCGTTCCCACTGCACCAGCAACCGTTTGTATCAAGACATTCTCAACTGGTGTGAAGGGGAAGGACAAGTATTTGGATAGAACCTTGAAGACCGAAAAGCCAATCAAGGCCGAGGGCATGGCCATTGTGCTGATCCATCCTGTCTGCAGACCGAAGTAGGTATTGGAGAATGTAACAAGGGCACCGATAATAAGACCGACGAGAAGTGAGCGCGGAGTGAAGCTCTGAGGGGATGTGGCGGGAGCTTGGTGGTCTGGCGTCGGATCATCGATCGGATCTGTACGCGGCTGATCCAAGGATGACCTTTCCACAGTCCGGTGGCGCTGCTTGGAGGCATTTCTGTCCATACTGATGGTCTGGTAATTCATGAGACCGACCGATCAGTCATAGTGAGGTGAATGTCTGCCCAGGTGGGAAGTCCAACCTCGGGGGGATGCCGGATTGATAAGCGTCGCTGATTAATGGATTTCTCGATAAGATCACCTGACGTCACATCATTTCCAAAGTTCCAAGGTTATCCTCTTGGTATTTCCGTCATCCTATTGGACGAGATTTACATAATGGGAGGCTAGGAGCAGAACGAGAGCTGTCTCTGTATCCATTATTATGATCCAACTAATGCCACAAATCACTATTAGTAGATTCATGGGGACAAAGGAACAAAGGATCTCAAAGGGGCAGAGAGAGGTCTGACAAGCTGCATGTAAGCAATGCCTCGATGCGTAAACGTATCATTATATGGTATGTTAAGGACATGGAATCTGAGGAGCTCGAGAACGGACAAGTCGGGTTGTCGGTGTTTACTCCTTCAGTATGCAAGGTTAATCTACAAAGCAAAAAGCTGGGCGAACTTTTCTATGCTCAACAACCAAGGAAGAACATCGAGGTCTAATAATGCTGTATTCTATACATGCAGGTGAATTTCGAATGTTTTTCGTTATCGAATTATCTGAGCTACCTATATGTAGGCATGAAATACATAAGACCGAATGTAAGAATCAGTTTCAAGGTTAATTACAGGCAACGCTAGTAGCGGGATCTAAACCTAATTGGGATAAGGTCAGCGGGGTCTAAACCCAAACGGGAACTGTATCATTGCGTCGGCCTGATCCTTCCCAAGGTTGTAATCCGAAGGCCCTCCGTTCCTTCCTCGTTCCTTCCTCTTTCCTATTTCCTCATTTCCTCCCTCTTCCTCCTCTTCTTACCTTTCCCTTTCATCCTTCTTCTTTCCTTTCCTCTTTCTCCTTTGTCCTGTATCAGCTTGTGCTATTCTTTGACTGTGAGTGTACTTTGTTGGCGTCCGTTCCTCGGTTTCCATCAATTCAATTAATATCGTATTTCAAGTTCTCAAGATGGATGATCAAGTCAAGTCTTGCCGAAAGCATGGCAACGACCAGGTTGTCGACAAACCAAATTCTCGTGATGACTTCAAGCAAGCGCAAATCTCTGGGGGGTGGATCCCCGGCATGGACCCCAAAGTGGACTACGGAGGGGAATTCGAATTCGGCGGTTCACTCGGAACATTGGCGCTCATGATTGGTTTCCCGTTGCTGATGTGGTACATGTGGATCGGCGCAACCTACTATGATGGGAAGCTACCTCTGCCACAAAACGGAGAGTCCTGGATGGACTTCGGAAAGCATCTGTGTCACCTTGTCTACACCGGTGCGTTCCCACACTTCAGGGCGTGGCGCATCTACTGGACATTCTACATCTTCGAGGCAGCATGCTACATCCTCATGCCCGGCTTCACCTGCTACGGGAAGCCTCTTCGTCATCTGCAAGGCAAGAGGCTGAAGTATTATTGCTCGGCCTACTGTAGCTTGTACTTCACAATCTTTAACATGGTCTTTTTACACTACACTGGTCTGTTCCCCATTTACACTATCCTGGATGAGTTCGGTCCTCTGATGTCTGTGGCGATCCTTTCCGGGTTTCTCGTCAGCTTTTTCGCCTATTTCTCTGCATTTGCTCGTGGTGCCCAGCACCGCATCACCGGTTACCCGATCTATGATTTCTTCATGGGAGCTGAGCTGAACCCACGTTTGTTTGGGATCCTGGACTTTAAGATGTTCTATGAAGTCCGTATCCCATGGTTCATGCTCTTGGGTTTGAGCTGCGCGGCTGCCACTCGCCAATATGAACTCTACGGTTACGTATCTGGTGAAGTTTTGTTCCTTGTCATGGCACATTTCCTTTACGCCAACGCCTGCGCCAAGGCAGAACACCTCATCACCACAACATGGGACATGTACCAGGAGAAACTGGGCTTCTTGTTGATCTTCTGGAACATGGCTGGTGTTCCCATGTCTTACTGCCACTGCGTTCTCTACCTGGATAATCGCCACCCATCGTCATATGCGTGGAACAAAAATGCATTGATCGTATGGTCCGTGGCCTATCTTTGCGTCTACTGGGTCTGGGACACTGCAAATAGCCAGAAGAACGCCTTCCGCATGATGGAGCGAGGCAAAATGGTTGAGCGCAGCACCTTCCCCCAGCTTCCTTGGCGACATATCCACAACCCGAAGACACTCGTGACGGAGGATGGCGATATCCTTTTTGTTGATGGGTGGTACGGATTGGCTCGCAAGGTCCATTACAGTTGCGATATGTTTTTCGCTTTGTCGTGGGCACTGATCACCGGGTTCGACAGTCCACTTCCCTGGTTCTACCCTGTGTTCTTCGCGGTCATGATTGGCCACCGTGCTATGAGGGATATCAACAAGTGTAAAACCAAGTATGGGGCCACATGGGCGGAGTACGAGAAGCAGGTTCCGAGCCTCTTCATTCCGGTGAGTCCTTACTGCAACCTTTTTTTTTTTGTTTTTGAACCATATACTCACTCATAACAGTATGTGCTCTAACTTGAAGTTGCTCTGACTTGCGGGCCACCGTGATTGTGGTTGAGCCATTCATAGTCTATTGAAGCCCTTGTTTGCCTTCTGCAACAGCAAATTCTGTAGCATTACTTCGTATCTACAGATCAAAATGCCGAAGAAATCATCTATTGTTCCAGATTTTCTAGTCCAAAGAGACTTGTAAATCGCGCTGTCACCTCACCTAGAATAGAGATGGTTAGGGCTATTGTATAACCTCGGAGATGATCCTCGGGTTTCTGTGACTCATTAGCTCCGTCCATGCGGGTGTTCAACCCCACATTGGAAATTGCATAGCAATTGATTTCGCTTGGCCAATTTCAATTGCCTCGAACCAACTCCAGCTCCAAACATGGACCCCAAGATGGCCTTCCATATCAAGGTCTATGCATCATCAGATCTCCTCAATCAACCCTGGATCTCAGATCTCACACACATGGTGAACGCCAGCTATCGCGTCAGCCACACGGTCAAAATAAAGTTCACTACAACCAAGACGCGACTACACGCCGACTCCGATCTACCCAAGGAGCTCGGTGCAGACGGATTCACCGCGGTGGCACTTGTCGGAGATGGAAAACGTCAAAAGATCGAGGTGATCGGGACCGCAAGTATGAAGAAATGGAAAGACGACGGCCTTTGGATGCCTACCACCAAACACGGACATGATACAAACTCTGTCGAGAATGAAGATGCAGCCAATAATGGATCTGTTGATCAGATGCTTCATCGACATGCCCATGCCTGTCCCGGAAAACTACGAGCTAGCTGTTGTTGCTCTCCCGCCAGATCCAAAATACCGCGGCAGAGGTATTGCGGGACATCTTGTGACGGCGTGTGAAGAGCAGATTTTGCGTCGGCATCAGGCCAATGGAAAGGATTTGTCGTCTCCGTTACGGATTATGATTCGAGTTGCTAAAGAAGATACTGGTGCCTACTGGTTAAAACAGGGGTTCACTGTTGTTGGTAGCCAAAAGTGCCCTGCTGGCTTCTGGGGTTCGTTGGAGGAGTTTACTATGTGGGCTATGATGCGAGAGTTATCGACTGTATAGATGGTGGCTGAATGTCACATAATTCAGAAAGATGTTATCTATTTCTATGTATATTTATGTGTTTTTCTCTCCATGGTGTTTTTAATATTCTCTACGGTTTGTGGGCACAGTTGTGATAACTGGACATCGTATTGCAAAATATCTTGTCTAATCTTACAGCTTTCAGTTCCGAAAGGACTTTTCTTTACTATCCCATTACCACGGCGCTCAATCTTGCTTGAGGTGATACTTTTTCAAGGTAAAAGGGCTCGGGGGCGGGCCGTAGACCTCAGCAAGGAGGCACGGGCTTTGAGCTGGATCTCCCGGTTTGATCATGAACTCCACAACGTGCAGCCCTATCCCGGATTGCATCATCTCATCGTGGGTGATGATATCAAAGTCGCTCCATGTTCTGGCTATGGTGACGGAGACTGGGTAAGATGTGGTCTGGGGGGGCTCCAAAGAAAGAAACAGACTCTGAATATTGCCAGGGATCAGAATCTTGTCGTTGGTATTCCATTTTGTGCATTAGACTTTCAATGATGGGTGCTCCTTCATTAATGACGAACATGATGAGATTGAGCCGCTTATCGATAATGGCTCTCAAGTCATTTTGAGCCTTTTGCAAACCCTCAGCTCCTGTAAAGAGGACTGTTCGTCCGCGTGAAAAGAGGTAGTTTGTCTTGGCAAGATCTTGTTGAGCCAGAGCAACACCCAAGGTGGTAGCAAGCATGTGTCCGGGGAACTTCCGAGCACCAGGGTTGATCAAGATTGTATCCCGCGGCAAAACAAAACAGCGTGCTCCATCCTGGGCTTCGGGGGTTTCGGTCAAGATAATGTCGCCTGGACGGAAGAAAAGGGACATCCGTCGCCAAAATGTGCAATAAATGTCATGTTGAAGGAGTGACTGCTGTTTCTGAGTTGGAAGCATATCAATGCTGTCGCGGAAATTGGGTAAAGTTGGGTAGGGCGAGAGGTCACGGACTTTCCTCTCACTCAGGCAGTTTAGAATCTGCTGGAGCACAGGTCTAGAAAAGAGCTCGTATTTCTGGTCTCCGATGACAACAGAATTTCTGTTGAACGTGACGGTTTGTGCTGTCTTCGCCTCGAACAGGGCAGTCGCAGCCCACTCAGTGGTATTCAGTGGTCCAATCAGGAGGATTAGGTCGGAAGATCTGAAATATGAACCGTACATATCGAAATCCGAGATATCCCCATGGAAGTTTTTAAGTGTCTCATCTACAACACCTCTGCTGAACTGGGTCGCAGCGGTTGGAAATCTAGTCGTCTTCGCCAGCTGGTTCGCTTCCTTAATAAGACCACAAGATGGAACACCCGCATCCACGAGGATCAGGGGTCGTTGTGCGTGTCTAATTTTGTTCATGATGCTGGCCACTACCGTGTTTTCCATCTCAGTATCGTGAGGCGGAGTTGTGAAGTCCAAGCGCTGAACGAGTCCCTTAGCTGGTACCATACAGTTGACCAAGTCTTCCGGCAATTCAATGTAAACAGGCAGAGATTGCATGATACATCCTCGAATGGCAGTATCAATCTGGGCAGTCGCCTCACCAGGGTCAACAAGAAACTCCTGCGTGATGGTGATCTTCTCGAAGCAGTCAGCGAGTATTTGGAAATTATCAAGCAGTCGCGGGATATCAGGCTGCGCGTCGAAAAATGAATGGTGGAATTTGGAAGCCTGAGCTTGTGCCTTGCGTTGAGGCGTCCCAATGACAAGCACAACTGGGATCCTATTTTGGTACGAGGCAGCGATTGCCGTTGAGAGCGACGATAGCATAATATTCTCGAACGAAGATATCAGGGCGGCGATACCCTTGACTCGTGCATATCCATCTGCGACAAGCCCAGCACTAAGATCGCGACGGTGTGCGACCCATTCAAGCCCTGCATCAGTGGCTTCTCTCAGTACTGCGAGGTTGTGATTTCCAGGGACGCCATGCACGGTGTGCAGGCCAACTTGATGAAGGCGCTTGAAAAGATAACCTGCGAGCGTGATATCGTCGGACATGATCAATATCCTCGAGGTTTTGGGCCGTTGAAAGGGGTGGGTTGTCGGAGACGAGCAGAAGCGAGGACGGTAAACGAAGAAGTTACTCTTCGGGACCTAGGAGGGAGGTTTGACGATAAAACTGCCTGGTACACGAGGTGTTGGTCAAATTTGCTAGTTATCAATACCAGAGAAATGGAGTGACGATAACAGACGATTGGGGTTGCCTGGGAAGCAATGGGCAAGTGGGAAGAGGAGTTACTGAGGCCGGCAAGAAGGATGATTTGGAGCAGAGACCAGCTTTGAGATTAGAAAACTCGATCATGCTCTATTCTGACTTGATGGGGGGATAAGTGTAGGCAATCAGCCAAAACTAACTTGAGAGTACAACAGACTGCCGATGCTTCGTCCTCATTTACTGTGTATGGTCGTTTTGCTTTCGATTATACCTTTATTCGACTTTGCCATGTTTCTTGATGTTTTGATTTATCCTCCGGAGTTGCTTTCCTCTATACAATTTGGACGTTTCGTTTCCCACCATCCTAATGAACCTCAGATGGTATATGACGGGTACTATTTCATGCTCGAGTGTTCCTTTTGATATTTGCATGCGGGAAAGTATAAAATATTGGAGGTTCAACAAGCTCAGCAAGTTTCTCATGAATCTCGGATCACAGATCTATAGTTTATAGTGTGGTGAATGCCAAGATATACAGGCATGTACATGTTTGGATGAATACATTAAGTATAGGCTCCTATCTACTCCATCTGCGAACTGCGTTCCAATTCAGGCAACGCCCATTTAACCATCCAGTCTGACTGTAGGACCTCCTGGATTGTTGGCCGTTCTTCAGGCCGGAATGCAAACATTCGCCGCATCAAATCAATAATAGCAGCTGCTTCGTCCCTGTCAAACTCGCATCCACGCTTTCGTCGATACTTCTACACACCTTCTTCAAAGACCTCTTCAATTCCGGGCCATACGTAGCGGCCCTCTTTTGGGCGTCCATCATCGTCAAAAAAATTGGCCTCGCTCCCGCCAGTGTCCACCAACTCGGTGGCATAGGACCCAGCACATCGATATTTTGGGATACTAGCTCATCTGCGGAGGCAAAGTCGGTGCTGAAAATTGCCTTCATACCAAGAATCTCCCAGATTATTGTTGCCAAGCTCCATATGTCTGCTGAATATAGAGAGAGGGGCCTGGGGTCCAAATCGAGCTTCTGGCGCTCGCATTGCTAAAGGTGTGTGGCAGTCTTCCCCACGGCGAGTTTCCAGGTCCGGGGCAAATGTCTCACCAAAGTCACTCAGAAGTAGGTGTGTGTCAGATAGTAAGAATTCTTCTGCATCTTTCCCAAGGCAAAGTGGTATCACTGCCTTCGCTGGGACATTTGGTGGAAGGGGCTTCCCATCACGTTCCTTAACGAAGACTGTCTCAGGCTCGTCATACTCTTCATATAGCTGCTCAACCGAAAGGTGATCAAAATTTGATGGAAGTTTGACTAGGACATTGCGAAGGTGGATATCTGATTAAAAGTTAGCTAAGTAGGATGAACCATTTCACCAAGAAGCTCCATCACTCATCTCCATGAACATAGCCCCGTGAATGCATATAAGCAATGGCCAGCGCGAGGCCGCCTGATAGCGCCCGCGTAACTTCACGAGGGAAGAGACGACTAAAAGACACTTCGCGAAGATTGCATCGCGCGGGTGTCATGGTGTAGCATAGATGTGTTCCATTGGGGCCATTCAGCTCAAATTCATCTAGTGGGGTGGGGATAGCATCATGTCCTGGATCTGCGAGAGCTCGGAGAATATTGGTCTCGTGCAGAGCGGAATCTGCTATACCGACTTTAACAGCGACATAGCGATGCAGGCAATTATCCAGGGCTAGCCAAACAGTTGAATAACCTCCAAATCCAAGCATGTCAACGATACGGTATCGCCCGTGAAGCACATCGTCTATTATAATAGGATGATAGCCTCCTGGTTTATACTTTTCAAGTGACTCTGCTCCGTCAACCCAGTTGTATTCAAGACGATGGGCTCGCGTATCTCCTTCGCCATGCAACGTGACTGTTGAATAAGGGCAGCGCTCGATTGCGCGAGGCAAAATTCAGGCTTCCAAGGGGGGTATATGGGCCGCAAGCGCCATAGCGAAGTAGCTAATTGGAAGGCACTCGGCCATGGAAATAACGCATTATTCAGAGGGAATCCCTTGGGGCAGCGCGTCATGATAAGTAGTGGTTGATGCCAACGAGAAACTTGAGCGTAGGAAAGTCGGAGTGAAATCGCTATGCTAACAATGGTCTACCATTAGAATTAATCAAATGTCAACTACTCCATATCACCGAAGAAAGGCTCTGAGACTAGAACATGTCCTTGAGTGCCATCCCTACATCAGCCTTCAAGGGCGACCTTCGGGCCTGGCCCCGGCCGGGGCGCACCTAGACACCATGAGTAATCACGGTATCACGTGGGTCCACTAGTTGTTGGCCTCGGCTCCCAACAAAAGGGGAATTCACGATGGTCGTCATCTGTGATCGGCAGGCTCGGCTTTGGGGAACTCATCAATTCAGGTGAACTTGGGTCCACATTCATTCCTTATGATACATCTGTCCCTCTTTAAATGCGTTTTGCTCAAGTCTCCCTGACTCCAACAGTTCTTATCTCCCGAGACATCTATAGATGAGCCGGAGCATATCCTAGTCAAGCCTTGTCGAGTGTACCTGTATCAAACCATCGGATCTTCTCTTCTCTGTTGATTTACCTGTGACTCCATACCTGGGGTTTAATTATGGAGAATACACGCGAAATACTAGCAGGCGTAACGTCGCTCGCCTCATGGAGAAACCTGGCCTTGCTTCTGGCAGTGATTAACTTAAAAAATCTCCCATTTGTCTGGCATGTAAGCTTTCCTTTGCCCCTTTTTCGGCCGTCAGAATTGACTTCCTCTCCACGACACGTTACACTACTGACCGAGTCAACAGTTCCGCCTGTTGTATCACTTCGTAGGAAATCTGCGTTTGAAACCCAGTGCGCCACTTCTCCCAAAGGGGAGGCTTATCCTGGACTCCCGAGGCAAACCAACACATCCCATCTTTGTGCCATGCATGGTCACATCTCGCACACCGTTGCTAGAGACCGATTACAATCTGCACAAATCAAACAGCACTTACTTTACGGATCTGGATGTTTCGCGTACAGCGCTCGTGAGCCGAATTTACAGTCCTGGAGTCGGCAATGTGAGCAAGGAGCTAGACCAGGAGTTCCTAGCCGCAAGCAAGAAAGAGGGAAAGCCGGCGCCAAGGCGCAAGCCAGTCCTGATCGTGCTCGGATCTGTCTACTGCACATTCAAGCGCGAAATCAAACCATTCGAACTATATGAGATGCACTCTAAGGTGATCTCTTGGGATGCAAAGTGGATGTACATCCTGACCTGCTTCATGCGACCTGCACGCCGCAGTGGCGGCGAAAAAGGTAGTCCTTGCTGTGGCCGTTAGCAAGTACGTGGTTAAAAAGGGTCGGCTTACTGTTCCCCCAGAGCGGCTTCTGCGCGCTAGCGGGTTCCTCCCCACGCCGCCCCCAGAGAGTGAAGCCAAGACCGCACTAGCCGATGCGGAGTTCTCAGCCGAGACTTCCGACGTTGGAACTCCTGGTAATGGTGAAGGTATCACGGCCATGGGAGGCGTGGATGAAACACTGGTTCGGGAGGTATTGAAGATAAACGATGACCAGATTCCTAGCCAGGAGACACTGGATAAGCAGCAGAAGGAGAATACTGATTCGTGGGATGTTGAAGAGTGGACCTGGGAGCGCATCGAACAGGAACGTCTGCGGGGACTGGAGGTTGTCGATGGATATACTAATTTGGATACCAAGCTGTTCGATGAATGGGTGCAATAGATGAGTGGATAGGTGATCATACAGAGGGTGATCCAAGCGCCTTGATGATCTCAATGTTCTAACTAATATTAGATTTTGGAAATCCAAAACAACGGGCCCTTTATACATCCACAGATCTACAATTTAATTTCCAAAGAAAGACCGACATGGTCCACTCTGATCTAATTTCCATTACATGTACAACAACCTGCAATCAATGTATGTTCAGGTTGTATATTGTGTACTTCTAAATATAAGCTATATCTCACCTGGCTGTAGGCAGACAATGCACCCTTACTTATCTACACACGCACGATGTACATATCCCAACCGAAAGCGCAGAGCCTCATCTGACCCGGACCTTTATTTATCCGGGGTAATATACTGAAACTGATGATCCAAAGAGCGTAAGACGAATGATAATGCCACAAGATATCACGGAGAGACTAATGAAAGTTTATACCAGCCCTGGAGGTCTGGCTTCATTAATATGGAGAGAAGTGTTCTCGAGACCAAGTGATGGATATATAGAAATCGCATGGTTAGAGTCCAATTCAAGGTTTATAGCTTGGAATTAATAGAAGATACAACAGTAACCAGAACTTATCTTGGACTTGTGCTGTAGAATGCGAATACCGGGTTTAATTGAAAACACATGCAGTTAGTCTGAATGTTGATCACTGATCTCATCAAGGGAGAAAACAGAGGTCGGCTCCGATGGTATCCGAGATTGGCTGATGTCCTGTGACAATACCTGACAAATATTTGTATGGTTGAGTGCGCAAATAACGGTAAAGTAACACGTAAGTGACAGAAGGATTACATAATTTTAATTACATACTTATCATGTGACCCAACCCAAAAGCTTCAAGGTGCTTTGACCAAGCTCTATCTTAACCATCGGGATACCACCTTTGCTCCTTTTCATTTCCTTGGATTCGCAGGCGTCGACTGCCATTCCAGTGATTTGGTGAGTTTGAATTTGCTTGCAATCAACTTTCCCCCCTGAGACCTGGCAATCCTTTTACCCGTCCGAGGCCGGATACGGTACAAATCATTTCGCGGCTCCTTAGGCGCCCAGGCCAAAGTCCTCCACTTTGCTCTCTGATCGGACGATTCCCACCCTTCCCATCTTAGCACTCTGATTTGTCCAATTTCAAGCCCATCATTCCTCACCCTGTGCCCACCTGCCCCTGCCTCTCCTTTCAGTATCAGCCCATCGTGCACTCCACCTTCGAGCGTCACAGGCACCTGCATGATTGGTCTATTTCTGGTACTGCTGCACTCCTACCTTTTCCATGGAGAACCTAGCGCTGCTTTTGCTTTAAGGGTTTCCTCTGACTACACCTGCACCTACCGGTCTCTGTCATCTTTTGCCTGATAAATTCTTGTTTTCCACAGGTGACTTGACTAAGACATCTCGCGTTTCCGTTCAGTTTAGGCAAAAACAATCATCCGAAAAGCTTATCGCAATCGTTTCAACTACCTCCGCTGTACTCCGTACACTCCTTAAGTGTACCAACAACCTTCATACACCAATACTGGTGCCCTCTGACCTCAACCTTATCCCACTTCCTTCCGCTCGGTCGCAGCGCTTGCTTCCAATTTCCCCGACCGCTGGGAAATACTCCCTTCTCGCCGTCGATCAGCGGTCGCACTATCCGACGACGGCAACTACCATCCGATCAACCGTTTCCCCAACCTTCCTCTGTTGCCCTCGATAATGGCGACAGCACTCGATCAGTCGCAGCGCGACTCGCTCGGAGGCGAACCTGTCGTCGAATCCGTCTCTATCACTCCGCCGCACAGTGCCAACGGCAAGAAGGAAGCGCCCGAAGGCGTGCCCTCCGAGTTATCTGACCTCGAGCTTGACCATCAATCTGCCCCGGCACCCGATACAATCAAGATCAAGCAGGAGGAAGTGGAGGAGAAGGCCGAGGAAGTTGAAGAGATTGAACCCGATCATTACTATGGCGGCGGCAAGATCCCTGTCTTCAAGCCGGTGAGTACAATGCAAATTCCTCGGCTGCCCGATGGCCCGGCGTTCGAGATTTCGCCTGCTACGGCAGACTGGGCAGTAAAGCCTACACCTTTTAGAGTCAGGCTGACTGGTATGGTTTTAGACAATGGACCAATTCCGAGACTTCCAGGGCTTCATCAACAAAATCGATAAATATGGAATGCAGGCAGGCATCGTGAAAGTTGTTCCTCCGAAAGAATGGTGAGTTGATCAATTTCTGACCAATCCGGATCACTGTGCTCATGACGTTGTTCTTGAAGGTCCGAGTCTCTTCCACCGCTGGACGAGGCAGTAAAGAAAATTCGGGTGAAGAACCCCATCATGCAAGAGTTCCACGGATCCCACGGCACATACACTCAAGCCAACATCGAACGTCAACGCTCGTACAATCTTCCTCAGTGGAAGGGTCTATGTGAAGAAAGCAGCCACCAACCCCCCGCTCGCCGAGGAGAGAGACGCCGAAACCAAGAACGCGTTAACCGTGCCGCCCCAACACCACGACCCCCGTCTGCCCGGCCCGAGGGTCAGAAGCGCCGGCCTGGCCGTCCACCTAAGCGGGCAAATCAGGTCAAGGTCAAAGAGGAGCCCCCTGCAGATGACACTGAAAAGTCCAGACTGGAGGGTCCTCCGACGCCTGTATCACCCGAGACCAATCCCGTGCAGCCTAAGACCGAAGACTTGAGTGAAGGCGAGTCCCTACCTACCACAAAGCCAAAGGGACGACAGCCCAAGTCCGTGACCTCACGCCGAAAGAACAACCGAGGCGATGCTATGGATCAAGTCGACGAGGAGGCATACACAGGATTTGATTACCGGATCCACGATCACGAAGAATACACTGCAGAAAGATGTGAGGAGCTTGAGACTAATTACTGGAAGTCGCTCATGTACAACAACCCGATGTACGGAGCCGACATGCCCGGTTCACTCTTCGAAGATTCTACAGAAACCTGGAATGTCGCCAAATTGCCTAATCTGCTCGACGTTCTAGGGCAGAAAGTTCCCGGAGTCAACACCGCTTATCTCTACATGGGCATGTGGAAGGCTACCTTTGCTTGGCATCTTGAGGATGTAGACCTGTACAGCATCAACTACATCCACTTCGGTGCCCCCAAGCAGTGGTACAGCATCTCCCAAGAAGATGCACCTCGCTTTGAACAGGCCATGCGCAGCATCTGGTCGAGCGATGCGAAGAACTGCGATCAATTCCTTCGGCACAAAACCTATCTCGTCTCGCCCAGCCTTCTCAAATCACAATACGGGATCACCGTTAACCGATTGGTTCATTACGAAGGGGAGTTTGTCATTACATTCCCTTATGGATACCACTCTGGATATAACATCGGATACAATTGCGCCGAGTCAGTCAACTTCGCGACCGAGCAATGGTTAGACTATGCTCGTATCGCTAAAAAGTGCAACTGCGAAGCGGACAGTGTCTGGATCGATGTGGACGAGATTGAACGCAAGCTACGTGGCGAGAGCACACCTGACTACTATGGTGGATTCGAAAGCGAATTCGATGGATTCGAAGGTGCTTCAGATCTTCTTACACCACCACGTAGTGTGCCTGAGAAGTCATCCACTCGTGGCCGAAAGCGGAAGAATCCGGATGACGGGCCGAACACCAAACGACCCAAACTCCACCCAGAAGGGCCACGGAAGCTCCCGTGTTTGCTGTGCCCTAACAATCTGGACTATGAGGATCTTCTTCCGACTGAAGATGGTAAAGGGCATGCACATAGACGGTGTGCCGCATTCATTGAAGAGACCACAATTCTCCGTGACGCGTCTGGTACGGAAGTTGTGTGTGACATTGACAAGATCCCCAAGGCTCGCCTGGGCCTCAAATGTCTCTTTTGCCGCGAAGTCCGCGGTGCCTGCTTCCAGTGTAACTTCGGAAAATGCACACGCGCTTATCATGCAACGTGTGCTCTTTTGGCAGGTGTTCAAGTTGAACACGGTGCGATTGCTGTGATTGCCGATGATGGTACTCAATACTCAGTTCCGAGTGTGGATTTGAAATGCAAATTCCATCGTCAGAAGCGGCCCAATGGAGTCCTGGGTGAATCGTCCGATGTGGATCGTCGGGTAATCGAATCGGCTCGTCGTTTGGTGCAAGGGAATTTGATTCAATTCCAAGCCGACAAGGAGATTAATGGCGCCATTGTTCTTGAAAATCGGCCCTCGGAGCGGAGTCTTTTGCTCAAGGTGCTCCCAAGAGGGTAAGTTGTTTTTTTTTTTTTAAAAAAAAAAAACCCCCTATTTTTTATTCCCCTCCCACTAACAAATCTACAGAGATGTGATTGAAATGCCTTATCGCTGGATGCTCGTTGTTCGCAAGAGCAATTTCACACCCCTCGCACTAGGAATCCAACCCCTCCCAGCCCACCTAGCGCGAAAACCCGAACAGCGAAAAGAGTTAGAATCAGCGGTACCGGCGGCAGGGAGTGCATTCGGCGATTCACGATCTCCCTATCAGTGGGCCGAATTCGAAACAGTGGATGGAACTAGGAACCAATTCGCCCCACTCAGTACGGTCAACCTTCAGGGTGAGCAGATGTGGTATTATTTGGGCATGCAGTCCACCGAAAGTAGGGCACAGTATACGCACAACCCTAGCGTGTCCATCCACAACCCTCGGGCCAATTTCCTGGACAGCGTCAAGTCGCTTGGCATGGGTGTCAGCGCTCGTGCATCGAAGATCTCACCCCACCACTTTCATTATGCTGCCACCGCCCCTGCCCCTCCCTACCAGCGAAACCTGAACCAGCCAAATCAGCAGAACCAGCAAAATATTTACTCTCACCCGAATGTCAACACCCCTCACCTACAATCCCGACCGCCCTCTTCTGCCTTGCACCTCGCCCCTCCCCCTCCTTCTGTCCCTGTTGCCGGTGCTGCTGCTGGTGCTCCTGCGATGCCGTCGGCCTTTCGAACCCTACCCAATCAGTCTGCCCGTCATGCCCCCTATCCTTCGGTCGTCAAGTCGCACGCTCAG